AAAAATCGTCGTGGGATTTCATCGACGAACTTGCTGCCATCGACCTGAGCATGATGCAAAGTCCTAAAGTAAACCGCCACCGTCATCGGAGGATCAAGCGAAGAAAGTATCCTAAGAGTAGGTTTGTTCCTAGTTTGGAGAACATTAAAGAGAACGAACTGTTTGTATCACAGCTGGATCATTTGGATAGGATCACCAAAGATCTAGTCTCCATTCACGAAGAACGAGCTCTGAATTGTGGGATACAACCAGTTAAGGAAGAAGGACGTCGCCATCACAAGAAACGACACGTGAGAGGCACTAGTAGGAAGGCGTAATGTGAAAGGATTCCCGACAATGACCATCTTCGGCCGCATGAATGGAACGTGTATGTCGATTCGCTGAGCCTTGCGTGCTAAAGGCGAGGACGCCATCCAATGTCAAAAACGGTCTCCCTACAGATTGTTGAATGATAAGGAGGGAACTTGTATTCGGAAGAAAGAACACATTGGTTGTGAGACAAACCCGAATTTGTACGATGGGTTCTCAGCGAGCTCTAACATTCCTTGAAGTTATTGTAAAGTAATGGCCATTCAGAGACTGCCATGGCATTTATTTCCATTAATTAGATTTCTGGTTTTCTCGGCATGCTAAAGAATGGAAACTATCTTGTGAATAAGTAGATTCTTCTTAATGTCCCTTAGATTCTGCCTGAACCTCACAAATCAAAGATCAAGAAACTTTTAGACATAGAAGATTAATCATTGAACGCTTAAAAACACTCCGTGACTTTCAGCACGTTCTTGGTTTTCACTTATCAAGGTTACATTCATAGACATCAAATTTGTTTCCACTGAAATACAAAGTTACCTATGAATGCTAAAAACACTTTGTGGGTAGGTTGCAGTTGCTATTATGTAGGGACACTGTAACTCGATTTTTTTGAGAAAGTTTTGGGCGATGTTTAGCGTAACTAAGGCGTTGATTTAGATATAGACCGCTTACTAATGAGGGCAATTAATTAGTTCCTAGAATTTGAAGTATCTGGTCCTGTATCATAATGTTTTGACTGTTTTGTGACCCAACTATATATGTATTGTACATAAGACAAAATAAATGATATGGAAACTGAAAGAGAAACGACTAGAAGATTCAAACTGTTTGATTTCTATTTTTGCGCCTTTTTTCTTTTCAAAAGATGTTATTTCCGGAAACCCTCAGCAAGGTTAACTCAATGAAGAATCAATAGCCAAGAGAAGTTTGAAGATGAAGGGTTGAAAGGCCGCGACAAAATTTGTCCCTTACTTTAAGCCTACCGGTGTTCAGGAAACAAAGGGATGCAAAACGGCAAACAACCTGTCGGGGAAAAAGCAGGAACCGATCTTTGTTATTTGTCAACCTTGTCTCGTCAATTTGTCCTGTTTCGTAATTACTTTCATTTTTGTATTAATCATCACTTCCTCCGATATGCACCCTTCGAAACCAAAACTCACTGAAAATAAATTTTTGTTCTAGAAAGTAAGCTGAAATTGTGATATCAGGAAGACATTTTTTTTTTATATTTTACCGAAAATGAAAATAAAAATTTAGAAGTTGATACCCGCTGACGTTTGTTAAATTCTGAAATTTCATCAAGCGAAGTGACTCATGAGTTTTATTTGCTATACTTGTCAAAGAGAACTCGAACACAATAATGTGACCTGAGCCGGCTAAGGAAATCATGTTTCTTACGTTTACCACTAAGACATTGTAATGATATTGCTGCTGTATTTCAATGTTTTGACTGTGTTTTGAAGTAACTATGTACTGAAACTCCATTCAGATAAAGAGTTATGGTAACCGAAACCGCAGGAATAACAAATTTCGTTCTTTTTATGTTTTTTTTTTAGACAAATACTGCCGTCGACATTTAGCACTCCCTTGTACCCATCATCCTGTATGCTCTCTTGAGAATCGATACTCAAATGATATTGATTTGAAGATTTAAGGAGATGCTGACATGGAATTGATAAGCTGCCTTCAATGATTAAATTGAAAAATCATTCTTGAATAGCTGACTTTACTTTAGCGCGGAAGTATTTGGGAAGGTGTTCATGCATCAAAAGAAGGTATGAGAAGGAAACGATTGAGTAACACTTCAGCGAAGAAAAACGTGATGATACGGCGCACTGAGCCACTGTTTGTATTCCCTTTTCCGTCTTTACAGAAATATTAGAAAGGAAAAAAAAGGTGTAAAAAAAGTCAAATAGCAGTGAAAATTCCAGCCACAAAATATTTTTATACAAGCTTTTGGAAATGTATTTCTCAAATAAATTGTAACTCGTTAACTTACTGCTGGGAATCTATCTGAGATAGAGGCAGAAGGCAAAAATTCGTGAATTCGCAAGCGGGACTTGAGCGCAATGTTTAACGAGTGCGTTTGAAAATTCAAAAAGGTATCAGACGAAACCCCGAAAAAAAAAAACGGGAAAGGTATTGGCAAGGAAGGCAACATCTGCGAAATGGTGATACGGCAACATCACCATAATTAAAGAATTTTCCCTTGCTTTTCCTTTGAAAATACTTATCTCTGCCCTGCCACGTTGAGATGTGAGAACACTTGAGGTTTCCTCTGTATACTTCACTGGCGAATTTCATTGGTAGGTGATAATCAACGGCGGGAAGACAACTAAAAGGATCGGAAATGAAAGTTCTCAGTTGAGTGGGGTAACTCTACCAAAAGTGGATATGCGGCAAAAGTGGATATGCTATTTAAAGCTCAAGGATTTTTCCTATGGTAAATAAAGCTCAAAAAGTAAGGGTCAGATCACGTCTTAAAGCAGTTTGCGGCAAGGAAATTTAATGTAAATTAAAGCGAGAGACGGCAAAGTACCGTCCCTGTTTTCAAATGATTGTAAATTTTAGAATAGATTTTTAACTCTCGGAGCATCCCTGTTTTAATTTTGTATTTGGAATGTTCTTTTAGTGTCCACAACTAGCTAATATATAGCTAATTACTCTGACGCTTAAAGAAAGTTCATTATTATTATTATTATTATTATTAAGTATAACATGAAAGTAGAATTAAGAACTGAAAAGAACTAAGAGGATTATTGTCCATGTTCTGCCGACTCTGTATTGATACTGTGACAGGCCATTTCATCCTGCACAGTTGTCAAAGTTAAAGTAAGTTAAGAAAAGACATAAAAGTGTGCATTCATGCAAGTGTTTTTGGCAGTCTGTATGCAATTTACAAAAATTTTCATAATGTGAATATGTACACTTGCAATTATTTATCTCGTTTTCTTTTTATCAACACTCCAAATTAGTCGACAGGTGACAATGCTTGGAAAATATTTATGTATTTGATGAAAAATGCAAATAATCTGGACAATCAGAATAAAGCTATGAACCTAACTGGAGCTATACCTCAGAGTGCAAAGAGCGCTAAATTTAGCATAATTGGAATTGTAACCTTACAGAAAAATGAAATATTCAGTTATATTTAATAAGATTTTTAATGCCTCTCAACGAATATGACAAACGATAATGTATATCACGAATATATGATAGTGGTCCAGAATGGCGAGAAAACGTGATTTTGTGATCTTTGGAGATTACCGTGAGCATGGTGAGTGAGTTCAGTAATAAGGGAAAACATGACCTAAACTCATTACAGGAAAAAATGTAACTATTTGCTTATAGTGAAAACAATACTTTTTGCCTTAAAATTTGGCCTAGACATGAAAAAAAAAAAAAAAAAAAAAAAAAAAAAAAAAAAAACACGCACAGCTTTGACGGAGCTTTGTTTTCCTAACTCCCCCTCTGAGTAATCATGCCAAATGTAGGCTCACGATTTTCCAACCTGTTAAGATTCTGTGATAATCCGTCCTAAACGTTTTCCTTTCTTCTTCATTACTAACTGGTTAAATAATGGAAGCAGCCGATGTGTCTGTATTGAATGGTTAATTTTGAGTACTATGGAAAATTGCCAATATCTTTGAGGCATGGGAACCCCATTAAGTACTTCAAAGTAAGATATTACTGACTGTTCAGTAACATAGTGATGAACTCCGGTACTCCGATATCATTACTTTTTGAATTTTACGTTTCACCGACTCACGCAACAGGTTATTTTCACGCTACAGACAATTGACATCTTGACATGAAAGCGCATATGAAAACTTCAAGGCCAATAGTTGTGTAAAGGGCGGATAACGCCGCTATCCTAGATAAATAGCTATCTCCTGGGCGGATAAGCGATTACAAAACTACAGTAGTGCACCATCTAAGAGTCAGAGACTTATGATCTCAGTTCCCTTTGAACAACCGAAACCTGATAAAAAAAAAAGACAAAAAAAGTAATAACCACATAGCCGTAACCAAAAGAGAATTGTCACACTCTTGAAGAAACGAGTCATTCATAATACAAATAGACGCACACCTTTCTCTTATGCATATCACTTTTCTTAAATGAAGCTTATTGCTATGGCTTAACGATTAAGTCCTATTGTGATAATTATCAAACCGCACTAATAAGAGAGAGTGGAACTGACACGTGGAATGTTTGCCTCTGGATACCGTGTGTCTTGGGTATACTTCTACAAAAAGATAAGCTCCGATGAAAGCCTCATACTTGTTTTTCTATTAATATTACTCTGAAAATATAAGAACAACAACCAGCCATGGGTAACACGAATTGACAGCAATTGTTCAGAAAAAAAAAAAAACGCTCAGAAATAATGATAAACCAATCAAACTAAATGGTATCATGTATTAAAATAATTCTATCATTATCAAACTACATACTAATTAAAAATATTTAGAGGATAGTCTTTGTAAAACTGACGAGTTTCGGGAAATATGAAGGGTTGCTAATAGACGAGAATATGAAATGTTTTCTTGTCAGAAAAGGTGTCTCTGTGGGGATGGGGTAAGTATTGTACATTGATCGACCGTACCACTCGCGGTAGAGAGAAAATTAACCTTGTACCCAAGTTTCTTCCGCGGCCGTGTCTAGTTTGCTTGTTCAAAGCATAGCCAGAAAGAAGCGAACTTGGAAATTCAGGTACAAAACGCTCGTTTCCAGCGAAATGCGCGGGGAGTTTTGGTATTGAGACATGTCCCAGAGTGCAATGATCTTAGATCGTAAAACATGGCTGAGAAAAATGCCGATCGGAAGGATTTTCGGTGCGCAAACCACCTCCGCGTAGACAACGGTTGAAATCGGAGTGTGCAGCCTGACTTGGTCTTTTGACAGGAATAACAGTGATGGTAAAGCAAGCTTAAAACGGCAAAAATCGCTGGAATCTACAACGGACACACAGGATGCGAGTAAGTTTTATTGGTTTTACGTGTAAAATATTCATATTTCGAAATATTTATCGTTGTCAATCGACCATATTTCGTTCCCCATACTATTCCTTATAACGTGTTCAAATTTTCAACGGTTCCTCTCGTAACTTAACACCGAGTCACACAATGCGTGACGCGTTCATGAATTAATCGTTGGCTTTTTCTCGAGACGTGAGCTTGGGCCGCCTGTGCTGTCAGGGGATGTTCTTTGATATTACTAGCTCAAGGGAAAAAGAGCTAGCTTCATGTCAGATTCCTTTATTCCCAAAATGGCAACCAGAAGATGGACTGTAACAGGAATAATAATAATAATAATAATAATAATAATAATAATAATAATAATAATATCTTGATTATCTTGATGTAGGTACAAATACCGAGGAGTTCGGATGTGCTGAGGTAAGAAAGTCGGAAGAGTTGAAAGATCTTAAGGATTAAATTACCAGAGGTAAAACGCACGACAGAGTCTGTGGATTAACAGTCTTGTTTAATTGCAAAATTGAACTTTCCGAATAAAATAATTTGCAATAAGTAGTGGAAAATAATGGCCAGAGAGATCGCAAGAATTTTGGAAATATTTTTCCAGATTGCGTTTTATAAAATGGTGCAGTATTGAGCTACTGCCAAAGAGGTATGGCTCTATAAATCAGCGAGAGATCAGAACTGATGCGATAAAAAGTACTTTTTGATGTTCAGCTGTGCTAAACCCTTATAGAACCAGCGACTTTGCTATGATATGTTAATCAAATTAAAAGGAAATAATCATTCAGAAACCAATTGATTTTTCTCATCCGCCAATGAAGAGGCATATATGAAAATTTACTTTTTGTTTGATTCTTGTTGTATTGACGCGTATTATCTTTGATGTTGAGTAAGTAACTCAAATAGTTTTAAAACCAAACTAGGGCAGGTAGATATTTCACTCTTTTCGAGGTCGGAAGTGATGAAATGCGAACGGTTTAATTTTTAAAAAATGTCAGGACAAGGCCTGCAAATCACCAGTCTCAATGAAATTTTGATCTTTGGAAATCATATAGCACTGACTTAGCCGTCGGCTAACAATTTCGTTTTTTTGAGCCAAAACCTGACTTTTAAAGAAAGTAGTTTAACTAGATCTACCAAACTGCTTTGAGAGGAAACGAATAATTTTATACCTGTTGGTCAGCTAGTTTTGAGATACGAATTTTGAAGCCCTTGTAACATTGTTTCATTAAAAAAGATTAAGTATCTTAAGGCTTCGTTATTCTGTACTTTGGGCGTGGTCGAAATAGTCTCTCACTCAGCTCCCTTCTTCTCGCAGCCCATGGCTTTTTCCGTTTTTGTTTTTGACTTGTTTTGTAATTTTTTCTGTATTATGGATTGTGTACTGAAACTTTAAAAGAACGTACGAGAAACCAATTGGATAAGTTACAACACGGATGGAGCATAAACTTCAAACCGAAAGAATTAGACTTTTTACTTCTCTAGATTGATTGATTTTTATATCATTGATGGAAAAAAAAAATCTCTAAGCCAACTTACTGTTCTCTGTTTATTAAAATTGAATCACGTACATAGAACTTAATCAGCACGTCTTCATCAATTTCGTTTTTATTCTAGATTGATAGTCAGTTATATTGGCTCGCGATAATTGGCGGCATTTTTTAAATGCTGCTTATTCCTTTATTAGATAACCCAAATAGTTATCAAACCAAGCTAAGAGTAATATTAGCTCATAATAGCTCATAATCTCCGAGAACTCGGTGTAACTGGGAGGTCAGAAATGCATGAAATGCAAACAGGCTGAATTTCGTTTGAGAAAAACACGAAAACAATTTAAAGAATCAATAAAACTATTGAACGCTTGATATTTGGAAATTAAAGCATTGATTCAACACTCAGCTGTCAATTTGGCAAGATAAGAGGTAGTCCTATCTTTTATGAATGGTGTACTTCAGGCATGTGTAAGACAAAGCAGTACACGTATTGAGTCACAGAAGAAGAGGTTTAGCTCTACCAATCCCCGAAGAAAGCTAACTCCTATAGCTAAGTGCCTTAAGAGTTTTAAGTGTCTGATTCAAAAACGGTTTGATATTGCAAGCCAGGTTACCTGGCCTCGACCCCCCGCGCGACGTCTTACACCTCCCTCTTCCTTCTCGGTATTCCAACTCTTGCTTGTTCACTTGGACGACACAGCTCTCACTCACGATTAGAAAAGTTTCTTATCTCGTTAGGTTTTACAGTAATTACCTTAAGCAAATATTTTCTCCTCAACTACTGAAACTTTAAAAGAACGTGTCAGAAGCCAAAAAGATGATTCACCAAACAGATGGCCCGTTAGCACTGAAGTACTTGAACAAAATAAAACCGATAGGAATTGGCCGACATTTTTCCTGTCTGTTTATGGACTAGAAATATTTCACCTGAATTTCTGCCAACTTTCTATTCGTTGTTGTTTTAAAATTGAAAGACATTCGTACGTCTGCAACAGTCTTATTCCGAGATTGATATCCAGAGTAAGTCGTATTGGCTAGTCCCGATTTCCCGCCATTTTTGTGGTGTAGCCGGTAGATAACCCAAATAGTTATAAAACCAGTCTAGAGCTAATACAGTCTATATCACTGATAAGTCGGAACTACCGTTCCAAAGACGTCGGAAGTACTAAAATGCGAGAAGTTGAATGTTTTCTGGAAAATAACCCGACAGTTGCAAAGTTTGTAAATAAACAGTGCTATAAAACCATTGGACTGTGGCCATTTTGAATGCAATTTTTCAAAACCAGGAACTCAAACCGAACTTGGAGAATGACTGATGGGTTTGGAATAAGTATAAGACGAGTTAGTATTGGGCAACCGGGCCATAGAGATGTCTCTTACCTAAAATTCTTCGATCCTTCACCTCACAATAACAAATGAATTATAAATAATCAATGAATAACTTTTGATACCATTTAATTAACTACTTTTTAAAAGCGGATTGGTTTTTTTTTCGACGAGGGAGCCAAAAATTATTCCGTGCAGGATGCAGATATCCATCCCTAAAAACTGAAGAACAGTGCAGAATAACAACGTCAGTCGCGCAATCCTGTTGGCCAGAATAATAAGGTGTTAAAAATTAGCGAAAGATGGGAAATGTCGGAGAAAAAACGCCGAGTAGCAAACTGTGAGTATAATCGGATGTGAAGTGCGATCGATTTTAAAAGTCCGTAAAATTTTCAAATGTGACTCAATCAATTACCTCTGAAGGAAATTTTAAAAGGAAAGAATTCGAGTGCCCTTGAGATTGGATATTGCCACTACGCCGTTTTGATCGGATTTCCGTTTTTTATGAGCTGCTAGATTGAGAAAGTTTGTCTGCAACGCAGATCACAAATTGAAGAAAAAAATTAATGACTCGCCAAACGTTTCCCAGAATTTTGCCATCAAAGAATTGTTACCGAAAATTGCATTTGATTCTGTTCTTTGAAACCGAGCGGACTCTGGGCATGCTAAACGTATTTTAGCAATGCAATATAGTTTTATCTCTAGAAACCACTACTGACAGTCGATAATCAGCTTATTACAAAGGTAAATAAGACGTTATAATCTTCATTAGATTGTGAAGAGTAATAATTCTAGATCTTACACCTACCAGTACAAAAGGAAAAGAAATAATACTATTTACTCAGTCATACAGCAAAGGTAAATGTTCAAACGCATACGAATTGTTAATCAGTTGGAAATCGGATCAATAAGGATGAAGTCCGTGCCCTCTTCACTTGAAAGCAAAACAACTTCGTGATCCATCAGAGGCTGACACCAATCAAATCAATTGAAATAAATAAAGGGGTAAGTTTCTAAAGAAACTGTGGTGCTGCGTCGGTGGGAGAGTATAGCAAGTAAATTAGTGTTAACAACTGGGTTGAAAACGTAAATTAGCCACCGTAAAGAGTAAAAAAGCTGACGTTTCGAGCGTTAGCCCTTCGGCGATTGACTTTTTTACTCTTTACGGTGGCTAATTTACGTTTTCAACCCAGTTGTTAACACTAAATTACCTGCAATTGAAATAAAAGAAATTAATCTTTTGCCATGATGAAGAGGAGGATAGTGGCAACTTTTACATTCAATTAGATGTTTTGCATTAACTACTAGGGTTGCGAAAGTAGGCGTAAATAGTTACACACAAAGGCTTGCACTCGACCTTGATATTGCTTTCTTCGCAAACAATGCTCTCTCCCTAAGTCATAATTAAGTTTTCATCACAAAGAAGGAAAATTCGCCGACGCGAGCGCTTGCGTGCTTCTGTCCCGTGCTGTTTACAAACACGATCTGCGAAAGTCTGGCGCCAAGGAAGCCTAGTCGGAGATAGAACGAAACCAATATCTTTTTCACACTTTAATTCCGTAAAAGTCATCGTTCGTTATTTAAATTCTGTACAAACGTAGACAAAAAGCATTTAACTGTAAATGATGTTTATTTGCTCTTGAATATTAAGATTTCGCTTTACAGACTCATTAGCACGTATGCTTCTTGAATGCCGAAATCCCAATATTACAAAATTGGAGGAATTGTTATCGATCCCTATATCTTCTCCTCCTTGTGGGTTGTTGGCGTGGCAAATACCGACGGATCCATCGCTTTTACTCAGATCTTTTTCGAGTTAATAACGGACGAGAAATTTACCGCATTTCATTCAATATAGGGATGTTATTGCTTCTTTGCACTGATCTCTCTCTTGCGACTCTCTTTTCCCACACGCATAAATGTGTGCTAGAGCAATGTACATTTTGGGTGAAACTGAAAAAAACCGTGAAAGCTTTTTACGTCTACAGGTTGTTTAAATGTTGCTCTCTGAGCCGTTAACTTTACTGATACACTCAGTCGCTCGTGGTGAAACGCTCACATCTTCCATCTTGGCGAGTCTTGACAAGGTTCCCTTTTTTCTTTCAATGAATTTGTAAATTAATGGCTGTGCAAGTATCGACGGTATTTGAGTCATGTACCCATGTTATTTTTAACTAATACAGCAAAGCGAATAGTTATTGGGCTGTATCAGCGTTTTTTCTTTGACCAGCATAGTCGTAGCCAGTTTGTCCAATCACGTCCTTGCACTCGAACTTCTTGAACCTCTTTTTCGACGTTCTCGTCTTCCTTCTTCCGTTATGGACATACCACGATTCAGGGCTCGCTCTTCGTGAATGGAGGCTAAATCTTTCTCTAATTTCCTTATACTTTCAAAATGCGTTTCAAATAGTTCGTTCTCTTTGATGGCTTCCAGGCTCGGAACAAATCTAAACTTTGGATACTTTCTCCTCTTTTTCTTTCGATGACGGTTTATCTTCGGGCTTTGCATCATACTCTGGTGAATGGCTGCCAAATCTTCGTTGAATTCGCACGCAGATTTTTGACCATATTTGAAGTCAAAATCAAAACCTTTCTCGACACCGAGTTCTTTCATGGTGAGAGGCATTTCATCGTACTGATGAAGCATCCTAGTGTCATCATGAAATATATTCCCTCTTTGACGCATTATGTTTTCGTTGACGGAATGCTTCGAGACAAGCTCTGTGTAGTTCAACTCTTCTAAAACAACTGATTCAAACTTACGGTTCCGTTGCATTTATGCCCAGCGACGCAGAACCTCTATCACGTCGCATTATTTAAAAAGATTACAGCAACGCCCTGGCACTCGAAAAGCGAAACTACAATATCGGCCGACATCCCACATGCCATAATTGGGCCTCACGTGAATCATCAGCACAAAAATAGTGAATGAAAATACTTAGTTCTGTAGTTTTAGTTTTAAAGCGGAAATCTATCAATTCAGATAAAATTTCACAGAGGGGGTCGATGTAAAAATGTAAAAATCAGCCAAAAAAAAGATGTTCTCAAAAGGCCAAGAATTTCTAGAAAGTGACTTACATACGTAAAGAACTTCCGTTGGAGGCGGCCATGAATTATATTGGTGAGCGAAGCAACTTCCAGTAGCTTGTAATTATTCACGTTTTGCACATTTTTTTCTATTGTATGCTGAAAGGACCAACCGAAAATGTCTTGACTTGCCTCAACCTTGTGGCTGATTAACAATTACTTATATGTTATAAGCAATAATAACCTTGCAGAGTTGGGATTTACTGTCTTTATTAGAAATCTATAACGTTAGCAACACTATCAATTGCTACAAAATTAAGGAAAGAGTCCGCACAAAACCAGAACAACGTCAGAACAACAAGTCGCTATTGTTCACCGTTGCGGAAACAATTACGGAGTGTTTGTCTATCCGCTTTGTTTGTTGAATATTTGACAACTGGCCTCATTAGGACATGAAGGCGTTTGATAAATCACTCCTCAAAATTTGTTATTTTTTTTGTATGTGACTACCTCTTTGTAAACATTCGATCTTCCTTATAGAATGGACGGAGGAGAGCTTGATTTTGAATGTCAAACTTGGCGGTAAAAGGGTGAAACGGTCGTGAAACGGACACTCAGGAATTGTGAAGTATGACCACGAAAGTGCTGAAGAATGGTCAACCGCAGTAGAATTTGACGTTTAACAGGGAGATTCAACTCAACCAACTGGATCCCCCACTAAGTTCTCACGTTGTTCTAAAGGACGTGGCGAAACTTTTGAATTTATCTTTAGACTTAAGTTGAATTTTACATTTTGTCTTTGTACGTGTGCGGATGTTTTTCGTCGTTTATGGGAATAAATAAACGCCTCGCTGGTTGTTTAGAATACGGGGCTTTTCGATTCAGTTCCGTAAAACCGAAACCTTAGTAATAAAGGAGGTCAAGCATAAGAAAGAAAAAATGACGAGGAACTAGTAAGAACCCGATGTTAAACAAATGAATTTGGTTCTAACAACCGTATATAGGTTGATGAAATAAATTGGCCACCGTAAAGAGTTTCTAAAAGCTGACGTTTCTAGCGTTAGCCCGGCTTTCGTCATTCACTCTGACGAAGGGGCAACGTTCGGAACGTTAGCTTTAGAAACTCTCTTCAGTGCTCAATTCACGATATCAATTGATATCATCGAATTATCTTGTAACACCCTCTGTTAACGCAGCACCACAGTCCCCCGTCAAAACAAATGAACTGCTGAAGCACTGGAAAACGTGTGTGACCGAGTCGGGATCGCTTTTCAAAGTGGTTTGGTGTTTTGATTGGTTGGAAGATTGGCGCGAATTTTCTAAACCAATTGCGGATCGGATTGAAACAAAACCAATGCAATCCCGAATTGCGTCCGATACTTACTTGAAAAAAAAAAAAAAGGTTTTATTCTAGGTTTATGGAAAATAGGAGTTACTCATAGATAACATGAAACATATTGTTCTAGGAATTAAACGACAGAGGTCTCTTGTTACAACTTGATTCTTTTTTACCTTCGATTATTTGCGATTATGATCACAATTCTGAGGTCTTTGGGGCAAATATAGATATAGTTTTATTTCATTTGTTTCAAGTCTATTCTGGAAATTATGACACATTAAAAAAAAAAAACCTCAAACCCTTAGAACATAAAAAACCCTGCCACGCCGCATCCACAAATACTCTTGACTTACACTTTAGGTTTGGTTTCCGGTGATAGCCACTATTATACTATAAACTAGACACACAACAAATGCGGAATATCGGTGCATTTTAGTTACCAAGGCGACTCTCTCCTTGCTTTTCAAGCCGAAATATCTGAGATTCAATACACAGGTTTCCAAAAAACAAAAAATTTCACTCCTTACCTGTACAGAAATAGTTCCACAAATATCAGTGCGGAAAGGAATTACCCCAACACTTACCGTATCTATGGAGACTAGTAAGCTGAAACTCTTCAGATAAAGATCAAGGGAAAAACACCCCTCTTTTTCTGAACCAAGCCGACATGGCCGGTGAGCGGATAATGCGAAGAGATTGAGTCTGGTCCCTAATTTAAGCGATTATTCTCAGGTAATTCTTCATAAAGTGTTTTTAGCAAACTCCCTCAAAAAGTTCAAAATTTGACTCTTGCAAATTTGTTAATAGTTTCTTCTCATTCTCCATGAATAAAGTGTGTAAAAAACACAAACCTATATGCCTGGAAACTTCTTATTATGTGTAACGAGGGATACTACACAAAATGATGACTGTCTGATGTAGTTTTTGTAATTTAACTTGATTACACGAGACACTGATTTCAACTCTGTCCAGAGTTGTCCTATTTACCAGCATGGCAAGTGGTAGTTTCAATATCTGTGATCAATTTTATGAAAAATATCATTATTTTGATCTGTAAAGCTTTGACCAAAGCGTGCAGTAATATTATTGATCAGATAAATCTATTTTAAGATGGAAATATTTGCTCTTGCGTTCTCACTAACAGGTTTTGAACTAATTAGGCATACAGTGGTACGTTTCGTCAGCTGATGATGTTTTTTAACTGCGGGGTAAATTATCACAGATAGTGTCCATAAATAACAAGCAGGCTTCTTTTATTTGTAATTGATGTCTTGGAAATGTCTTTTATGGTGAGCGGTGAAATAATTTTTCCTTATGTCTTAGGCTTTCTTCAACTGTTTTGCTTCAATTTTCTTTTTCGCGTAAAGAACACACGAATTATTAGGAAGGCGACAAATCGTGTCTAAAAGTAGTGCGACTTTTTGTTTGAAAAGAACAAATAACTTGCACGTGCCATTGATTTTTAAAATGTCGCAAACATTTTTATACTCAAGGAAACCTATATGCTTAAAATTAATACAATTTGACTCTAACAATGATTTGGTGTGCTCCGTAAGTAATAACGAAATAAACATTTCAGGGGTGGCTTCACCAAGTTTCAGAAATCGTATCGTGACGATAAAGCTTAAATAAATGAAAAAAAGAGCAGTAATCCTCAGCACAAGAGTAACTCCTACACCAGCAAGTAATAATTTAATAATCGTAAAATTCGAGTATTTATGACTAAGTCGGCATCGAAATAACAGTTCTTGAATGTCCAATACTGATATTGGTAACTTTCAGGAGTTTTCCGGGATTTGAAACAATTTTAAACAAATTTTAAAATTAAGAATATACTGAATTTCCATTCGAAGTCTTGTTATAACTCTTCAATAACGCACTTATTTGTGTGCCATACATGTTAACAAGGGCTGAGCTGGTAAAGTAGAACCGAATGAATAAAGGGGGTGAGTTTCTAAAGAAGCAGTGGTGCTGCGTCGGTGGGAGAGTATAACAGGGTAATTAACTATTATCAACAGAGTTGGTAATGTAGATTGGCCATCGTAAAGAGTTTAGAAACTGACGTTTCGAGCGTTAGCCCTAGGCCATCGTCAGAACGAAGAGTTGATACTAAATTACCCTGTTATAACCGAACAAACCTTGTCCCTTGTGTTATGTATCATTTAATAGTAAAAACCAAGAAATTCGCGCCACAGTTGGAAAGGAAACTTAACCCTGACTATAGCCCAAGTGTTCTATTTCCTTGAAATGTTCCTAAGCTCATATATCTTTCAAAAGAACTATTGTGTTGGGAATAAGGCACTGAGATATCTAAGAGTTTGTTCTCTCATACTTTTTAGAGTGATGAGTGTGAATGAAATCGAATCAGGAACGATTAAACCAATTACTTCTGTGTGTTAATATCAAAAACGCGCATAGAAAGAAAACGATATCAGAAAGTTTCCGGATGTAGCAAAGCTAAAGAAGTAAAGATTGCCTTATTTCGATGACGAGATGTCTCAAACCGTCTATATATGGAAGGAAATTCGTACTTAATACTTTTTGCCGACTTTACAACAGTTTTTCTCATCCGGCATTCTCGCCGAGATCATAGGTCATTTTGAGTCCGTCATTTATCAAAACTGAAACAATTTACATAAAAGGATTGTTTGCTTTTGGCGAATTTCGCTGAACTCTCTAATATGACATAATCGAGCCTTCGCCAAAACCCTTGGCAAAACTTTGCTAAAATCGCCATGTTGCTATTGCGTGCATTACTGGACAAACAAGTGAAAATACAAGAAACAGGTCCATACGGAAGTCGAAAGCTAATATATCAGTGTAAAACTGACCAATACAATATTGATTGCAGAGACTTCTTAACGCTTATTACAAGCACCTTGAAGAGTAACTTGGAAGACAACAAGCTAGTTTATTAACATAAATATCTACATGGCTGTGCTAACGTCTAATTCGCTAGAAAAAAAGATTAGAAAAGGAAATTACTATAATCAATACCACCACTACCATTACTAGCATTAGAAAAAGTAATGAAAATAACGATGATAATATATTTGTCCTTGAGAAGATATTTGGTGGAGGTCCGAGCCTTTCTGACGAGCGCTTTAATCTAAAAGACACACCCTGAACATAGAGTAATTTTCATAAGCTCTACGCCATCTAAGAGCCATATGGAAAATGAAAATTATCAGAGAGCCGATGTACCTAGACTTTTGTTCTCTAACGGTGCATGTTGGGTCGTCCATTGTTACTGAAGAAGATAAGGAATCAGCCTGCTCCAACTATTTTTCTGACAAAGCTCCTCTCCCAAGGACCTTTGTTCCGCCCTCGTAAAACAACTTCAAAACTTCCCTGTAAACGACGAACTAGCTGGAAACAGTTGCCATCTTTCATAAATTAAATTCATACACGAGTCTTTCGACATTTCTAATCTTTGCGAAGTCTCCTTCGCGGCCGTTACGTGTCACGCAACACTTTCCCCCCAAAAAAGGGAACGTTGTTTCTTGAGAACAGTTGCAAAGGAAACTGATACTAGAGGTGTGTAGGGCGCTTTACCATACAGCATCATAACTTATTCGCGGGTCATTCTTTGCAGTTCAGCTGCTAAGGCATCCGATTGCGAAATAGAAACTGTCTGGGATTGGAATCCTCTCCGGCTACTTGGAGTTTATGTGTCTTACTGGCGTGAAAAGGTTTCTCAAGCGTACCCTGGGGTGTCAAGTTATTGCGTAACGCCTACTCGGCTAGACATCAATGGATTAGGAAATACATAAATTACTCGAAACATGATTTATCTGAAGTAATTAGGATGAAGGTAAATTATGTCATCACCACCATTGTTTTCGCAACGTTTGTGTAGTCATAGAAAAGTAGCCCGCTTTACACTGTTCGTCGACTTAACCAATGTTTTAATTGCCAATCCACCGAAAGGCAGAAAGGGAGGTAGAAATTTAGTGCTATAGGTCTTTACAAGCCTGTCGTTGTTTCTCATGCCAAAATGTATAATTCAGTGTTTTTTTAAGCAGTTCTCACTCCATACGCAAATGTTCTTTTAATATGCTCGTTGATTTGCGCGGGAATTATTCTCGAGAAAATAAAACACGTGTGTTAATCAAAATTTTGCGCACTGGTGACTAAGACGAATGCGCGTATTGCAAAGGCAAAGACAGAATGTAAAGCGATTAAAATTATCTCAAACAGCATGTGTCTTTTCCAACTAAACAGTAACTTAATGACTTAACCTCGGGACCTGAGTGTGACGGGTATATTTTTCACATGATTTTTAAGCTTTAGGGAGCAAAGCTTACTAACACGAACATCATAAACAAACATAAAGTATGTAGGATTGATTAAACGTCTTTTGAGTGCTAACTTCTCTCGGTTGTTTTTACGGTTAAACAAAAAGGAAACAAGCAGATCCAGTGGCCTTGCGAATCAAGAGGTGGAAACTTTAGAAAGGTCTAGAAATTGTTGCGAAAATATTTCATGGTCCCTGCACCCATCAACAAATTGAATTAATCTTTGCCCGAAATAGAACCGCATATTTAATAGGATTTCCGTTTAGTGAATGACTTGAAGGACACTCAACAATCCACCTGAAATGTTCGAGCTATCATTTGGCGTTCGCCTGCTATGTAAAAAGGGAAAGACATATAGTACGTCTTACTCTTTCGTTTGCCACGGGAAAGGAAACTAACTAATTGACTTCAAGTTGAACGTGTTTCGGTCCGTTGTAAACAAAACAAGCTTTGATTGGCGTTTGATATATGATGATGCAGCCCCTCCCCCAAACACACCCCCGAGTATGAAACATCCACACAAACATCCATCGAAGAGAAAGGAGACGAATAAGGATCTTTAAATGGAATAACAACCAGAATTTTAAAGAAAAATGGTTCTGTACTTGCGTTCGGAAGCCAGAAAGAGAACGTTCTGAGAGAATCACCAGGCAGAAGAAACTTGGATATACGCCCATTTTGGCCTGATTTAGGGAAACTCGCATAGCAATATCATATTTCTTAACGAGAGGTTCCTGCATCCCGAAAGAGAAAATATTACTGATATTTTTCGAAATCAAATCCCGGAAATGAGGATCGCAATATTTCCGTGTCAATTCAGGGAAATGTCTTCAAGGGATAGAAAGGGAATCCTCAGAAATACATCATGAACGGGAATACAAATGAAGTAAATTGAACAAATCTCTCGGAAAGTACAAACCCAGTTAAAGGGCGAACTGCAACTTTTTTTTGCCAAGTTTGATAAGATCCAAGTGAGGAGTAAAACAGAAATCGAAATTCTAGAATGCACAGTTTCGAATGAAATGTAAACACAAGTGATACTGGTCCTTGTGCCAATAAAACTGAACCCTAAGGCCTAGCAGTCAAGTTTTACACTTTAAGCACACGTAACGTCATCCACACGACACAACAAGTCCTTAACTTTGTCATAATTCAGTTTAATGTTCATTTTCGACTACCATACATGTATTAACCCTTCAAAGGGAAATAAAATGCTGACTTCGATTTCAAAAGTTAACCTAAATACATCACTAAAATCTTGTTTCACTTTCCCTCTTAAAATGTACGACATAGAAATATATTTCAGGTTTCCCCTCTGATTACAAGTGAAGCGAGTTGTGTTAATTTAGCAAAAGTAAAGGCGAGCGAACAACTACGCAATACTTTTTTTGCAAAATATGCAAATATTGTTTGACTTAGCCTGAACTAATGCTTTTTATTTAACCTATTCCGTCGACGATTTTCGCAGTTCCGTCCAAACAAATAAAACGATGCTAATGTATAAGCGAAGTGAACACTTCTATATCATAAAGCATTGTTCATTGTATCGAGGAATTTTCTTCCCGGAGGTTAGTTTCTTTTACGCTTGAAATTTACATTCGTCACGTGAGTCACTGGTGAAACTAACAAAGTTCCAGGTTGTTATTTGCAACAAGAGTTGTTTATTTCATCATCTTCCATTCCATGCGCTTTAGATCGCGTTTTCAAAATCCTCAAATCGTTCCTATTGCCGAGTCTTGGCAAAGTTTCTTTACTCTTCAAAGGATTCTCGTGTCCTGACACACAGCAAGCGCGACATGTTTTGCGGCTCGCTGTTGTCGATCTCATCGCCTCACAGTAAGGCGAGGTTCGCATCAAACAGAGCGTTCTCAATTCGCAGTTTAAGCGTTTTAAGATTGTTAGCCTCGTACAACTTGTCGTTTGCTATTTAGACTCTTCCGCTTGAGCTCCTAGAATGCCTTTTATGGCGATGGCGGCGACCTTCCTCCTTCACAGCCAAGCCACAACTCAGGGCACGTTCACGATGTATGGCGGCCAGATCTTTCTTTTCGTCCTCAAACGATAATTCAAAGAGTTCATTCTCTTTAATGTCTTCGAGACTAGGCACAAACGAAAGTTTCGGATATTTTCTCCGCTTGATCCTTCGGCGACGTGTCCCTTTAGGATTCTGCATCATGCTAAGATCGATGGCTGCAAGATCCTTATGAAAATCCACGGCAGATTTCTGGCCGTATTTGAAGTCGAAATCGTAAACTTTATCAACGCTCAGTTCCTTCATAGTGAGCGGTTTGTCGTCGTGAAGAAGAACCACAGGTGAATCTTCGTGTAGAATCTCTGTTTTGCACATGACTTCGTAATTTTCTCCTGCTCTCACTCTAAATTCCGTCCAGCTCAAATGCTTTAAGACAACTGATGCAAAATAATTATTAGGTTGCGCTTTACACTCAAGCTCTACGCGGGCGTACGTGCTCGCAATTTTAATTAGATATTGAATTTCAAATAACAATCAATAATTCAAAACATGCCCGCACCGCCAGCCAATCACAGTGTCGTTTCTTGATGGGTCGTGCTATTTACTCTCGTTCAATAACAAAAGACATGATAACATCAAAACACTTGATTGACCCACAAAGCAACAGAGGTCGGCCCATTTTTATCCCATTTAGATTTGATTCTGTTCGAACAATGCAAAACATGCAGATTCAATATTCGCCCAAACTTGCTTCGATCGTCTTTCTGAATTTATTGATCCGACAGACTTTCTAAAATATCGCTGACGTGCTCTCCATGCAATTCGGTTGTGCGGTGAAGATTGACACGTCTCGGGCGAAGAACAGCCCTAAATCACTCATCTTGCTTTTGTCTTGACACTTTGACAGATCACGATTCACGTCATCCGGTTTTGTTGGCGCTGTGACAATCAAGTCTTAAACTTATGATCTCAAAAATCCTCAAAACAGTAACCTAATGAGGACTCTTGCCGGCTTTAATCGAATTATTTTTGCTCCCGAAGCATTTCAAGCGCTTAAAAGCTCCAACATCGGGTAACCGATATTGGACTGTGGTTGTGTTGTAAATGTTGGAGCAGACCGAGCTCAACCAAATGTAAACAGACACCAATCAAAATAACTTAAGCTACAGATGATCTATGAAATTTCAAGTCCGTTGTAGAGGCAATTATGAAATGTGACGGAAAGCTTTAGCAATTCAAAAAATAAGAAATGCATAATTCCATCTACTTATGAAACCTGTTTAATCTCTTACGATAAATGAGAAAGCGCACGACAAATTCGATGAACTGTGACCCAATCGAGACGATAGAATTAGAACAAAACCGCACCCTCGCCAGTTGGAATAACCTCTTGCGAAAGCGAGACAAATATGTGATAATTCATTGAATCCGTAGATCAAAAATAAGTGTCACCCTCGACCTTCTAATGGAAGTTGAAAGGTATCTGGCGATCAGTCTCGCGAAAAAGAACATTTTGTATATTCTAAGTGCTCATTGTTTAAAATTCCGGAAATTGTGTGAGCTGCAATGGACAGAAGATAGAAGCAGAAGTTTAATAGCAGGAGCTTTTCCGCTACAAATACGCTCGAGAGCGTTCAAGCGAATCACATCCTTAGGACAAGGTGTTTCATGAAAGGAAATATTAATTCAACCACAAGAAAGGAAGGATAAGGATTCATTCAAATCTCAACATGCGGGTTGAATTAAGACAGTAAAAGTACAACTTGCTTTGAAAACAAATAAGAAAAGTATCTTTCAATTCTAATAACAGCGCTCGTAAGGGGTCCAGGAAATTAAAAATTCTAAACACAAGCCTGAAATCGATCAGGTCACGTAAGATCAGAACTTGATAAAGGAACCGAGTCGAAAACAGTCTTAATTGGATGTGAAAGTTTTCACAGGTTCAACAGAATAAGAAAATCACACTTATTCTCTTGATGCACGGACGGTTGTTATTGTTTTTTCAAATTTTCAATTAGGAAGTCAAGATTTAACCAAAGCATGATAAGAAAGTAAGTTGATGAAAAAAATTGTTTCAAATAAACACCATTAAAACCAATCAACCCGTTTAAGTCTTTCTTTCCTTCAGGGCAATTTCCACAAAGAAATAATTTCATATGAAAACCAATTAAAAATTAGATGTTTTCTCACATGAAATGAGGGTGACAATCGAGGAACTCACGTGCGACTTTCTGAACACGTATGAAATTTCATAAAGAACAGGGAACTACAGTTAAATCAAACACCAAAAAAAATTCCTATGTTTCCGCAGACGTGTAGAAGTGGTTAGATAACTCGATCAAAAGGAATCCCCTTGAAAGTACGTGCATCCACGCATACATTTATGTAAAATTTGAGTCCTGATTACTAAACATCGTTATTTCTTGGCACCCAGTCTGCTAAGCTGTTCAATAATTGGCACCCGTTCTCACGATATAGAGATTATTTTTTAATATGCCCTAATTTTTTAGAAGTGATTTTCCTACTACTTCAGCATGGTTGGAAAATAGTTTGCGATACACAAATAAAAAAAATCACCTAATTTTCAACTTTTAAGAATTTTTTTTCCGTCACGTACACATACAATCAAAAGAACTGCTTCGTTCATAATTTACAGGGGATAAAGGCTTAGTATCACGGAAGTTTTTCACTGGTAAGAGTTTCACTTCATAGATATTTTCGGGAATTTTAAAAAATGATATAAGATTCTAATGAAAACAGAACCTTTTTTTGGAATAAGAATTACCTCTGCATTTGTTTATAAACAAAAACCGGATGAAAGCTTTCGATGAAAAGTGATTTTTATGCTGCATTATTCATCAAGGATAGTCAACAAACAGAGTGAGACTGTGTCCTGTATAGGACTTAACGATTGTCATTTCAATTAGCACGGCTATAAAGAGAGAATGAAACAGATTTCAGTCGCTCAGCGGTCACAAGTGCCAAAAAAAATGAATAACTAAAAACAACAGAGATATTTCCTCTCAGGGCGCACCGCAAAGCATGTTTCGCGCGCTCACTTATTTTTGGCGCACTTGGATACTTATTTCAAGTAGAGAACACTGCAGCAAAGCTACTGGTTTATCTATATTTGACGATTTTTTCTTTGTTATGATAAACCGCAGTTGTGAATGCTTGTTTTATTGTTCTTCACAAAAAACTAATACTAGTTTAAGCCATGTTTTCCAACACGCTCCCTACACCTCACACGCTCAACCTTGCATGCTCTCAAATGGAGGCACGTCCCAGACTAATAATTTAGTAACTTGGTTAACTTCATAGACATCCTGCCGTTCGGTTTGAAAGTTCAAAATCACTAAATTTCAATAGATCTTGATGTTTAATTCTGTTTTCAAGACTTTTTGGATATTTTGCGCACCTTACTTACAAAGGATGTTTGATGTTAGAATCCTCTGGGGATTTTTTCAGTTTGCGAACACAAAGGACTTTCTTGAACTTTCGAGATTTTCATTTGTCTAGTAGGCTGGTTTGGTTCCTTCATCTAGCTATGGGCACTAACTTAAAAATACTATCTTTCAGCCGGCTGGGCTGCTCTGGTAAGCCTGGCTGCAACGGGGAAAACCACGAGACCCCGCGTTCTATTCAATAGAACCAGTGTATTTGCTCGATTAAAGGCTGTGGAGTTATCACATTTCCATCGTTTTTTATACAGTCTTTCAAGGGTAGTGTTGATTTCAAACTCATATTTCTTAAACCACTTAAAACAATCACAGTAAATAATTTTCAGGTGCAATTATAGAAAGCCCATACAGGAACTTAGTATCGAAAACCTCACAAAAACAAATAAAGGTATTTTTACTTGCCAGAAGTGTTGCTTGTGTCGTTCTTACCCAAAATTAGCGACTTCAAGCGCTAGCTATTTCAGAGATTTTTCTCCAGTCAAGTCTTTTGTCGTCTTCAAGTAAGACTCGAATGGAGAAAATTTCTCATAATTGCTTGAGGTCGCTAATTTAGGTCAAGAACGACACAACCATCACTTCAGAAAAATAAAAACTTTCTTTATTTCTAGGAGTTCGATACTATGTGCTTGTCTGGGATTTCTGTAGTACCATACAACTGATAGAGATGTCCGTTTCAATGTTTTGCACTTTTTTGCGGCGATCGATTCGTATTGTCTAGCCTGTGATGCGCTAAAAAAAGATGGGGCTGGTTAGCAAGTTATACCAAATTGTTATTATTTTTTTCCTAAATTTCTCGAAAAAACACAGTATTTTATGCGAGGACTGCGCTCAGTCGAGTAGGTGCCTTAAGTTAAGCATTGCAATATCCACTTATTTAGTCTTTGCTTCTGCTACCGAGTTGAAGACAGGTGAAAATAACTAACAAGAGATTCGGCGGTTGTAGTTGTCATTAACACCGCTCCGTGGTGATTAAACAGAAAAGAAAACGAGTGCAGAGCCGTCTAAAATAGTTGAGCTGTTCATTCAATTAACTTTGCATATTCGATTGTAAAAAGATCGGGATAAAATGCGTTTTCAACAGCTTGCTGATTTCAGTAAGTCCTTTCTGTCAAAGAGCGATCACATGACAGAATTGTGACGAAGTCGATAGGCAGTCGGTTTTAGAGCAAAATACATCAAACATTCAAAAATTCTATTGATTTCCAAAACGGAAAAAAACAAAAACCCGAGAACACCTTGAAATACACTTAGCCCTTTTTGGAGGGGAAAACGATTCCAAACTAAAGCAGCGGCGGATAGCTGAGTGATTTTACAGTGGGGTCAAGAAGAAAAGGAAGTATTGATAACTACAATTAAGTTGTACAAGGCCGTTTACCTGTCATAATCTGAAAGCCCTCGAAATCATGCAGCTGGCTTTGGCAAAATCTAAAGAAAGAAAAAAGACCATTAGCCAGTGCCTACTTTTCCTTGACAGTTTTGGGGGTTTTTTTGACCTAGAAGTCTGAAAACAGTTCGATTACAGACAGCCGCCGACCAATTCCAAGATCTGCATTCGTAATACTATTGCGGTGACCATCTGTTTTGGTAACGTTTGGTAAGTTATCCAACGTGTCCAGTTAGTGAGGCTTTATAGCCGAATAAACTACCTCGCTATCTCATATTAAAGAGGTACTTTTCAGTACTCGGTACAAAATAACCAAAATCGTATTTGCTCGTAAACACAACCAAGCTGTCTGGTCTATTTGCAAATACACAACATTACACAATCGAACCTTATAAAAGGGTCATTTATGAACAACGCGCTAATGACTTCTACGAACGCTGCAGAAATCTCACCTTGAGTCATTGTGCATGTTCCGTTACTTTTTGCTATGCAGGAAAGGTTAGATATAAAACGAGCTGGTTATAGTAAGAAATGTAGTGTTCATTAAAGATTCATGTGATGTAATCTATGGTACATTTCTTGATAATCACATGGCTCAGTGGGCTTGTACGGGAAAAAACGTGACTGTCTAAAATTGACGCGTGAGGTGTTTTTAGAGTTGCACTTAGCGATAACATAGTACTGTTTCTGGCTTTAGTTCAAATTTAGTCACGCTTTAGACTTTTATAACCTACATAACTGGCTTTTTTTTTTTTTGGCCGCTCGATGAAAACACCTTGAAAACACCTTGACGGGTGGTGAAAATTGTGAATTCACAGTTTTCTAGCTTCACTGTTTTCCATTCATCTCGCGGATTCGCCGCTCTTTTACGTGGGCCCGCGTAAGTCACGTGGTTAGCGGGTCGTCGAGCGGAATAACGTGGTCAGGGATGGTGGTGTCGGTGGGCAACGTGAGGTTGTTGTCATAGCTGCCCTCAAGCCCCGACCGAGTTCGCACTCGCTGATTATTAGTGTTTTCAACATTTCTTCAAAACTGAGTATGCTCCCAGTAATTCAAAGACTTAATTTATCGATTTTCGTCTGGATAAAAATTGGATGATCGTTGCCAAGTGAAAAACGTAGATTTATCGACTCATGAATCTACTGCTACCGATTTTTTTTAAGGCTGTGGTTGTAATAAAAACTCTGACACGGTCTCATACAGAGGTACAGAAACGTGATAACCGAGTCTCTGTTTGACATTCCGAGCTACCTGTAGCTGCTTTTAACGTATACCTGGCGCCCCTGGTGTGGAATGTTATTTGTGGCGAACATGGCTTTTCTCGCTGGGTCTCTTTACGATTCGAGTGCATAAATATGTTCGGGGCTAAAACAGAAGTAAGAAATGGAAAACTCTGGAATCAAAAGTGATCTTTAACAATTGATTGAAACCAACCAAGGGTGAATTATATGGAAAGTGTTAAGTTACTGTCTATAAATAATAGTCAACACTTCAAACCATATCTGATTTATTAGGAGAAGGCAGAATGGAATAAGTTGAAGCTGAATAATTGTGCAACCAGTCGGTATATGATGCATCCACAGATGCCACAAGCCCAGCTAGATCGTTTACACAGATTTTCAAGGTTTGCTAAAACACGGCATAAGTCCAATTAATTAACAGCATGTGGCTGAAAGGACATATTTTTATGGACCTATATTTAAACAGAAAATCTATTTATATTCTCCATGCCTAATTAATTACGTTGACTGAAGACAGATTACGTCTTAAATAAGGCACGTACGAGTGGAACGAGTCCTTGAACATGATGAACACCAATGGCATGTACTGGAGGCGAAATAATGAAAAAGCTTGAAGATGTTGTTTCAAGTCTGAATCTAGACGTTTTCGGTAAAGAAGGTGGCACAGTAAGACAGAAAATCATGTGAAATCCTTCAAAGGGGGTCGAGAGGAATGGTTGGTGGATCGATGAAGAGCAATAAAAGGATGAGAACTACCAACCGGGTCTGTTATCATTCCTTTATCCTACAAATTCACACTAAATATTTAAGCGAGAGAACAAAACATTCACACTGCGGAATCTGTCAGGCGTTTTATTGATTTAGTTTTTTTCTATTCAGTGATCTATACAAAACCATCAATGACACAGAGTACATGAGTCCAACAAAGTCATAAGATTTAGATGACATCATGAATAAGCAATTTTTCTACTCCAAATAATTAAAAACCTTCCTTGGGAGTAAAGAAGAGAGACTTTATTCGAACTTTCTTTTTATTAGTTCCTGAAAAATTAAAGAGCCAAGGTAAAAGAATAAGGAATTTGATAAACTCGCCGACATCATTGATTTTAAATACAACGGTGTTGTACGTGCGACATAAAAAAAGAAGTCAGACAATTTGGACGTTGTCCACATTAGCAAACAATTATGGTTAAAGTACAAAATTAATCGATTTTGACACAACTTGGAAATGCTTTCAAATGGAAATTGCACACTTTTTTTCTAAAATCAAAACGCTTCAAAGTAAATTGAGTAAAATTACCGAAGCCCTACATATTAAAGGAAATATTCTGTATGGTTTTTCATTATTGTGCTATACTCCCTTAGTCTATAAATACCAACAAGTCCGTCCTTATATAGTTCCTGCGTAGCTTCGGTATTCATGTAGCCTCGTACGATGGGTGAAATAAATATCAAGGAAGAACTCATCGCTTTTCTCTACGTGAGACCAGGAAGGAAGTAACTTAGAACGGAGAATGTCAGTCAGACCGACAAAAAACGAGGAACTACGTTTGCATCACGGTCTTCACTCAACTGAAATATCACAACTGTAGCAACAGACCTTTACAGAAAGGTCTCGATGGCTTGTTCAAAATATTTTTCGATCTGTTCATTCTGGACGTTCATCTCAATGTTTTTCTTTTTAATTACATGCTGTGATTTTTTATTTTCATCTCGCTGACTGACTGGCTATGTCGTGTAGTCTTTCTACTATCGTCCTAAAATGACCATTCGATCTTGACGTTCGAGTTCTGTTGGATAACTCACGTCTTTGTTTTGTACCTGTAAAATGAAAAATTCATTTCAGAACGCAATTTTGAATCGCAAAAAACTGCTTAAATTCATCTCAGTAAGAAAAATTTTCTAAAAAAGTAAAACTCAACCGACATCATTGTGGCGCTTAATCACTAAATTACTTACTTGAAGCGCAGCTGTCCTGACATTCTTTTAAGCTGCCGAACTTATTATCATTACCCACGCAGCTGTAGTATTTGAACGCCTGGCACATGTTGGTAGAGGGGTCAAAATAGTATTTCAGTTCTTCCGTGCTACATTTATTACTTCTCCAGACACTCGTGCAAATGACTGCACCTTCTCCTGAAAAACAAAAACACGGCAAAATGTCGGATGATACGTACTCCAATCTGATGTGGGTTTTTCTTCTTTATTCAAACCATTTCCTTCCATTTTTTCTTTCCTTTTTTTCAACTAAGCAAAAAACACGCAAGAGATTTGAAAAATAATCCTGCATTAAAGTTTTGCTTAGTAGCGTTTATTTGTAAGTCAAATAAGCGTGAATTATGTAAGTAAATATAGAATTATCGTCATGATTCGCGAGTACACGAAAGACATAAGCTTAGATATACGAAAATTTATCTTCAATAATATATTTCAATCTTATCATCGTGAATAAAATAAGAATTCACCGAGTGGAAACATAATTCTCTATGGTGATTAGTTGTAAAAATAGATTTTCTTTATGGCAGAGCAATTAAGTATTCTCGGAGGCTGAATAGTGAAGGGACTTAACTATTGTGCATTTGGCTTTCTACAGTTAACGAGTAACGTAGATAGGTGCAGACATTGACACGTGTTTGGAATATATTTCCAGTTTTGTGAAAAAAAAAAATTCCGATCGTGTCAGCAATCGCAGATGAAAGTAGATTTTAAAACTTTAAGCACATCTTACAGACAATTTATCTTGTCTCGACACATAAGAACGTCTGTTTTGAATCCAGGACTTGGTGGATGAAACGAGAATTGTTGCCCAAAATTTTGTGACCGTAACTAAGACCTGTGATGTAAGATGGAGCATGGATAACCAATGGTTACCAAATGGAAGGAGGGCTTCTACGTGGGCGAGGAAATAAGAACCGACAGATTTGATTTTTTAATCAAACATCTATCGATTCGCCAACGTGAGAGCAATAGCCTTTTAAGCTGTTTATAAAATACACTCCGAGCAATTTTGGTTGCAACCTCACGAGAAGCTTGCTTTTTCACTCAGTTTTGTAAATGCGCTCCTAATACCGTTAAATCTCTCCCAATCCCCTTAAAATTGATTGAGAGAGAAGTTTGAGACAAGGAAGGCAAAGATAAGAGAGCGTTTAATCAACAGCAACTCTTTAGTTGTTTAAAAATTGTTCTCGCACCTATACGAAAACAAAAAATCTTTGGAGCTAATTTAAAACACACTCATATTTTTAAGGTGCCCTGACGTTGAAGTAAAATCAGTATTCATGTGAATGCGATATATTTAATTCCCTAACACAATAGACGAAAACTCTCGAAGTATTACGGTATGTTTTTCATTATGTTGATCGAAGCAACACAAACAGCTAACACAACGTAAAATGAACGTTGGCAAAATGGAGTTTGTAGTAAACATCACTTGGCTCTCTAAACAGAAATATGAAAATCTTAACAGTTGATTTGCAAATTTTTAAGTAGTGATTCTATTTCCAAAAATAATCAGCACAACTAAAAAATGGAAAATAAAATGCTAAAGCAAGCTTTCTGTAATCATCTTCAAGCGAATAATTAGCACTCAAACTAAGGTGTCAAAAACTGCAATGATCATGAGCGCAAGAGAATTTTCCAGAAAGGAAGATAAACAACTACTTCTAAAAGACATCATCGGAATACTAATAGATTATTATAAACAAATACGTTCGTTTCCTTCCGCGATGCGACAAGAATAATACGAATGTGAGAATTTACGAGGGTCAAAAAACCGGCGACAAGGCTGATGTGAGAAAAGAAAAACAAGATTTACTAAATAAAACCAAACCCGACACAAATATCTACAGTACCGAACCACATAAACAAATCAAAACACCGGATCAATATCTTTTGATCGGGGTACTTTTGTGTCACATAATCACATCCTTGTCTCACACAGTACGTGCTTCAGCCGCAAGGGAATTGTAAATATAATGACAGTTAGGTATATTGCACACATCTTTTGTTCGTTTCTCATGAATTTCAAGTGTCCGTGATTCTACTTAACACATCTGCTTTAATAACTTAAACAATGTTGACATAATTAATAGAGGTGAAGAACAGCAAAAACGTGACTGCCCTGCCTTATAATATATTCCAATTGATTTTGGCACAACCTTACTTCATATGCAATCATTTCTTGATAAGATGAGAGCCTAAACATGAACAAAAGCACGTATACACCTTTGAGAAGAATTCCAAAGTTTTGTTGTTGCCGAGTAGTCGAAAGTCGATTAAAAAATTTTTAGCCGTGATGTTTTCGTGTTTTGTCCACTGATAAAGCCAGAATAAGTCACTCATTGTACTTTTTAATACCACCACAGACAAATAAACTTCATGATACAAAAACATAAATATTTTTTTACTCTTTGGTTCTTGAAAGAATGAATGTTCTGAATTGGTATAAGTACAATAAGGTTTATCTTGATCATGTCGTAACAAAATCCAAGAGGACAGAGACACGAAATTAGTTTACCGTTCTAATTTGATCTTGAAAAGACAGACTCTTCAAAACTCCTCTACCTTTTTCGCTCAAATCATCGGAGCATTGCATATAGTAGAATGCAACGGAAAGGAAAGTAAAGCAATCGAAACAGCCGATCAGCACGAAGGTTTATCTTCCAAGCTGCCCACGAAATCTCCAAGTAAAAACAAGCAGATTTCACAAAGCCAGAATGTCGCTTGTGTTCACGTAAAAAAATCTATCGCTGTTTATAGAGTCTATAGGCTACTTACTCTTCAAAAGATCAAAGAAATGACATCACAGATATGTCTCGAGGAAGACACGGAGTCTTTAATGGTTATTACGCAGTTAAATTCTATTTCCCAAAATATGATTTCATTCACATAATTGCAGGACTGGAGAAACGCGAGCAGGAATTAGACCGCCAGAACGGCTGAGGTCATTTCCGTGATAGCGGTTAATTCGGGGTAAATGGTTTACAAGTAACACTTTGTTGTGACGCAAAGCAATCTCTCTCAAGGTTCTGCCCTCAAACATAGAATGTTTGAAACGTAGACTGAATACTCTTGTGGTTATTTGCGGATATTTTCCAAAGGGCACTAATTTTAACGGAATGTTGAACATCCGTTTGCGTTGTGACGAATCTGTTTTAATATTAATGTTGAAGAATATACGAAACAATTCCTATGAAAAATATGAATAAAATATTCGTTCAGCTCAAAACGTGAGCGATAGAAAATCTGCTTACAAGGAAGAATTCAGTGACACACACCGCAACATTTAAGGAAGAGAAGAACAATGTCAATTGGTAACGAAGAACCTTTTCAAAGTAAAAGGATTATAAGAATTCTGTATTTGGAAAATCAATTTTCACGCATATCTCTATAAAACATCAAGTCGAATTTTTAAATATTTTGCCGTTTCTATTGGCAGTTAATAGAGGCTTTAGATGCACGCGGCATATATGAAGAACAATTTATCGCGAAAGAGAAATTTTCGATCAGTTAAAACATCTCAGTACGGAGAGATGTTAACTATCACTTCTATATTTACAATATTTTCAGCATTCACTGTATCGATTATTTTTCAATCAAAATCACGGAATTTTCTGAATTTATCTAAAAATTGAAGTGAATTAAAAGGGAAACAGAGGTAAAGTGTAGGAAGCCACTTTCATATCAAATTCCCTCATGTCGAATATGAGCTACTGAAAAGATAGAGCGTAAAAAGTATTTTATTCCACAATTACGCCATTTTACCATACTACGGCACTAGAACGAGGAAAATATGCCACAGCATTTCACTGTCGAACAAGGAAAAGTGAAGCAACAAAATGGCCGCTCTGAACGATATAAACTTCGCTTCAGATACAACGAGCCTTTGAGCGCTCCAACACTTTATGCTTGCGTTTGTGTAGTTCGTATTTCGCGAACGCCTTATGAGATCAGTTCGAACTTCATATGAGGCTATAGGATGCATCTGGAAAACTAGAGCTTTAAATTAGTCGAATAATGAAATTCCTTATTCGATGGTTAACATATAATACGAGCGGACATTTTTTACATTGTTCTCATTTTTCCTCGCCCCTACAGAGCTTGGAAAAATACTGCACAAAATATCCGCCGTATTATAGGTTCGACCATCGATTGACGTGTGTATATTGTTAACGATTGACAGAGTCAGAAAATTCGAGACAGAGAATCGTGTGCAAATCACAATCGATAGAAATTTCTTATTGAGTATAGGCGCCAAGATTCCGTTATTGTCTCTATTTGTATTTTTCGATTTTTGCCCAGTTTAGTTTTCGCGTTTTTATGCCTTTAGTTATTTAGTCTTAAATTGAGTGCTTCTTCTGTTTTGTATGATAGATCTTATTCTGCATCTTGTATGTCTTGGTTAGTTTTATTTTCTGGTAATTCAGGATGGTTCTCCGTCTGTTGAAGTCTAGTTAAATAGCTGCTTGTTTCAGACTCAATAATATTTGATGGCTTCGCTTTGCTTCGCTTCGTTTCGCTTTGTTTTGTATTGATTCGTTTGCTCTTGGTGGTTAGAATAAATTTCGCGCGACGTAAAGACGTATGTGACAACAGTAAATGTAGCTTGTTCAGAATACACACTGCGAGTTTGCTTTTGATACACTTAAATTTATAGTGTACATTTAACGATAGAGTAGCCTTACAACTAGTTTTAAAATCTTACTTCACTTTTCCTCTAAATGTAGTTGTCGCATTTTGCTAAAATTCAATACATGAAGGCTTACATGCTGAGATGGAACGTGACTCCACTCATCAAGAAATTCACCTGGAGGCACACGAAGGACATCAACGTGCGACTTTGCACGTCTAAATCAAAATCAAATACCTCACATCGTGACTACTAGAGCGCCAAGGACACTTGTCCTGGCTAGACAAGAAAACTCTTGTTTCATCGATATTTAAGACGAACATAACTTAATCTCCAACATTGGCCATCACGTCCGCTGGCAAACGTTTGTGGAATTCATGGTTAGAGGTCATTGGAAGAAAGAGATTTGGGCCAGCTTCTCCTGGTCATTCATGTACTGATACAACACAAAGGCTCACACCATAAAACTGACGACTAATGCTTCTTGTATCAAAAACCAGGTGTAAATTTTACATCAAAATTGGCCAATAAAACAACTTAAACATCGGTTCAAAGTGTTTTTTTCGCTCTATGTTATGTCTAACCAGGTATCTGTTCTACTTGAGCACGTGCCTTCGATGTGATGTGATATGATACGGGGACGTGAGTTGTGACATGAATCCGCTATCAGAATACATCAAGGAACTCAGTAAAAATGAACAAAAAAGAAAAATCCAGTAGTATTTCAAAAACATTTTACGGTCACAGAGTGGTTCGTTTCTATCAAATATAATACGTTGGCACAGACACCTTCCAGTTCTCTCAAAATAAGTGGTGGACCACTGTTAACACGTAAGGTGGCCATCCAAACATGGATCTACACACGCACAAGAAAACTCGCAAAAAACGCGTTCGTCCTGAACCAGTTCAGTCGTTGGTCGTTGGACCAAGACTTAAATTTTGGGTAGAATTATGTTCCGCACTTAGGTGTCGATGACGTTCCGTAATAAGAGCTTCAAACAATTTCTTTCATGTAGGAAATTTTTCTTTTATTAAAGGTGTCATACGAATTAAATCTAACAGTTGAGCTAAAGGTCGTAAAAACGGGAACGAGTGAGAGTGCGGCTATCCAAACATGGATCTACACACGAACACGCACGAGAAAACTCGCAAGAAACGCGTTCGTCCTGAAACATTTCATTCGTTGGACGATGGATAAAGACTTATACGAATTAAATTTAGCACAGTTAAACAAACGGTCGTAAAAACGGGAAAAATATATATGTAATAATAACTAAAAATCAAACCGTATAACTGATGTTTAAGACCTACCACAAATATTTTCGCATTCTGCAAAGCTCGACGAGCCTTTTCCCAGCGAACAACTGCTCTGTATGTCCGATAAATAATTAACACAAGCTTGAGTCAGGGTGTTTTTCTTGGGTGAAGAAAGAGCATCTTTTATCTCAGATAAACACGGCCCGTTATTTGGTGGTAGTCCACAAAGATTCCCTGCAAAACAAGAATGACCCGAAAGATAATTATGTTTGCTTGACAAACAAAGGGGGACTTGACAGGGGCACATATTTCTTTACGTTTCGTGTGTGTTAGAAAGGTGTAGCGTTGGGGTTTTACTCGTACGAAATGAGGTCCAGTTTAGATTTCATGTAAATGGTCTGAAACTAGCCTCTTCTGATATGAAAAAGATAATAAGGTCTCTTGAAAATGTGGTTTTAGTTTGATAGTAAGCCTTGTGAGCTTCGATTCCCCCTGAAACGTTTATGTATCAACAGTTCCATGCAGATGTGGTACCTCACTTCGACGCAAGACCCCTGTGAAGGCATGCGACTGTGCTTCTTAAATAAAACACAGTCAGGGCACAAGCTTCCAATCTATTCAGAGCTCTTCAAGCTTATTTTGCATTAGAGTTACCGAACGCATTCCCTTGCTAGTATCCATTTTTCTAATTCACTTCAATTCTAAGCGGGGAGAGGCATCCTGGGAGGGGCGCAAGCCAGGACCTCTCGTCCTGGGACTCATGGTGTTGGGGCTCAGGGTACTACCTTATAGCGTCTCCTACCTTCCTCTCAGTAGTAATACTTGGTCTGAAGGATCACTAAATATCATTCATAATTGACGTACCGATTCTACAAGATGGACCTGAGTAGCCAGGTGCACATTCACAGGTTCCATCGGCGTTACAAGTTCCACCGTTCAAACAATCTGGCTTGCATGCAGCTGGGCAAATAAAAGCAACGTACAATGACTATGAGTTGGGGTTAATCAACAAATACCAACCACTCGCTATGACTAGCCGTGCTTCTCTAGCAATGGTTAGTTTGGCGAAAAAACGGGAATAAGTTTTTTGAAATATTAAGACCACGCCAACTTAGTGTCTTAACTTACGTCTACTGAGTAATGCATTGAAATAATTTAAAAGAAAAAAAATAACAACAACAACGACTAAATACAAAAAAACAAAACAAAACAAAACAAAAAACAAATATCAAACAACAACGACAACAAGTTTAATAGCACGAGTTTTGTTCTCTGAAGAGACACACATAACGTTCTTGTTAGCTTAAATATGTACAGCTTACTTACATATTTCACATCTTTTACCATTGTACCCTGGCGGGCAAGTACAGCTCTCTGGCTCAGTGCATTCGCCGTTGTTGAAACAGTAGCCGTTGCAGACAGCTGAGAAAATTAACCATGGCTCGTTAGTTTTAATTCGTGTCTTTTGCAATTTAGATTACAAGAAGCTAAATGTTTGTGGAAGGGGCTAATGGATGTCTTTTGCTAGTTTGGAAATCCCAGAGATTAAAATGTAAAAATTCTCCCTAAGATGACAGCTAAAACTAAACAAGAGACATATGCTTTCATTCCCGTCAGTTTGAGATCTGAACTAAGTACACGTTCAAAACCTTATCTATATTTTGTAATGACCGTTCCTGGTATGAAGCAACCGTTACTAATGTGCAATTACTGCAAATGGTTAGCCTCAGAGATTGTACAATGTAACTGTGTAGGTGGGATGTATTTTATATAACCATAAGACAGAGTGTAATCAATACAGGCCCTTTAGCCAGGGAACGCCCGATCGGTATTGTCTCTGATGTTTTTCCTTTCAAAGCATATCGCAAATTATCTCAACAAAGAATTCTTATTTTGGTTTGAAGTCAGGTGTATGTAGTGTCTTAGCTCGAAAGTTTACTGACTTCAAAACCGCAAGAAGATTTCATGACAACTTACGTGATTGACACAGAGAGCCTGTGTAACCTTGCGGACAAGAGCAGTTGTTGGAGCTGGGATCTGTACATTGACCTCCATTGAAACAGGTCACAGAGCAAACAGCTAAATAAGCAGAAGAAATAGAAATCAATTGCAAACAGTAAAAAGAACAGCTGTGTAAGGTTTCTAAAAGGGGATGAAGGATAAGGCAAGATGAAATGGGTGAAAATTAAGCAAATCAATGTTACGTTGAAGATCTTACCGTCCTCACAGTGTTCTCCTTCATAATTCAAGGGACAAATGCATTGTCCCTCTACACAAGTTCCACCATGTTGGCAAGGCTCGGTGCAGTCATCTTCGTGATTGAAAGAAAAAAAACCGCAATTAAGGTCAACTTATTCAGAACATCTGTAATTACGTGCCACAATTTTACGGTTCTTTTGCAAATAAAAAAAATATAGCGCGATTGATAACAGAAGAAAATCAAATAAAAAGAAAAAAACGCACTCAAACCCAGGGGTTGTGGCTTAACAGCTGGTTTCAAGGGCTCGTCGTGGAAACCATTGGAGGAGAGGGTCAATTCTGATTGCGCAAAGACACCTTCTTTAGCATCCATCCAGTCATTGACAGGGAAATCAAACCTTCTACCTTTCATATCCTTGACAGAAATCTGAAAGAAACAACAAGATGAGTATTGAGACTTTATGCAGCCATGAACGTTTTAAGACGCATATATTCCTTTCAAATGTGTACATTTCAATGAAAGCATAAAACCATACAGTTCACCGCCCACCTTTTCTAGGTACCACTTCTTCGATTGTCCAGTATTGTACATCTCCACAAACACTTTTGTAATTAATCCGATATCGGAAGCTGCAACTCGGAACGTGTCAAGCCTTAAAAGCGGAAAGAAAATTATGAGGGATGATCTTTCAATATCCTCTGGTATTATTGGTTAAATACTCCCAGTCGTAATGCACATACTCCAAGTTTTCGCTGAGGGAGCTTTAGTGCGAAAATCTTAATCGCCAATAATCGACAGTTATCGTCGATTGAGTAACTGTCCACAAAAAAGTCACGCCTTTGGACCAAGAGATTAGTTTACAGTCTCTTGCTTTGAACAGGTGCTTGTACGAGACATTGCAAATAATCCGAGAAGCCTTCAGGTGCAAGAGCAGATTAAATCATAGACCTCGCTGTAGTTCACCAAACATCTCAAATGAAGCGTTTTTGCACTTTATCAACCGATACAAGTTGTAGTACAAAGTTAGCTTACTGTCCTGTCCTGAAGTGCCTTACTCCCGTGGGTACATTGGAAGTCAACTGAATCTTGTCAGTAGAACCTCTGTCGCCGCCAAGTCGGAGAAATATTTTCCCATCGGTACCTCCCTTGTATTTATTTCCAGTCTTGACTGAGACTGTGTAGTAATACGCTGAAAAATAAGGCGAAAATCATTGCAGCTATGTATCGAAATACTATAAATTTGCTGAAATTTCCCTTTTAAACATTTCATAAAAAGCATAGAGTCAATTGATTTCTCAGAGCCCGGCCCCTCAACACGTTTCCAACATAAATCTCCACGTTCCCTATACACGAACTCTATAACCGGCTTAGAAATGCTAAGTTTTCTTTGACGAGTTTTCATTTGATAACGTTTTCCCTTAATTGGAAATGGAAAAATACTACAGGCTCTCCTTGAAAAGTTTTCTTGTGCATGGTAATTCTGATCTAGTTTGGATGAAGGATACTTTTCGAGGAAATTGTTTGAGGGCTTCACAAAAATTATACGGCCAATTCATCCGGCAAACAACGTTTCCTCAAAAGCTCCCCAGGCAGGTAAACCTGGCTCGTTTAGACGCGGCTTAAATTATTCAATACTTACGAGGATTTGTAATGGTGACGGGAACGACTTTATCGGCGTCTAAATCGGGTTTTATGCTCATCATCGGTAAGTCGTTTAATCGAAGTGGTTCCTTAAACGGTTGGGAGAGGGCGACAAAGTCAGCAGACTCCATTTTGTACTTGGAGAACTTAAGGTAAAGAGATTTTCCGGAGGGAATGGCATTAGTCTTCTTCGTTCCGGGAATAAAAATCTCGGCATCCTTTCCAGCGTTGTTCGTGAATTTAATGTAAAAGTAATATATAGACCCGTTCAGAGTCGACTCGCGACCTGTTGGAACATCAAAGAAAAACGTCATTAGGGATGGTGTACTGACTCAACTTAGGTTACACAGAAAAGATCACCATAAAGACAAGTACTGTATTAGGTCAGCGAGCGAGCGAAACATTTGGTGAAATATCAACGAGAGGATGATTAAGTTTGATAAACCGTCCAAGCATATTTTGAAAAGCTGACCTCTCTAACAATAGCCTTTAGACAGAAGAGAGGGGTAACGTACATAGCATCAAAATTTAAAAACCTATTCTAACGATTTATTATCTTTATCAACTTCAGGTTGACTATCAACCAGCCAGGATATTCCTGACGAAGGGCTAACGCTCGAAACGTCAGCTTAGAAACTCTTTACGGTTGCTAATCAACATTTGTCAACTATGTTGATAAACCAAATTATCCTGTTATACTCCCCCAACGACGTAGCACCACAATTTCTTTAGAAACTTACCGCCTTTATTTATTTCTACTTAATCGATAGAAAGTAGCACTTCTTTTCCAATAATCGGAGTAAGAATTCTCCAAATGACTGATTGACCAATGAACGAAAAATCAAGACATCATCAGAATTTAACATACAAAAAACTATGTCGCATGCTGAACTTATTATAGGATTGATCAAAAAGAAACATTTACTATCGAAAAAGGTATTTACCTTTACCAAAGCACGACTTTCGCGCATCGTCCCAGGTCATCTCGTCCGGACACGTCATGGTGTGAGGCTCGCCTTTATGACAATGGATGTAGTGAGTAATGTCGGTTGGGTCTTTAAACAGTCCCTCAGGCTGAAGACAACGGACTGGTAAAAAGGGAAAAGAAGGATACTGAGCATTTAACACATTGATCAGACGCATTGGTGATCAAAGTTTCTTGGCTTCTTCAATAACCGGCAGAGTGCTTGTGAGAACAAAAGACCAGGCAGTTGGCATTGGACTCCAAATTCGTTTTAAGTTTTGTTGAGCTTAGCCTCTCTTGGACTTGATGAATTGATCATTTTCTTGACCGCGTTGTCTCGCATATGCGATTACCGTTCAACGCCTTCGGATGTTATTATGATACATAGCTATTTATATGATCTAGTCAGTTTTACTGCTATCTTGCCACCTTTCTATTACAAGCTAACCCTCTCTATACCGTTTTTCTTCACGATTGTACCGTCTAGGAGGTCAAACTAAATTCGAACGAATTGTAACCTCAAGTGGCCCTTTGGAAATATATATTTTCTTTGCGCTAAATTTCTAGATTTTCTCTACCTTTTATACAAACAGATACACATAAAGAACTCACAAGCTGCAGTTATTGTGACGAGCTTGATGTCATCCTTATTAGGACTGGGCACCACTGTCACCAGACCTTGCTGTCCATTCACCAGTAACTTGTCCCCAGGCGCCCACGGATTTTCGACTCTAAACTGGATAGGAATATCATTCTGTTGGCCCTTCTCTTCAAAATTTAAATCCAACGTCATGTGAGGTTGCACGGTGTATCCTTCGTTTTTATTCTGTCCTTTGCTTGGTATGACTTTCACTTGAGTACCAGCTTTATTGTCAAAACGAACTTTGACGAAACGATTTGAAGACGACGATTCGACTAATAAGACAATATATATCAAGTTATAAAGTAATCCTATTACTTCGCTTTGTTAAAGAGCTACCGGCAAAGAAAATCCTGACGACATATTATTTCATTACTGATTTGAACCTTCATGCTAGATTTACCAATAGTAAATGACTCATAGGTAGCGAGAAAAAAAAAAGGAAAGAAGTGTACCAAGACTCTTACCATTGCTTGAGAAGTATAGGAACATATCTTTGGCACTTTCAGCTGGGACCTCGGCATCGAAGAACGCCAGCGATGAGGCGACCATCCTTGTGTAACCGTATGGTGTTCCTGCCGCATTGCGCCCCACGATAAGCCTGGTGTATGAATCTTTATCATGTTCCCCCTCTTGGGGCATATAGCCTCTCGCTCGGGTGACCTCTGTACCGTTGATATACAATGCAAGGCCGTTTTCACGTGCCCACGTCACCATAATATACTGCCATGCATTGAGGGCAAAGTCTGACTCAACCTGTTGAAAAATTAATAAGATCGAACCATTAATCATCGAGACCGGTGAGAAGAAAAGCTTGTTGGGGAATTAATATAACAACCTACCCGCCATACTTCATCCGGGACAGACACCACTGCGTACAGTTTGCCGTCCTTCACGAAAAGCGTGAAACCCCGTGACTCCTTGTTGGAGCCACCGCTGTCTACAATGTAGTGAGGCTCGTCCTTGTAACTTTTGGCTGCGTCGTCAAGCTTAATTCTTACACCGAACGTCAGACCAGCGGTACACTTGTCTGGATTGCTCAGGCATTCACCTTAAATGAAAGCGACAATGGACCATGTAAAGAAGGTGCAATAACAGAGTTACTAACTGACTGACTTACTGAGACAGAGACAGAGAGACTTACTGTCAGTTACTGACTAACTAATTGGATATAAATAGCCTTGTTACCTAAATAAATCGACTACAATTTTGTATTCTCTATAACCTTGTTGATTAAAGAGATGACGTCAACAATGTTCAAAACAAAGGTGTAACCACGGAGCGCAGCCGAGTGGTTTCACTGCTCATACTCTCTAATCTGTTTAATTCAACGGTTCATTCTCGAGATTTTCCACGGCATAAGGCAAAGGGGACAGTAGCTCCACCTATCCACAAGATTTATCTCCAGTCACAGTTTAGAAGCATAGGTTCACCAAACAGTTGTTTTTCAGTCGCTGTGTGTCACTCACCTTCAAAGTCGCCCATATCCAGCCAGGAATCATTGCCATTCAACAGCAGCCCCCCCTCCAGGGGAACTATAGCTCCGTGGGCCTCGGGCACGGGATCGTCTCCGACAAGTCGACCATTCTCTACTTTGTGTAGCGGCCACATCTTCTTGTAGCGCAATTTTGGTGCTATATGGGAATAAATCGTATTTTATCAACTACTTTTATTGTTGAACACGATACAAAATTTTAAACAGAAAAGAAACACGTTCATCCTTATAATAAGACATGTACAGTGAGGACGAACTTGTAAAGCTATTATAAAAATTTAAGACACGCTTAGTTGGCTCCAATGGTTACTCTTAAATACTAAAAGTAACGTCAAACACCGCTGCTCTATGCTTTTCCGACCGAAAAAGTAGGTTTTGCTTATATTTCCAACTGAACTTACGTGCCACAGTTACAAGCAGCGTTTTACAAGGCTTCCTTCCATCTCTGGGAGTTACAGGAAATGCTTTATCAAAATCATTGATTCTCAGATGGGTGTTGGTCTGTTTGTCTTCAGCGATGAAGTACACAGGCTTGATAGGGGCACCGTCTGTTGACATGGACATTAGCGTCACCTCCAGGGTGGAGTCCGGCGCAATTTCAAACCCTTGGGGGTTACCCTTGTCTGGCTTCAGAAGAACAGGTCGGCCAACTTCATTTGTGACGCACAAAGAAGCATAATATATTTTAGCAGATACTGCAAAGGAAGAGAACGGCACAAGAGTGAGCGATCGGCTTTCAACCTGAGGGGCAAAGTCTGTCCGTCATTTCGGCCCTACAATTGATTTCCATGAATAATTCCAGGTCTCAGCTCGTTGAAAACATCAAAGAACACTTATAGCTTACGGACACAACAAGTTGAAATACTTACACCCACTCCAAAAGAATATGTAAGCAGCGTTGACATCATCTTGCGCTAAACGTCCAGCAAATGTTGTGAAAGAAGCCATATCAAATGCTGAAGGGTGGAAAGGACCGTTATTTCCAACCTCTCGTCCAATCACAAAGTTGTCCTTGTATGAAGTGACTGAGGTCAGGGGCACTGGTTTCCCTGTGACATTGTGAACGCGGAGGTCTGCGTTGTAATACATTTTCATTCCGTCTTCCTTACTCCAAGTAACCATAACGTACACCCATTTATGCATAAGTTTCGGGCTTTCGACCTACAGTATCAATAAGAGTACAACTCAGTTTGTGACAAGAAGAGTTCGTTGGAATAAAAGAAAAGTGAAATCAAATACTTAGGTTCGACGTCTCTCAAATGAGTTTTTCACTTTGGGTTGCGCTAAGTTGATGGCTATGTCGAGGCTGCATTTGATAACCAATTTCTTTGACGGCGTGGAAGTAAAAATAGTCTTTCTTTAGCGAGTCTTTTCAAAGACGGACACTGTTTGAACAAGGGCTTTGGTCGAAAAAAATTGTAACTGGTTTGAGGGCATCTGCTTCAATATATTTTTTTCAAATATATCTCCTAACTGTTCAGTTCGTTACCACAAATGACCGAATAATGGCAAAAACTTGATTTTGACGTCAATAGTGTGCAAAATGAGCTAAACTATACTCTCTCTTTTGTGTTCAATGCTACACCTTCGAAAACTTACCATCCATTCTCTATCAGCATTCCTCACCAAAGCAAACAATCTGGGTCCTCGAGTAAACATGGAAAAGCCACGCATGCGCCGGTTGTGAGCACCGGTGTCCACAATGTATCGCAGCTCCTCATCCCTGTCTTCCTTCTCAAACCTAAGTTTTGTACTAAATGTAAGCCCATCTGCGCACTTCTCTGTGTTGACCACACAATCATCGGCAGGGACCTGTGCTACAGCATGTGAGTCCTGTCCGTCAAACGACAAACCCCCGTCGACCAGTTTCATGTCTCCATGTGTCCTCAAGTCGGGGTTGCCAGGAATGTCCTGGGACGTTGAATGAAGCGCATGAAAGATAATGCTGCTGCTAGAGAGTTTGTCAGCCGGAGGAGTGTGTCCCACCGGAATATGGCTGTCTTCAAATGACAACGTCGACCAGGAATGGACTGGCTTGATTTTAGGCGCTGATGAGAAACAAGCGTGTATGATAAATTACATGTTCAGTGGAAAGAAGGATTTTGTTGCGTTTAATCACTAATCAGATCATTCAGTTACAAGAAAATAACTTAAACATTACACGTGATCCGATCGATCCGAAAAAATATCGTTTATTCTACTGATAAAATCACAGAATACTAAAACATTTAAGCAGTACATCTCTGGCTCCAACACAGTCGTCATCAAATCGCAGGCTAACCAAACAAGTAAACAAACAAACAAAATTCGACTTACCTGGTGCGGTGATGGTCATATTAATCACCTCATCCGGGAACTCTCCAGGTGCAATTGAAACCGTTTTCACATCACCATCAATTTCTAGGTCACTCAGAGTTTCCAGATCCTTTGCTTCAAATGTGACGGGTTCAGAGAGAACTCCGCTCTTGGGAAAAATCATAGACACCTTGAGGTATCCATTCTTGGCGACAACATACCCTCCTTTTCGGCCTCTCGACGGTGTCACCCTAATTTCACGACCAACCTTATTATGGAGGAGCAGTGTAATGTATCGCTCTTCAGGGCCCATGGGTCCTCCTTCTAGCAAGGAGAAAAATAGATAAGTCTCAGATATCAAGTTCTTCATTTTCAATCCATTCAAACATTCTCTAATAATAACAATAAAATTAGTACTAACGATAATTATCAGGATAACTATGATAATAAAACAAATAATAATAATAGTAATGAAGGCGTTATGAAAGAATGAGATGCGACATAAGTGTGAGTTTACAATTTATCAATGGTAAGTTAAAATCTAAAAGCCAATCATGTAGTTACAGGAGTAACATAAAAATGCTAACCAAATATCAATTTACAAAAGCTCGTTAAATCGTTCAGTTTTGACTCTGGCGAGCATGAAGTCATGGCCCTTATCTCTGAGAGAGATTCATTGGAAGGAACTCAATTAAACAACGCTTGACCCTTTTAGTTCCATTCTATTAAATAATTTCCGTATTTCTGTTTCTTGCACTGTTGTGCAAATGAATGCATAAACAAGCGTTGTAGTTGTCAGTGATAGTCTCTATAATCCATTATTAAGTAACTTTGAAACGAATTGAAAGCTCTCAAAGTTACTCCGAGACAAAATTGAGAGCTAAAAAGAAGATGAGAATGGACATATACTCACTCAGAGGAGATATGACGATATCAGTAACTTTTTCTTTAATCTTGGCGGGTTTCACGATAATGCTCTTACGATTGTTAATCATCATTGGTAAACGAGAATCAGGATCAAAGGCTTTTAAGAGTAAGGGCTCTGCGCTCTGGAACTCGCGCGTGATCTTCATAATGGAGTCACTGTTAATGTGGAAACCCTCATTCAGACCCTTATAGCTTGGTGCTATGATGGACTTTTTGCCTGCACGGTTCTTGACTTTCAATGTCACATAGTAAAGCGACGGTTTTTCAGCGATGTGCTGTCTGGCTACGGGCACTCCTGATTTCTTCTTTCCCGTAACTGAAGGGAATTAATAAAAACAAATACCGAATTACATGCATGGTAAAATATCAAAACAGTTTAAAATAATGACAATAAATTAAGAGTTCGTGAAGCTAGTCGTTTGTGACTCTCCATTCCCTTTGTGCACATAGAATAACCTCAGACATCTGTCCAAACGTTATAAGCGTAGAGGCACGTGATATACAGTGCTTATATAAACTGATTGACCAGTCCGGATATAAAACCTTCAATTAAACAATTAGATTCTGAACGAACAATGTAGTAAAAAAAAAATCCTCGTTAAATGGTAAAGTAGACCACTAAGTGAATGGTAACCAAGTAAATGAACAAAACTACGGCTGGACCAACGAACGTGTGAACGAATTAAAGAAGGAACTAGTAAACTAGCGAAGGAACGAGGGGACGAACCTACGCACGAATTACACAACAAATACACAAACCAATGAGCGAACGAAATAACTTACGGATGGACGAACAAGGAAACGACTGCAGAGCAAAAACAGACGGAGCAGATAAATTTCATAAAATTACTCCCTTTATCTGTAATAAGTCATTTTTATCACCATTAACTTACCCTGGGTTCCAAGAACTAACTCTGTCTTCTTATCCTTCGTAAGCTGCGGCGTTAGAGCCTCCTCCATATGACCGTTTATGGCCAGCGGTGTTTTGCCGTCAGCTGATGTAGCCACTAGTGTCACAGGCTGAGCAGACACGGTACCTTTCGTGATATCCATCATGAAGTTCTTTTTTACTTTCCATCCCTGGGCGGGGTTATTGTCGCTTGGTTTGACTATCACGTCTTGTCCAGCCTTGTTCTTAAAGCGAACACTTAAGTAATACTGCTGTCCTCCTGTTATAAAAAGATACGTCAAATTCTATTAATATTACTAATGACGGTCTCGGGGCATTGGCTGGAGATACTATATCTAATTGTGCTGTACGATACTGATCTTCTCCGGATCCTCTTTCCCTTAGTAAATAGGTCCAGGAAAAAACAGACAAAAAAAACACTACCAAATTAATCAAACACAACAAAACAAAAAACAGAATAAACAAAACAAAACAAAAGTGTTAAGTTTAAAGGTTGGTTTTCACCAGCGACAGAGTCGGAGTTGTAATTGGAGTCATTAGAGCGATTATGAATTAGAAGAAATCCAAAATCGAAGTCGTTGGCGGAATGTAGGCAATGCAGAATTGGAGTCGGTCCGAAGAATTCGAACGGTTCCATTTTCTTCCGATTCCACATAGTACTCGCAAACTTACGATCCAGTGACTTATGATGAGTGACGGATTCTGTACTCTTGTTTCGATTCCGTCGGTTTGACTTTCACCATATTGTTTCGCTCCGCACTACAGATTACGACTTCGACTACGACTCCGTCGTGAGAGGAAACCCACCCTTAAATTCACCACGAGGCAGGATGTAAAGTTAAACCACAAACCTTGCGACATCCCTGGTGCCAGAATCTCGAATGTCTTCGGTGCACTTTTAACTTCAGTTGGGATAAGTTCAACCTTATCCTTGCCATTAATCTTCATCAGCTGGGTTAAAGTCTGATCCATGACCTTGAACGTGATGGCCGAATTTCCGGTGGTTGGCTTAGTAAAAGACACCATGAAGCCTTTTTTGACAGGGAATCCTTGAGGGGGATTATTGTCACTTGGCATGATCACCACATTTTTACCTGACTTGTTCATTATCTTCATTGAAATATAATACGTACCAACGGCTGAAGTTCCTACAACGAGATATATAGTACACAAATATGCTTAAATGCAAACGAACGAATAAACAAACGACGAAATGAAAATACAAACAAGACAAAACAAAACATACAAAAGTGCTGACTTAAGAGGTTATTTTTTCTCAGTTAGGGGAATTAAATTCAGGTTCTTTTTCACCCAAAATTTACTTAAGACATTCAAAACTTTTCTCAAACACAGAGCGTTTTAACCGTGAAATAAAACTTAAATGAGAAGCTGTTAATAAGTAAAGCTTGAATTTATGTGCTCAATACATCACTCATCGAAAGATGTCGGACACAGCCTATAGGAGACCTGTCCAAGTGAGTGTCAAGACTGATATGGGGGTTGCTTCAGATTAACAATGCTATCCTTTACGACAAACAGGTGCAATACTAATCACAGTAGCATGTGAAAGTTATTAGTTTAAATCCATAGGGAACCGTAAATGATCCTACCTCCCCCTTCACCGTTTATCTTCTCCTTGGAGATAACCAACACGAACGAGCCTTTACGAGTCAGTTCCGGGGAGACTGTGACTTGGTCCTGATTGTTCAACAACAGACTAACAGCTCCGGCCTTAGCGCTGAAAGTGACCGGTTGACCAAGAGACACTTCTTTGCGAACATCCATTGTGTACTTTTTAAGAATCTGCGAAGAAAAAGAAGGAAGTTCAAAATGAAGCAGACACCAGCACAACTTTCCGTTTTAGTCTACTCCTTTCCCAGTGTAACTTAAAGTGTAATTTAATTTTTGTCAGCTCATTACCCCTGGGTCCTGACACAAGGTGGGTGGAATTAGCTTCTGAGTGCGAGCAGCACTCAGCGAGCAATCCGTCGGAGGAAAGAGGAGACGCAGTAAACAGTAAGAGCTTTAGATGCACTACCTCCTTGGAAATTACAACTTAAAATTCTCAAGAGATTTAGTGTTAGCATACCAATCCTCACCTGAACACCTTGAGATGGCTCTTTGTCGCTTGACATGAGTTGCACATCTTGGTCAAATGTATTTTTTACTTGCAGTTTAATTGTGTTCGAAGCAGATGCATCAAACATGCCTAAAATGACAAAATTAACTTTGCTTAATCAATTTCCTCTCTTTTTGAAATCGTTATGGAAAATTCATGTGCGAATTTCAATTGCAAAAAATGTCGCGTCTCTCATCTCAAAGCCTGTGTTCTGGAACTTGCAGTCAAGTTGCAGGCCAGGTGATTTACGATATCATACAAACGTAGCTATTTTCAATTCTTATTTGTGTTGGTCCCAAGAGAATTATAATATGTATTGTAAAACAAGCAGCGGAGGCAATTAAAGCAAACAACAGAAAAACACGAAGGAAAAAAGAGCAAGGAAAATTCTCAAATACGACAAAAGCTACATTTATTCGTTTCCTGAACTTTCTTTTGACTTCTCCAGCACCCTTTCATTAGCCCCTTGATGAGACCCCAACAACAAACGCCAACACTCACCACTCCTAAAGTAGAAGGTGTACACATTACGCATCATTGGCGGCGACAAATATGTGTTGAATGATGAGAATGTTCCAATAGCAAACTTAGCAAAATGGCCTTGGCCTTGTACGTCCCGTCCAAAGCACAAATTTGGTTTGTTCGTGTTAAGTTGAAGGTCAAGGTCTTTGCCGGTAGAATCAGATACCACTTCAGAACCATCAAGGTACAGCTTGAGGCCAACATCATTCTTCCAAGTCATACTAGCGTAACACCACACATCGGGGGAAATTTTAGTTTGCACCTGAAAAGCACATAACGAATCACTTTATTCGAACAGTACTTTCCTAATGTGGATTTCATGTAATTCATCTCTACAAAAAGAGCACGTTATCCACAAAATGAAAACTTGCCAATTTTATGACATATATAAAACTGGAGAAATCGATGAATAAATAAACAATATTAAAAAAAAAAAAAAAACGAGGACGCATCTCATCTTTCAACATCTTTCTCACCTTCCAAGCCTTTTTGGCTGTGGCAAGTTCAAAGAAAAGATTGCCATTTACGATGTACGCCGACACCCCACGTGTGGTTAGACTGCGGGCTCCACTATCAATAATGTACTTGGGTGTAGAGTACGACATATCTTCTTCATCAAACTTCAGCTTAGCACCCATAGAGAAGCCGTTCACACACCGTCCCGGGTCTTGTAAGCAGTCACTTTTTGGTAGGGAGGTGGTAGCGTAGGTACCCAGTCCGTCAAATGACATTCCACTACCTTGAATGGGTGTGTCGCCAAATAAATTGAGAGGCGGTGATCCTACTATTTTCTCGTGAGTTTTGAAGATGAAAGACCAGGAGTGAAACGGACTGACTGGACTGGCTAATAAAGAAAAATATAAGATCTAGGGATAAGTCGTTAGTTATCGCCGGGGGGAGTAGGACGATCTGGGAGATCACATGGTTTCAGGGGGGGACAGAGGGGGGATAAGTCCGCGTCGAAAACAGAGTTTAAAGGGGGGCTGGGGGGGGGGAGCTGCCAAAGGAGTCCCTTCGAACCACGCTTTTTGCTGATTTCGTTCCTTTTTTCTTTTTCTAATCTTTTAAAGACCCAACTGAAAAACAAAGAAGCCATTCTTTTTCACAGCAAACGCTGAAAATGTTCACTGTGTCGCAAGACAGCTGAAGCAAAATATTACTTTTATCCGTTTGCCGGTCGGTTATACGTAGTTCACGATTTAAAACTATTTAGGCAAAATACTAAAATTTTGATGAGAAGAGAAATCAAACCTGGAATAACAGCAGAAGGAATAATTCTGGCAGCTTCGTCGTTATTAACTCCTGTGGAGATTAAAATCACGCATTACCAGTAAGCAAAACAGATATTTTCCTCTTCATAAATTATATTATCAGTTTTCATTAATATTTCTGTTACGATATAATATATATTTGATATCTATATTTTTCCTTAATCGACATAAGCATGTACATGCAACCAGTGCACCAATTCACCTGACGGTGAGAGAGTGACATCCATGACGTCTTCTTGTGAATGCAAAGGGTTTACTTTCAGCCGTGCCACGTTGTTAAGGAAAAATCTCGCCAGTGTATTGCCGTCGATGGCTGTGAAGAAGACGGGACGTTTGGAAACCATTGTTTTCTCAATCGTCAAGGTGGAACCTTTTTTCACTAGCATGCCGTTCGGTGCTTGGTTGTCGTTGGAGAAAATTAGCGCGTCTTGCCCAATGTTGTTGGTCACTCTCAGTGACATGAAATATTTCTCTCCTTCTCCTTCAGATCCTGAAACAAAAATTACAGAGCCAAGGTAAAACCTTCATTGTGATTATAATTTCATATCCATGATCACAAGTGACCTACTGATTAAAAACTATCCTTTCTAACTATGAGATAACGTTCTAAAAAATAAAAGTTGTTTACCTTGTAATATGGAGGTGTTTAAAAGTACAAAGCAGATGTCTCAGAAGAAAAGGTTTACAAGAAAGTAACGATCGCTAATTTTTCCTTTTTTCAAAAAAACATTACAATCAAATCCGGGCATTTGAATACAATTTTAGTCCCCGAAGGAGAGGGGAAGAATTTAACGCATCAATCTTCAAAAGCTCACATGCCCGGGGGTTGCTCGGGGGGAGACGTTGAGGCTTCAAATTGATCGACGCATAATTTCCTCCAGTTTGAGGAGTAACACGATTGTTTATCAATCAATTTTCCAAACCTGAAATAACTTTGATGATATTTTTTTCATCACAACGTATCATTTTCTTCCCTGTTTTGCTGTTAGATCAATCTAGAAAGCTTCCTCATTTTATATCCAGGCGAAGAGAATCATTTTAAGGAAAAGGTTACTTGAAATGAGATTGCACAGAGTGGATAAAATCGTACTTTACCTTGTCTCCAGAAGTAACTGTAAATGTGAGAAATCGTTTTCGGTGACAGCTGTCCTTTGAAAGTAGAGATTGAACCCAATTGAAACTTGGCCTGTGCGCCCTGATTGACACTGCTGCCTACAAAGAAGTTTTGAGGTTTTGCAGAAGTCTCGTGATCTCCGCTGGTGCCCAATAAATCTCCATCCGCCAGCTCACCATCGGAGTAGACTTGAAGACCAGATTTCCTACTGAAGGCGCCCATGATGTAGAACCATTTGTTTGCGTAAACGGGGATGGAGGCCTGTTTGGAAAGAATAAGGACGAAAAGCTAGTTTAAGGAAACCACCACATTTCTTCTCTTCTTCTTCTTCTCTCTCTCTCTCTCTTTTTCTTTTTCTTTGGGGGGTATACATGAAGTTCAGCACGCACTAGGATGGGTTTGTGACGCTAATTTTAAATTCAAATAAAGAGTTTCCCATTTAAATTTAGTAGAAGTGCATTTACCTGATAAACCGCATTTGATGTAACAATCTTGAAATAGAGCGCATTCAGCTGCAGAAACATGCCAACTCCCTTGTTACCGTTGCTTGCACCAGTATCAACGACGTACTGTGGCGCGTTTGATGTCAACGACATGTCACTGAATTTCAGCTTAGCGCCAACAGCAAAGCCATCAACACACATGTCTGGATCAATGACACATGCTGTGCTGGGAAGCTGTCCACTCAAGCAGCTCTGAATACCATCGAAACGAGCCCCACCCGGTACTGCTTCCAACCCTCCCACAATCGACAGTGGTGGGTTGCCAGGTACTTGTTTATCATTCATTGATGCGATTATCCAGGAGTGAGAAGGGTTAACTGGAGGTGCTACAAAATGAAAAGGAAATATTATTTTAGTTTCCTTTAATGCAGAGAAAAACGTCGTGGCTTAAGTAAGAGAGGCCAGAGTTAGCAAGAAACTCTCAGTTGTCGTAGTAACCGGAGAAGTTAGGTAGAGAGGCTTTTGACACATTCCTGCAACAACCAGAAGAATGGAAATAATTCAGGAGCGCTTTGACGTTGATGGATCAACCGAAAAGTCGTCATTTTGGCATTTTAAACCAGACTGTGCCGACAAAAAAGCTATCGTGAGTATCAGCAATGAGAACTTTCAACTTTCAGCTGCTGCCGGTATCTTGAGGCACGTTTGTGCTCAAGCTTTCTAGTTGATTATGACGAAAGGAAGTAAATTTTGAGCTTTACCTGAAACGCTGGACTCTTCCATAGCTCCACCTTTCAAAGAAAGAAAGACAAGAAATAAATAAAGAAACAAACTAATGAAGGAAAAATAAAAATCGGAAAAATTAAACGTATCATGAACTCACCAGCATTGATTACTGGTTCCGTAAAAGGCTGTCCTGGAAAGTGCAAATAGATAAAAAATAAAATCAAGAAAAGAATGAAATTCAATAACAGGAAAATTCGAAAAAGTGATCAATTAAATTGAAAAATAAAATTTTTAAAAAATCAAGAAACAAAAAGGTGCCAAAAATATTTTTAATTTCAAGGGAAAAAACGCCTTAAACAACGGAACAATTCTTCTCATTCGAGAGTCTCTTTCCCGACATTTTGATGCTTTTCTCAAGTGCTGACATTTCAATAAGTTGCTCAAATGCTGAAATTTTAACAGATTATCCACCTGAGACAAAATAAAGCACGACAAATGATTGGAAAAAAACATATTCACTTTTTCAATAAGAACGCATGAGGCTTTCCTTTAAAAAATGAAGGAAAAAAATATCTTGAAATGTGGCTACCTTCTCCAGTTATGGTCACTTTCACATCTTGCAAAGGCGACTTGGTTGGCGTCGCAGAAATTTCCTTTAAACCGTTCAAGTATAATGCTTCTTTACTCCCATCATCTTGCGCAGTGAAAATTACCGCCGAGGGCCTGGATACGGCTTTTTTAATCTTCGCTACCACCCCGGCGTTAATAGTGAAGCCCTGGGACGGATAATGATCTGACGAAAACAGCGTTAAATTCTTTTTCGAAAGGTTTGTTACTTCCAGGACGATGTAAAATTTGGCTGGAGCTCCTGAAAAGTAAGAACGAAAAGTTTCAAGTATTTACTCAAGCAGTTATAGAACTATACCTCATCTGATGGTCTTTGAAAATACAAGTAAAAATCGTTTAAGGGACACAAGGAAGGGCAAAGTGAAACAAGCGGCGGATCCCCTAAAGGTTTTGATCATTAACTGCTTCTTATCACTTACCTGAACCGTCATAATCTTTGTAGAAAGAAGCGACACTGCCTGTGTGAGGTGCCGGGATGCACTCATCAAACACAGCCAGAGATTTCATAGAAAATTTGGCAAAATCTGATCCAAACACATTGGGTACTCTCCCGCCAACACAGAAGTTTGTTTGTGCAGCGTTAGTTGGTCTCGCCGGCTCTTGTTTGCCTTGTGCGTCTGTTGCTTTAAGAACTTCATTTTGATATAACGACAAACCGTCAACTTCGCTCCATGTGCTAGTCAGGTAGAACCATTTGTCAAATTCTAACGGAGCTGACACCTAGGTAAGAAATCATTAAATCATGTTTAAGAAAGCTGAGCTGACAATCAGGCTAACTATTGATGACAGCTACGTAACCCGTGAAATATAAGGGAGCTATTGCAGAGCGCGATCGTTGGGGTCCTGATAGCCGGTTTACACGCCACGCCATACTGGCTATGTAGGTTACAACCTTTTCGTCATAGACCTCTTTCATCGATGCTAGCCTAAAGATGATTATTTTATATACATGCTTCCTCTTAAAAGATTCCAGGAAAACTCTTTCCATTCCCATTTCGAATTGTTTACATCTTACCTCCCAAACTTTCTGAGAAATCGCCAATTTGAAATATATCTTCCCATCTTTGACATACATGGACACACCGCGGGTCTGGGAGCTTTGAGCGCCAGTGTCAATCAAATATCGAGGCTCCTTATAGTCCTTAATTGATTGGTCGAATTTCAGATTCATACCAATCGAAAGCCCTTTCATGCAGAGTGCAGGATCCATGACACAGTCAGTACTCGCCATGTCCGTCGTAAGAAAACCGGACTGCCCGTCAAATGCCACCCCACCATCGCTTGGTTGGACAGTGCCGTGTACTCTGAACGCTGGGTTGCCTTCTATGAAGCCTTGTGGCGAAATTGACTTCAGCCTCCAAAAGTAGATATTTGGAACTAGATATGGAGGTAAGCAAGTTGTATACAAGAAGCTTAAGCAGAGATGTCTCAGTGGAACGAAATGAAGTTTACCTTTGGACATAGGTGCTGATTAACAATAGCAAATCTCGATAGGCTATATATTGCGACTAGTTCATGGTGAATAGTGCAGTACACGAAGGGGTAAAATCACAAGTCAGGATGGGATGTCAGAAGGGGAGGTCGAAATCCGATGTCGTAAGTTAGGGAAATAAAGGTAAAGATCGAGGTTTGATTTTCGTCCATTTTAGCGTAAAGAGAGTATAGTTCTGCTGCCCCTGTCGGCGTCGTGTGAATCACCAATTTAGTCATTATAAGGCTGACGACCACTTCGTTGATTACTTTAGCAAATCATGTGCATTAACACAATCGTAAAATACGTCAGTAAAAATCTCAAAAAGACTCACCCGGAGGAGTATTAACCACAATACCACCGTCTGGGGCGGCGTCACCTGTAACAAAATAATTATTGCTTTTTTTTATTATCAATATAATTGTTATTGTGACTGTCGCATTAGCACTACAACGCAATCGTCTTGACTTGAAATAAGGTAAAGACGAGCATTCCTAAATGAAGAGCATACTTGCTCGTGTGAAAGTAATTTTCATACAAAAAGACTTTTCAGTTTGATATTACAGAAACGTGTGATTTGTTATTGTTGATGTTTTTTTTCACCTTTATTTTCCAATTAATTTTCCAAAGCATAAAAAAAGCTTTAGTTGGAAACGTATCACATCAATCCTGCAGGAAGGTAACTTACTCTTAAAGTACAAGAACAGAAACACAAACGAACAGATAAACAAATCAAGCACCTTTTCTGCCAGTTATTCTTAACAATATGGGATCTCCAGTTGCTTTGGAGGGTGAGACTATTATTCTCGGTTGGCCATTTACAAGAAGTGTCTTCTCCTCGCCGGGTATCACAGCATGCAGGGACATGTCACTCGGGTTGCTGACTTCTTTAGTGATGATACTTGTGTGTTCCGGTTCTAGTTTAAAGCCATCAGGGGGGTCATTGTCACTTGTAAGTATTCTCATGGTCACGCCTGCCTGGTTTTCCACAAGGAACGACATGTGGAATCTTGGGGGCGGAGACAAGTCATCTGCGGAATCAAGCAAAAGTTTGTTGATACTCTGGGTTCATTTTACCCTCGATGTTAAGTGTTTTCCTCCTTTTGGGCAAGGTAATGTGATATAATAAGTTAAAAGTGCATCGAGGTAATTAAAATGACAATACGCACGGTCCATATCAGCCGATAAACACCGAATCAAAGGCTTTAAAAGTCGTTTATGGTGAAAGTATCAACAATTTAAATCCTATTTCGTAGAAATCTGCGATGTTATGTGGTACAACACTGATGACTCACCACCAGGTTTCACCAGCCTGATCGAGACGTCAGTGGCGTCCTGTTCGAAATCACTGGGCACTATGGTGATTTCTCTCTCTCCATTCAACAGGAAAGGCTTGTCAGTGGACACGCCCCACACACGGAATTTCACTGGGGATGGACTCTTAAGCTTTTTTACAAACATGTTGCACGTTTGACCCTTCAGAGCGAAGCCGCTGGCCGGTTGACTATCGCTTGCAGCGAGTAGAACATCTTCTGCTTCAGTGTTATTTACAAGAAGAGTTACGTAGTACAACTTAGCAGGTTGGACGGCGACTGCAGAGAGAGGTCAAATCATTTAGTGGAATTGCCTATTTATACTTTCAAAATAAACACCGTTGAAAAACTTAACAAAAAGTGACTTAAGTGGCAAGTACCTTCAGACCATTGAACATGTCTCAAAAACAGAACAGTAGCGCTTTCAAAATATATTGCTCTGCGACAGACTTTTCTTTCCTCTAACATGTAGACAATTGGCGACAAAATAGTTGACAAATTACTACTAAGATGACAAAATTCTTGACTTATACCAATTTCATCCTAGATTTGCTTATTCTTTCTCCACTTCCGCTGAAAAAAGTTGTACTTTGTGACCTGTGATTATAGCGCGTCACATGGAGGAAGGATTTGCTGTGTCAAGATGGGACAATTACATTTTTTAAACAGCCGTAACTGTAGCTGCGCAAACAAAAGAACATTGATCTCACCATCGTTATTGTAGTACTTATACACAGAATACGCCGTTTGAGCCTTCAAGTGGTTCTTGAAGACCACAAAGGATGCGATATAGAAATTTGTAAAGGACACTCCATTCCCTCCAACGTTACGTCCAACACAGAAGTTATCGTGCTGCTTCCAGTCCTTCATGTTCTGAACACCAACCCCTCCCTTGTCCCGCGCCTCTTTCTTGCCGTTTATGTACATTCTAAGGCCAGATTTCATCCGCCATGTTGTGATAAGATAGAACCACTGGTCTGTAATCGCGTCCGTTTCAGCCTGGGGAGAGTCACAGAGCAGTTATTAATACACCGCAGAACGTGCGGTCTTTCTTTTTATCTGTCTATTTATGATTACTGTGATTGGCATCGTTAATAGAATCTCGCATAAAAATGTCTTTGGTAAACTTAAGAGTTAAGCATTGCAAAATTGAAAGCTAGGTTTCGCAGTGATATCATAAATCAAATTCTGCGAAAACCCACATAATCATCTCAAACACGAAGTATCTAAAAATACAGTGAGTCGGGGACTGTTATGAAGAACTCAACAAATACCCACATTCAATCCTTTACAAAGATAAAAACAGCAACAACGACATTAACACCTACCTTCCATCGAGTGTCATAAGTTGCAATTTCCATAACCAATTTTTTATTCAACAAATACAGCGAAACTCCTGGCGAATTGACGCTCTTCTCCCCAGTGTCCAGTATATACCTGGGGTTGTCATAGTTCAGTACCGCCGCAGGGAATTTCAGCTTCAAACCAAAAGAAAAACCGTCCAAGAAATCACCAGGATTTACCAACGGATCCTGGCCACTCAAATGAGAGCTGAGATACCCTGAAGCGCCATCCAAGAGGAGACCCCCCTCAACACTCCGAGAATTGCCGTGTACCTGGAGAGCTGCCTTTCCAGGAATAAGTCCGTTTGATATGACAAAGAATGACCAGTACTGACTGGGGGACAGAGCAGGCATTACTAAAACGAAAGGGGAATATTAACATAAAATGTAACATAACGTAGCGGCCATTAGCCTCCCTTAACAGTAGTGCCTTGAACCGATTTAATATCCTATACGGCATTTTGGATAATGAATTCGACCAAAGAATGGTAACAGGAAAAAAAGAAGTCCACATAATTTCAGGTTTCCCTGATTCATTTTTCTTGACCTTGCAGGTTACAAAAAGGCAGGAAAAAAAAAGAGAAAAAAAACAATTACGATAACGTAAATAATTTGGAAAAAAAGCAAAAACAAATTTACCTGGTTTTTCACCCATACCATCTGTTGAAAACAAAAAATGTAAATTAGTTTCCAGTGATATAAAGGGATTCTCAAAATTAATCCAATTAGGACTTTCTTGCACTTCGGGGATTGTTAGTTTGAGTAAAAATTAATGCAGAGGATAACATTGCCGCATTTCTAAGTTGTTCAAAGCTCAGCTACGCATAAATAAACCTGATTTCTTCGCTTGTCAGTAAATTTTCGAAAAGTAAATTTGACTTGGGTGACGAAGTTGATCCGGAATAAAAATTGTTTTACTGTACGTTGCTCAGTGAATGGTCGAAAAACTCCCACAATCCTGCCAACCAAAAAGAAGCCTTAGTAAAACCAATGGTGACCTTGCTACTCGCGTTTCCTTCGCTATACACAGTATGCATGTTTGCACTTTGAACAGTCACTGACTGTTTAGAGCATTTTGGTTTGGGTTTTACGACCACCTAATAATGTACAAGAAAAAATTAAGCGCTTCTGATTGGCTGAAAACGAATGCATTCTCGTGTAACATGAGTGAAAGGTTGTAAAACGAGTGCAAATCACAAATAGTGCGCGCACACTTTCAAAATTTCGTTTGCTTTGACTTTCTGTGATGTTTTTCTGTGATGTACATTATTAACAGGTAAAAACATGATTTCTTTTGTAATTTGGTGTACCCTGCGGGCTCGTGCAATTTAGTTGTTTTTGAGAAATTCACTCGTGCTTATTAACACCAAACTGCACTCGAAAACATGTTATTACCTATACAAAACACAGTCTAACGCTGCATCGGTTTACAATTCAAAATAATCACCTGATATAACCAGAGGCATCACAATCTGTTTGGTGCTCGGAGACACACTAACACTTTCCATTCCGTTTATCAACAAACGTTTCTCCGTTGCAGAGTCCACAGCATAGAATTTTATAGGTTTCATGTGCGTGGTCAGTTTGCTGACTGTTAACATACTGTTTGGCTGAAGATCGTCACCGTTCAAGGGTTTGGCGTCGTTTGATACAAGTGTCACTTGGCTTCCAGCATTGTTTGTTACTTGAAGTAGTATTGAAAACTGCTGAGGCGGCGGGAATATTGGAGGAACATCTGACATGCAAACAAAAAAAGATAACACTAAAACATTAACATCACAACTTTAAAGGGGCTTACCTTTTCTTACATTTCATAAACTTGTTTAATTGAGTGAGTGATCGATTTTCTGATCGGTTCGGCTGATTGGTTTCTTGACTGACTGAATGGCTGTTTGACTAGTTAAACAATTTATTGAGTTGTAGATTAATTGATTGACTGATCAACTGATTGATAACGTGCTTAAATAAATGACTAATTGATCTAACGATCAATTGAGCCATTAACTGATTCAAGATTTGGCCGGCGGACCAACCCACTAACACTTACATTTGTCTGTTATGTTCACAACTTGCCAAGGGCCGGGTTTTTCTTGAGGAATAATGATCAAGCTGGGCTGATTGTTGAGAACACAAGAATGATCCGTAGCCTTAGCCCAGAATGTGATGGGAGACTTGTGTGTGACATTCTTGGTTATCTGGACGATAGTTTTCGCCTTAATGGTAAATCCTTTAGACGGTTCCTTGTCGCTTGTTGTGATGTTAACACTCTGCGTTCCGTAGTTTGCAAAACGAACGCGGATGAAGTAAACTACAACTGGAGAAGCTGATGAAGCCAAAAAAAATTATGTTAGATCGTTCTTCTAAACTGATTCTCTTCTATTGATGTGGTCGATTTGGTCCTGCCTGTCTGTTTTCATTTCGTCGGTCACTCCGTCATTTCATCAAGTTTGTTTTTCTATCGTATGACTGCACACCTGTCCATCTCGGCACTTCCACCCGAAGTACTGGCAAAAAATTGAAGAAACTGCGTATGTGTCTACCACTTACCATTGGATGTCACCGTAATAGTGATAGGAGCTCCTTCGTTAGGTAGGGGTTTAAGTACTAGACTTGATTTGTAGTTGATGAACAACTTCTTTTTCAAATCTGTCTTTAGGGACGCTTCAAAGGTTATAGGCAGTGGCGATTTAATTTTCTTCTTGATCACAACGATTTTCTTTTTCAGGACAACAAAACCGCCAGGGGGATCGTTGTCTGATGGTATGAGTACGATGTCAAAATCGTTTCTGTTTGTGATTCGAAGTATTATGTAATACCACTTGTTGGCAACTGCAATAAAACGAAGGGCAATAGATCAAGACATAGAAAAGAAAACTGGTTATTTTCAATGAACTTCGATGTTGCCTTTTAACCTTGAGAGAACTTGAGAGTAGCCAGCCTTCAAGGTGAAGACGACAAATTTTCGTGTCTTTACAAATCACATACACTTTGTATATCAAATTATAGGGGTTTGCCCTTAAGTAATACCTTGACCTCAGTTTCTCTCGATCCCCTATCTCAATTAGATTAGTCTTGAACTTATAAGCTATTAATATATATTAATAGCAGAAGTTTAGTTGACAAACTGTCGTCGAAAATATTGACTTTGAACACAAAAGGTGAAAAGGAGGCGCAATAACTGGCAAGGAGCATTTACTAATACATATAGGAATCGGGAGAGAACATTTTTTTGTTCTCTTTCACATCGCAGGAGCACTTCAGAAATTGAATGGGAGTGTCCCTCAACAATTTTTTGACTCACTTGGATTTCCAATAACCAAATTTATCGGCACCACATTCTTGTTTTTAACAGGCCTCAGGGTTATAAGTTGGCTACCATTTATCAACAAGAACTGCCGTCTACTGGCTTCATCTACGACAGCAAATTGCACGGCTGGCACGTTCGGTTCTACCACAGGAACGTCTTTGGATATCATGGCAATAACATTGGCATTGATTGGCATGCCACTTGCAGGGTCGTTATCACCAGGAATGAGAAGAACTTTCTTCCCAGACAGATTCGAGATCTTCATCTTAATGTAATAGTCAACGAGCGGTTGCTTGGACACAACTGAAATCGAAAGCAAAGGACAATATTAACTTGTTTATTTCAAAGGTATTAAAATTATGGCAAGTCGAAACATAATGGAATGCAGAACGCTGCCATAAATGTCACGTGTTGAAGAGGTCTTTCTCTGTACCAGAATTCCTCTCATAAAACTCAGACACGATTGAGAGCCATTTCATAATAAATGAGCCGAGTCTTACTAGTTATGAATCTTAACTTCTTAATTCTATGAATTTTCTTTGGCAGGGGGACGGAAGGTGAGGAAGGCGAGAACGTGGCTTATAAACTTTTTTTCTAAGCTTTTCTTTAATTAAAGTTTCCAACTACTGGTTAAAATGTTTCGCAATCCGATAGTTTTTGACTTTAAAAACATAAATCCTAGGTGCTTTACCCCTGGTCCGAATTTCCAATCTTCCAAAGCGGTTCCATGAAAAATCAATTTAACTTACTGTTTTTCCAGAAGAACGCGAAAATCTTTTTCACCCATTCCTGGTTGACGTATTGCTTAAACACAGCTGTGGACGACATGTACAATACGCCACACATCTGTTCAGGCTTCTGATTCAGTCCACGTCCAACGACGAAGTTGAGTTTACCATTGTACACAGGCGGTGGGGCTGAGTTAGCCTCACCAGCATGAAGGCTGGTCTTCAGATTACTGTTCCCGTAAAACTGCAGTCCCTTTTCGGGATGCCAAGTTATGATGATGTAGCACCAGAAATCAAAAGCTGCTGGCGTTTTGACCTTGATAGAACGCATAAAGAAATTAAAGAACATGAGCCAGAAAGGAATAAATTTAGTTCATTTCGTTGTGTTTATGACTATAGGAGGTTGTAATTTGACATAGTGACGTGCTCTTGCTAACAAAAAGATGCAGAGACTTCAAAGTCATAAGCTCATTATTTTTCCTTTTTCCCGTAAGAAAACCCTTAAGTCTGTGCAGTTCACTGTTGGTTCTCAATATCACCTTCAACAAAAGCACTTTACGTCTCTTTCAACATACCTCCCAAGTTTTCGTTGACGAGACCACTCGCGCAACTAGCGTGTCTCCCACAGCGTAAAGTGATACACCACGCGCTTTCACACTTGGACCAGTATCGATGATGTACCTGGGCTGCTGCTTACAAGACTTTACGGATAAGTCTAACCTAAGCTTTATACCAATAGTGAAACCCTTCTCGCAGCTGTCTGGATTTAGAAGACAGTCTTGCGAGGAAATCGTTGTAGCTAGCCACGTTCTGTTAAAGATTCTGAAACCCATGTTGAGAAGACTGACTTGTCCACTGATATACAATGGAGGGACGCCAAAAATCTTATTCTTTTCCAAGGCCAGGAAATACCAGTAATAACTTGCAGGTATAGGGGGCTCTAAGGAACAAAACATAAAAGTTTGTTGGGCAAGTTTGTCTGGCAGGTGATCGCAGATTCGCCCTGAATTTTAATGAATGAATCGCCTTGACGAGATTAAAGGCAAAAATGGGCTTAAAATCCAGGGACACACGCCATTTTGTGTAAAGGTTTGTTTATAATAGGATTTGGACAAGTGCATGCTAAGTAGGTGATAGACTGTGGAGATAACCTCCAAGAAGTACCCACTCCTCTGAGCGTGAAACATTTTTAACAAGAGATGTGAGAGAACAGTTGGCATTAGCAAGCTTCCAAAACACCAGCTGGCTTTCCATTGCAAGTTAGTAATGTCCAATTAAACCACTCTCTTTCCACTGGTCAAGAGACCACAATATCACCTATAAAGAACTGCCGAAAAAATCAAGCCTCTGATGCTAGGATTGTTTTATGGAAAGTACTGTAATTATGAAAACAGACTCGGTAAACGTTTGATAAAGCAAATACTGAACATGTTTATGGCAAAACATCGTGATTAATGGTCCGCATATGGCGAGGTTCTGCTCAAATTTGCCCAGTAAGAACTAATTATTTCACTACAAAGTCTTTAAAAATAAATTAATTAATGCAAATAACCAAATAGCGAACATGGTTCACACCTTTAGGACCCGGCCCCGTCGGAGTAACAATCGTTGGTTTTGGTCCTAAAAGCAAAAACGCAACAATGAAAATGGTTATTAAGAAAATGGTTTATCAAAATCAATGTGACCATCAATTCATGGAAAAGGAGGAGAACAAACCTGAACACTTAGCTTTACAAGCTGCCTCTGTGGGGTACATGTTCTCATTTCCAAGACACAGTCCAAACTTGAATGGTTTACACTTGTCGGTGGCCGAATCGAAATAGTATCGCAGCTCTGCATTAACGCATTTGTCTGAGTTCCAAACTCTCTGACATATGTCTGTTTCTGAGGGATCTGACAAGAACGAGAAACGAACTTTATCACTCTGTAAGACTACCAAGGATCACGTGCACGTTGATATTTCACTCATGTGACCAGTGGCCATAATCATGGAATAGAACTACGACAACACGAACTTTTATACGGAAGACTTTGATTTCTAATTGAGGGTAGCGGGAGGTTTAAGTTATCGAAAGTCAGCTGTTCGTGTCATGTTTTTTTTATGGCTTGTTTTGTTTTTAAAAACGACTCAGAAGGGCAGAAAGAACCACCTTTGTTCTCAGACGTACAGGCTGGTAATAATTTCATGTATTTTGTGGCACATGTGAATCTATTCATAGGAATATAAGGCTATCTCACTTGAACCTCTTAGGGCTTAATGTTAATTGTTTTGTTTTTTAGGTTGTTGTTTTCGTTCGCATTTGGCTTTTTGCTTTTTATTTTGTTTCATCTTTTTCTTGTTCTTTTTCCACAGGTCCTAATCAGAGCCATAATCAGAATGATTGAGGTTCGATTTATCTTCTAGGGTTCGATATCTCGACTAGTATTTTTATTCTTTTTCCCACTTTTTTTGCAGCCCACGTATACAGAAGGTAATTATCTTACACCGGCATTACCATAGTACAACAGGTATTATCCGTAAGAATTATACATGGAAACCTACCGCATATTTGCTCGCAGTTCTTTTTCGAATAAAAATGCGACATATTTCTGTAGCTACAGTGAGCCAGTACTTCCTTCAAGAAGCTGATACAAGGAGAGCTTTGTTCATTAACAGACGCTTTACCCACTTCTTGTTGGATGTCAACTTGACAAGGTCCTTCCGGTTTACCAATGGCACATGGAGAGACTATAAAAAAACAAACAAACAAAGGAGATATCAACAGAAACCAAGAATTAAAGTCTATTGAATATGATTGGCTTTCCTATGTTTGGTTATCTGACAATATCTTGCATTCAGTATGTCGGGACACAAACCAGGAAAACTGGATCTGATTAATGGTAAGCCCTTAACGGTTGTACTGCTCGCAATTTCCTAGCTCGCATAGCTCACAGTTAGTAAAGGTAATAACATGATTTCGCGTAAATTTGGTGTCATATGCACCGGCAAATTTTCAAAGACAACAAAATTGCACGAGCCCGTAAGGCAAGTGCAATTTGTAGTCTTTGAAAATTTACAAGTGTTTATCACACCAAACTGCACGAGAAATCATGTTGTTACGAGTTGATAATTTACATGAAAAAAAGAAAAACATCACAGAAAGTCATCAAGGGAGACGAAATTTTGAAAGCGTGCGCGCGTTTGCGCGCGCTATATTTGTAATTTGTACACGTGTTACAACTTTGTACTCGTGTTACAACTTTGCACTCGTGTTGCATGAGAATGCACTCGTGTTCAGCCAATCAAAAGCGGGTAATATTTTCATGTACATTGTTAGTTAAAAAAAATGCGCGCTGAAAAGGTCATTTACTAATCGTTCCAGTGTAGTAGCACGATCCCATGATCATTCTTATTTGGGTCAGATAAGATGACAAGTACGACTTCCTTTAAGAAAATAGACTTACATTGACTGTGATTTCAATGCGAAATGTTATTCTTACCTATGTTACAGTTAGGACCTGAATATCCGGGTGAGCACTTGCATTTGTTGTTCACACAAATTCCCCCATTCAGACAATCTGGCTGGCAAGTTGCTGAAAATGGAAAAAAAAAGGAAAAGAATAATAAAATGAACGCAATGGGTATTATCTTGGAAGAAAACACAGAATCATGAACAAAATAAAGAAAAGAGACTACAGCAGAAACAAAAGCCCAAATTACGTGGCGGAGAAACAAATTTCCAACATTTGCATGAATAGTAAAAGAAACAAACAAACAAACAAACAAAAACCTCAGAACAACGAGAAAAAGTTAACATGTAGAAACTGTGGGAGGTGTTTTGCATATTTACAATCAACCAGACTTACACGAAAACAAAAGAAATTTAGGTCTAACCCAAACCATGGTTTTACGCAAGTAGCGGGCTTCAGGCTTTCTTTATAAGAGGGTTGATTTAATTTAATACATGTCCTTCCACCGTTAGCCCTCTTGGCACTGTCCACAAAAACAAATTTTCAGATGAAGGGTTTGGCTAAATTGAAGATGGCTTAGAATGCGATGCTGTTAATTAAACAACGGCTAAACTTCGTTAAAAAAACGGCCCTTGGGGTTTACTGCACTCGGAAAATCAAAAAAATCAGGTTTTTTAAAAGCTAAAAAATCAAAGTGCTCTGTGAACTCGTGAATTGACACATGATTTGAGTACGAGCAGTAGTTCATCGCTAATGTAGCAAAGAAACAAAGTAACATCATTTGACAAGGTGGATGATGTCATGTGTTTTAAACGTCTATCGAGTGAAATTTACGCTGTTTACTGCACTCGGAAGCTACAAAAACTCAGGTTTTTTATTTCAACAAATGACTGCAAAAACATATAGGGCATTAGACGTAAAAAAAATAAACAAAAAGAAACAAAATAAAGAAACAAAACACAGAAATAGATAAATTATTCTTATCTGTCTCAGATTAGAACAATTCTTAATCGTTATCAGTACGTACAGATATGACACCACTGGCCGGAGTAGCCTGGTTGACACTGACAAGTGTTTGGGGCGACGCATTTTCCACCGTTCTGACAAACTCGCTGACAAACAGCTAAAAAGATAGAATACGAGCCAGTTAATTCTAACACAATTCACTACGTTCATCCTTTCCGATTTCACCTTACTACATCCTGTAGTTAACTAAAGCATGGCTTACCATCAGCTCAATCACCAGAATCCGAGACAAGTTTTGCCGTTTTAAGGAACCATAAGTTATAAAAACAGGTACTTCTCAAGTGTAATCTATGGCCGTAAATGTTTCACTTTCATTAAAAACTTCGGAAAGATCCATCGATAGAACCTGTGTATAAATTAGTGCACAACATGCCTTACAGATTCTAAACTACGAGTTAAACCTTATCACAGCGAAGGAACAAAAGTATCACAGGTTTAAAGTTTACTTACGCTTGTTGCAAGTTTTACTTCCATATCCAGTCGGGCAAGTACACTGATTCGGTTTACTGCACGTCCCTCCATTTTGACAAGGGATCTTACAAATTGCTGCGTAAGAAAAAAAATATTTGACCGATGTACTGCGCATAGAGAAAAACAAAGAATTTTTACCCGCCTCAGTCAAAAACAAAACCTGTTCTCTAAAAAAGAATAACAGAAAACCTGAAGTGTTTGGTTTCAGAAATCTGGAGTGTTGAGCTCTTGAAAACTTTCTTAAAAGCAAAGTTATACAACTCGCCCAAAGACAAAAAATAGTTGCCTGGGACACCCGACCTCTTCTTGAGTACAGCATCTTTTTTATTTTTTTCCTTAAAAAACTATCTTCGCGCGTTTCAACTTTTGCCAAAATAATTGAGAACAGCCAGCTGTAAAAGCTATGGTAACCTTATGACTTACGTGTCTGACAGTAGTTTCCTCCATATAGTCCCTGACCACACTGACATTTGGCATTGACGCATGTTCCGCCATTTTGACAAGGTGGGTTACAAACACCTATTCAAAACACAATTACATAAAGAATAAGAAAGGATCACGAAGGTCAACGAAGCTACTCACTATTCAACCGAGTTGACTTCTCAACCCTTACACCATTACTTTTTTTTTTCTATCTTTTCTTTTTTCATATTTAACCAAACCAATATTTTTTGGTGATGCAGTATCATCAGCTGCAATGTCATGTATGGTGCTTTCCCTCAACTCCTTCGGTTTATGTTTGATATCTTTTATTACTGCCTATTTTCAGCCGAATCATCCTCAACATGTTGTGCCAGGAAAGATAACCAAAGTGATATGATTGTTATCCTTCTCAAACTCTTAATTCTGAGTCACCTGCTTCCTTAGCTACTCACTAGGGCATGGCTGTACATTGCACACTTGTGTTTCTAATTCTGGTCCCAGACCCTGATCCAGACATGTCTTTCCTCCGTTCTGAGGTGGAGGATTCGTGCAGGACCGAGTGCGCATGCGTGTTCCTCCGCCACAAGTCGCTGTACATTCTGTCCACTGGCTCCAAGGAGTGTAGCCACCATCCACTGTGACAAAGAGCATAATAGCAATGAAAGTTATGAAATATTAATCGCGAGCATGGGGTAAAAAAGAAACTCACTGTCCAATTACACTGTAGTTTCAAACCTCAACCTGTCAAAGCCGCAGAAAATCCATTGGTCGGGCCACGTACCATATGTTTATTAATGTGATTTCCGTACGAGTGTTGTTAAATTACGTGAGTAACTCACGCACTAATCAAAAAGTTCTTGTTAATGTACACGTGCGAGTGTTTAAGGACATGTGTCAAGTTGAAAAACTCAAAATCGCGATGAAAAGCTGGGTTTCCACGGTCTGCTCCTGACATAGGATACAAAATTTGAAGGCGTACAAGCTAAAGCTACATTCGGTAAGTACTCTGAAGGAAGAGCACATGTGAAAAAGAAAACTTGAACGTCAGCGAGTAAAACTTTTCGAAATGTCAAGGAAAACTTATGAAGGTAGAATTTCCCCTAAGCTCTCTATGATATCCTAGACAAGAGTCTTCCCTATACATTCACCCTTATAAGAAAAATTTTGTCTCTAACTAATTCTCCCCGAAATCCGGCGAAAAAACTTTTGAATGAGTCAATAATTTTGGAATTTTTAAGTCAATAACCGTACTTTATCTCATAATTCCCTTTCTATCCTTTCTGAAATGGTTTAAACAATTTGAAAACTGCCGTGCTGGTAGTTTACCTTTGACCCCTGGGCAGGCAGCAGGGTTACAGTTGCGGGTTTCCATGTTGCCCCCTAAGGAGGAACAGTCGGTTCCCCCATTCAGTGGTACAGGATTGGTGCAATTTCTAGTCCTGACTTGAGTACCACCCCCACAGGTGACTGGACAGGAGGACCACTGAGTCCATTCATCGTATCCACCAGGAACTGTAAATATATGCGATTAAGCACGTTAGTGTGTAATTTAGGCTCAGGTTAGCAGGGCACTTTTCAGTTGGTGTCGAACGTTACCGGGATCGCATTGCATTTTTCCTCCACTCCCTGACCGGACTATGGTAAATTTGCGCCCCTCTTTTGACCAATCAGATACAAAACTTAAATCAATCACGATCTGCTGGTGCAGCTTAAAATAAACCAAGTTACTACCGTCTTCTGACCTCGGAAAAGACAAAAGAGAGAGATACTGGTAGAGCCGATGACTTTTACAGTTACTTTCACCTTTTTAATTAAATGAATATGAATCAATTAACTAACCTGGAAAGGGACACATAGGATCTGGTTTACCCCCTTCAGGCGCTGTGCAAAGAAGAAAAAATCAAATGGTCAATACCAGAGCTCAAATTCAAACCGTATTATCACTATTATCACTAAGGTGCTTTTCTTTTCTTCTTACACACAGCTACTAAATACCTTTCAGCATAGTGGAAGACTCCTTTACCCAGTACCAAATAATCCCTGGATTCTCTGAGTCCCCACTGATCCACTGAGCTGGTTGATTGTCGGCAGTTTTGGACACAATTGTTCCATACTTGGTTGGACTTTCGCAATCAGATGTCGTCAAAAGCGACTTATCATCACCAACAGTAACGTACGGCATACGCTTGCCAATTCCTGTTTGGTCCTCTGACCAGGTTCCAAACTTCTTCAGTAACTGTACCCCATTAAGTGAACACTTCGTAGTCGTGAAGCTAAACAACATGAAGTATGTATAATCATCATCACTCAGAGTTCAGGTTTTTAGTTTCAACATTATTAAAACTGACAACAAATGTTTTATTTTTTTCCAATTTTTTCCGTTATGTATAATCCCCTCTCTTCTATACTTGTAAGAAATCGCAAAAAAATGTCAGTTTTTGGCATATTACGTTCTCCAAAAGAATAATTGTCTTAATACGCACAAATTTTGAAATTGAACAAGCAAAACAAAGACTTTGCGCTCAAACGAGAGTACAAAAAGCCAACCTGTAATTCTGAGGAGCCACAAAAATGCCGCCATTGCTGCCTCTCTCTCGCGCCTCCAGTCGATAAAGGAAGTACGGACTAACAGCGATTGACTTGATTGTATCACCCTCATCTAGCGCAGAATAATCTTTGGTAATAGACGGCTCTGCGATATTCCTAGATTTTAATAACAATATTCAAAAGTGAGTTTTGAGTACATAAAAATCTAGAGTTGTTAAGGGGTATGGAAGTTTTAAATAAATAGGGTTTTCTCAAAGCTGTCGTATATGAAGCCGTTTGTTTATGAGAGAATGTCTGTAAATTAGATATCACACAAGATGGTGGTTAGAAAAACAGGGAAAGAAGTTTAGTACAAGGTTGGATGTGAAGATGCACATCCGTCGTCTTTAGCTCTACGCGCGTTAAACGGGAACATAGCACAAGTAAAAAGAGGTTAATAACGAGAAGTAAGCTGGGAAGAAAGAAAGAAGAGAACGTTCAAAAGCACTATCATACCTGCTTTTTACACTGTCTTTGGTCCAACCCTTGTTGGTCGCACTTGTTACCAAAAGAGTCCATCCACCATTGTCATGTGTCATATCACAGAACACATTGGCTGTTTCAGCAGAGTTTGGTTTTTGTAGGTAGATTGTGTATATACCATCAGTTTTACTGTGGCAGCGTTCAAAAAACTCCCGACAGGAACGAATAGGGACTGAAAGCAATTAAGCAGACGACTTTGTTAGCTCATAGAAGCATTATCATTACTTCTTACTTCTGTCTGGGGTAGGAAATTGTTACAAATACCATGATCAGCCATTTGTAGAATACAACAAGTAACAAGTAAAGGTATTAAAATTACCCCACTCGCTTTAATAGAAGGGCGAAAGTCTCAAAACTCACTAAAAGTCATCGAAAAAATACTGAAATTCCGTGAAAAGTACATCACTCTTAGCCTCTAACTACAAGCCCTTAAGTTATAAAATAATTTTGTTTTGGTCTGATTCGTTTTTCTTGTTTGCTTGTGGTTGTTGTTGTATATCTTTTGTTCTTTTCATTTGTTTTTTGTTTTTTGCTGGCGTATTTATATGTAATCGTAAGCCATGATATTTGTCTATACTCACTCTTTGGTTCAGGGCAGGGTTCTGCATTACATTCTTTAGTTTCCACAGGTTTTTCAGAGCAGGATTTGCCTCCGTACATTGGCATGGGGTTTGTGCAGCTACGTGTCCTTGATGTTACTCCTCCACCGCAAGATTCAGAGCACTCAGTCCAGTTTGTCCATGAAGTAAAACCACCATTTACTATCATGGATATAAAAAGTTATAATGTTCCATGAAAAAACAAAAGCAAATGGCAATGATAACTATGAAGCTTACTGGTTATGTGCTGACTTAGAGATCGCGAGGTCATCGTTTGAGACAGGACAAGGTAATGGTGTGTTATAATTGTGATATGTTCTTGGACAACACACTCTAATCTCAGTCTCTCAGTAATAAGTTTATCAAATTGCACCGTCTTTGTGAATAGGAGAATTAATCTAAGAATTCATCTTTCTAACCAGGGAGGGGGAGGGAGCATAAGTCCCGTAGGAGTAGCAAAAATTCAAGTGCAAGAATGGGATAAAATGAGATAAGCCACAGCAGCCGTTCACCTCAAACTAAAATCCAAAATATGAGGCATCCTCTAATGAAAAGAATATTAACGTAATGATTTCTGAGCCCCACCTGGGCAAGGAAGAGTGTTGCAAGGCATCACTTTTTTCGTCATCTGTCCTCCAACATTTACCATTTTGAACTTTTCACCACCACCACATGTTTTGGAGCATTCTGACCAACCGGTCTCTGGAGCTGAAGAAAAAGTACGGAAGATGTCAGAATAACGGACACGTATTTGAAAAAAAGTTGAATCACACAAAGTCAATATGGCTCATGTTTGAACCCGTGATAGTAAGAGCTACATTAACTTGCACATGGTTTAAAAAACCCAAAACACATCGTGGATATGGGAGAAAACATAAACACGTATTCTCGACAGCTAAAAGGAACTTATTGTGGCTGTTGGCCATAGATTGGCCGAACGGCCTTGTCTTTTATAGCATAAAAAGAGATACAGCTACTTACGGCCAGGAGGACACACTTGAATATAGCATTGCTTAGTCTCGGTGGGTTCACCTATAGCCGCACAGTCAGCTCCACCATAACTTGGCTCAGGGTTGTTGCACGTCCGAATCCTACTTTGCTGTCCATTGCCGCAGGTTACGCTGCACGCTGTCCACTGTTCCCACGGCGAGTAGCCTCCATTAACTGGCAAAAAAGTACATGTACAGTGAAGAACAAAAACGAAGTCCCCCTTTTTCCTAAGATTTACTTTTACTGGTCCACAAAACTTCTTGAAGGCAGTAAATATTCAATGACATTTTTGTATATACAAATAAATACAAAATATATAACCTACCTGGACATGGATCAATCTTGCATTTTATTGTTTCAGTAGATGATCCCAACGAAGAACAATCTCTGCCCCCAAACTCAGGGGAAGGATTGCTGCACTGGCGCGACCTCAGCGACTCACCACCGCCACATGTCACCGTACATGGTGTCCAGTCACTCCAGGGAGAATAGGCACCATCCACTGAAAAGGAAAAGAAAGCAAGAGTGTTCAGCATTTTTGGGTACAAAATATTCAGTCTCTCCATTGTGGCATGCGTGTCACTTGGAGAATGCGATTTTCAGAAACTCCAGATGCTTACAAAGAGTTGTCAAGAGCGGTCTATTTGCGAACTTCTACGATAGCTGGGGAACAGATGTTAATATTTGCGTCTCCCACACAAGCAAATACTGGCACGAGGCAAGTGCGAGGAAAAGAGGAACGCAAAAAACGATTTTAACCTTTCACAACTCTTTCTATAACACGTAGTTGCCCTTTTTCTCGTCCTCGCTCGCTTTACGCTTGCCCCGACTCACATGGGAAACACAAAAAATGATGCTTGTTCCCTACGCTAATCCTATTTAGATAAAGGTAACACATCTCCCACTCTATGCAAGATTATACAGCTTCATGTGTGATGAAATTTTCTTACCAGGACATTTCTGCGGGTTGCAGGGCTGCGTCATAATTTCTGGTCCGTCCACTGAGCAGTCCTTACCACCATACTGTGGCGCTGGGTTGGTGCAGTTTCTTGTTCTTTTCACAATTCCTCCTCCACAGGTAACACTGCAGGTTGTCCATGCAGTCCACTCTGTGTATCCACCATTTACTGCAACAAAATCGTGATAGTTACTCTGGTTATAAAATGCTCGTTTTCAGTTCCAAATCTCATGTCAGAGTGGAGGAAGATAATCATCACAATTGTCTTCTATGAGGTATTCAGTCACCTCGCCACCAGGAAGACTCGTCACCGGTGAACTCGCATCAAAGTATTATCGATTAAATTTACCCGGGCATTTCCTTTGCAAGTCGAATATGAAAGTTGTGTTACACTGGCCGCAGTTTAACATATCATTTTAAAATACTGAACCGATTCAAATCGGGAAGCGCGCAGTCAAAGCTATAAATCAAAGAAATAACATGCAGGTATTTTCAATGATTATCAATGAGAACTTACTCGGACATGGCGTAGTACTGCAGTTCCTCGATTCTGAGCTTGGTCCAAGTATGCTGCAGTCTCTGCCACCGTTTGCTGGGGCAGGAGCAGTGCATGATCTTGTTTTCTGCTGCATACCTCCACCACAGGTGGCACTACATGGTGAATAGTGACCCCATGGGGTGTACCCACCGTCAACTGAAAACCAAAAAATGGCACATTAGGTCAGACATTAACATTCACTCATTCTTTCATGTATTTAATATCCACTTTACTACCCTATTGGTGATTAATTTAGCGGGTACCTAATTTCAGGATTTTGGCGAGACAGTATTTCGCGGGGATTTATTTCCACGATTTCAAGAGACAAACATGAAAAAGGGCATAAAAATTTAGTGATTCAAGTGTTCTCGACTTCAATTACTTTTCAAAAAGTCGGAACTTTTGATGATTACAGGAAAGATATTCTATGGAATTTTTACGAATCTAGCGACTCGGATAAAGTCATTTTTATGCGCGGGTCATAATTATATTTCATTTTTTTCACAATCGCGTGGAACGCGAAATAAAGACTCGTGAAATTAAGTACCAAAAAGTTCAAAATCTTTAATCAGATGTGTTGCTCATCTGAACCCCCGTTAAGTTTGTATAGTGTACCTCAATCAGTTCCTCAATTGATCAAGAGTCCGTTAATACTTCAACGACATTGTTACATTAGTCTGTACCCAATAACCAACATTTGAAACATCAGTTAAATTTTCAGTCATCAAAACATGCATTGTAACAGAACGTACCCGGACAGGGCTGGGTGTTGCATTCTTTAGACTCGGATGTTGGACCATTACAAGGCTTGCCTCCATTTTGCGGCACTGGATTTGTACAGGTTCTACTGCGCATCTGATTTCCTCCCCCACAAGAAGAGGAGCATATAGAATAATTACCCCAGTCACTAAAACCTCCATCAACTACAGATAACAGAGAAAGGAAATTAATGATCACGCTGAAATGGCATCACCTGGAACAGAATGTTATATAACTTTTGCCATCCAACAACATGTCCATATTCTTACTTGGACATGGCTGTGTGTTACATTGCCTGGTTTCCTCATAACCTCCAGAACAATTCTTTCCACCAAACTGTGGCAGCGGATTAGCACAAGATCGTGTACGTGACTGAACTCCTCCACCACAAGTCTTACTGCAGGCTGAGTAGTTAGAGAATATGGTAAATCCACCATCGACTGTAGAAAAAGAACATTTAGAAAGTTCAGTAAAAAAAAAAACAAACAAACAAACAATTCTTTTGTAGTCTTAAGTTTTAATTGATGTTTTTCGTGTTACAAAGTTGAGCCTGAAAAATATGCTTAATAAACCTTTTTTTTCTGATATAGTAGAAGTTATGTTCTCCAGATCATAAAATATTCATTTTTTTAATTATCCCAAAAAATAGTTATACAAGGGTGTACAAGTTTAACTCACGAGTGACAAAGTTACCTGGGCATTTCTGTGTGTTACATTTTCTTTTTTCAAAGTCTGGTCCAAAACTAGAGCAGTCTTTACCACCCAGCTGTGGTTCAGGATTAGTGCAAGTGCGAGTCCGTGTCTGTTCTCCTCCACCACAGGTCTCTGTACAGTCAGACCAATTTGTAAATGGAGAGTAACCCCCATCAACTGAAAAAGGAGATTTTGAAATCATTAGGAAGAAAAATTAATCATAACACAAGGTGTAAGGGATACTGCGGTTGAGTCATTCATGCATCACGTACCTGTTGCAACCTAAAATACATGTTAATTACAATTAAACAAATCAGTGACAATCAAAGCTAGAGGGATCACACATTATTGTGTTCTGGGGAACTTCAAAAACACAATGTTTTTGCTTAAGTTTCAAAGTTTGATAAGGTTTTGCAAAACTGTGCTCTAAGGAGAATCACTGAGTGACTGAGTGCCTCAGAAATCTGATCTAAAACATTTTTTTTAAAAGCTGAGTGATAAATGTAGACACTTACTAATTAAAAGACAGTGGTTATTTGCCTACAACAATGCAACTGTGGGCTTTAAGCTGATTAGCACAGCCCTGTTCAATTTCAAGCAATTTTCCCCACATACAATAAATTAGTCCTGCTATTGAGGGAAATCACTTGAATACCTAAATTATGATTCTGAATAACTCAATCTTCAAAGCTACATGTGGCCATATATACAGATAAAAATGATTTCCTACTTGGACATGGTTTAGAGTTGCACTCTTTAGATTCCACTGCAGGACCAAATACAGAGCAGTTCTTTCCTCCGTGTAAAGGAGGTGGATTAGTACAGCTTCTGGAACGAGTCTGCACTCCTTTACCGCATGTTACACTGCACTGCATGAATTCTGACCATTCACTGTAATTACCATCAACTGAAATGCCATCAACAAATCACAATTATGGAGAAATTCATTTTTTATCTGTAACTAGATGAGAAGCTGATTTATGATTTCAAATTTATCTCAAATAATAGGAGTTGCATGATGAGTCATGTCATCCAAAATGTGATTACCTTGTCAAATTTTTACTTTGAAACACTACTTTATAACAAAATACAGTTAGTGGAGAAATGCCCCTTCTCTAAAACTAAACAGTGTGGAGCTGCCTCCACCAATGGGTAAGATGAACACAAATATATTGCCACAATAAGCTGCATGTGGATTCAAAAAGGTCAATTTGGCCTATCCTGACAGGTCAGGATTTCTTGCTTTTTCCCCACAAGTTATATTCTTAAGGAAAAATATACTTTGTTTGCAAAGATGCAGGAGCTGCCATGGTCTGACTGGTAGCTCCCCATGACTTCAGGTCAGGAGATCCTGGTAGGAGACCTTCTTAGCTAGCCTATCAAGCTCTGAATTTGGACAAGGCACTTTACTGTGACTAGTAATGCCTTCATCCACCCTGGAAGGTAACATATGACTTGGCCAATATCCATACAACCACTTTGACTCACCACCTAATCATAACACTCATCTTATATTTCAGTGCCAAACTTACTTGGACAGTAAAATGTATTGCAGGCCCTTGTTTCATTGGCTGGCCCTATGCAGTCTTGGCCATTGTACTGTGGTGTAGGGTTGTTACATAACCTGGTCCTAGTCTGGACTCCACCCCCACAAGTTGTACTGCAAGGGCTGAAGACCCCCCAGTTATTGAAGCCACCATCAACTAAAAAGAGGTAAAAATAAAATTAGCAATTGAATGTTTCTGCAAAGAAAAAAAAATTGGGATTTGTTTTCATGAAAGTTAAATTACCATTAAATACTGTTCTTGCATTTCAAAGAGACCTTTCAAAGAGCCAAGGAGGCAATGGAAATTGAACTGGCCTTTTCATTTGTTGTTAAATATTAAAAGTAGTATCATGATTGCAAAAACCAGACATTATTTGCCCATTTCCTTTTAACAGGCTTGTACATTATTTTAGGAGAAAATTCACCTCAAATGTTCATTCAAGAAAAACAAATTAAAGGAAAAAAACGTCATTGCATTCATTCCTGGCTACTGGATTAAGGTTTGTAAATGTACAATTTGATGTTGTTTCAAATCCAAAAGTGGATTCAAGGTTCTTACTTGGGCAAGGTTGTGAGTTACAGCTGCGAGTCTCTGCTGCTGGTCCTAAAGCAGCACAGTCCTGTCCACCATTCTGAGGTTTTGGGTTTGTACATGTTCGTGATCTCTCCTGAATACCACCACCACAAGTGGCAGAACATTCTTTCCATATACTCCAGGAAGTATAGTTACCATTTACTACAAAGAGAATGAACATGATTTGGATTATATCCATAGAGAATGGAAAAGAATGGGACATGATTGTTTAGCCCACCATAAAAAAATACAAGTTTACCAGTTCACATTAATTAACCATTCATAGGCTCCAAAGAAAGTTTTGTTATTAATCAGAGACAATATTTGTGTACATTTCTAACCAATATCAGACTGAAAAAAAGGGAAACAAATACAAAAAAAATAGTTTGCATCTTTCATTCCTATGCATACCAATAAAAAAGTATAAGAACCATGTGAACTGGTTTTCAATTTAAAAGAAAAAGATCTGGAACAACAATAAGGAAAAATAATCAAGTATCAACAATTTGTGATTTATTTCACTCAGAAATTACTATTTAGTGATAAATCCTGGAAAGATATCACATGACTGCAATCCCAACCAAAATTTATCAAAAAAATGTCCTTGCAAAAATAAGAAATAATAGGAAGAAGCACCTACCAGGAGTCTTTGGAGCTAGAAGAAAAAAACATAAGATAGAACAGTAGAGTAAGAATGTATCACATATGACCTTCTTCAAATTCATAATGAGATACATTTGTCTTAAGTCCTCTAAGAACTCCTGCCAATAAATTTTAGCTAAGGATATTACAGGAAGTTCATTTTTGCTGGCCATTTGAATCATAATCAACCCTAAACTCAGTCCTTTGAAAAGAAATTTTGACCACAATGGTGTCATTGTTACAGCTTTTGAGACATTTCCCCTGTCCACGTTGGACTTCAGGAAGAAAAATTCAATATATAGAGGGGAGGATGAGGGCTATAGTTCTTCAAAGAAAAAATATATTTCATCATTTTTCTTCTAAACTAAATAACTTGCAGTAAACAAAAAATAAAATGTATTTTCAGTTATCGATAACAAAATGGCGCATTCAGCTTCCACCAGCAACTTACTTGTAAAAACAGGAGGAGGTTTTGGGGTGGTGACTGGTTTTGCTGTTATGATCACTTTTGGTTTGGGTGTGGTGGTTAAAGGGAGCACAGGTCCTGGCTTCCTTGTAGTTGGAGGCTTTGATGTACCACGGGGAGACGTTACTATTTTTGGTGAGGAAGGGGTGGTTGGTGTTGTTTTTGTTGTTGTCGAAGCAGTGGTTGGTGGTTTAGGAGGGCAGGGCGCCGGACACTGTGCTGGACACGGCTGCGGGATTGGACAGTTTGGAGGAATAACACAAGGTACACACGGTGGCAGAGGAGGTAGAATTGGTTTGCTAGTTGCTATTGTCCCATTATTCCCTCGCATACAGGCTGGCCATGATCCTGGCTTTGGAATGTGCACACCTTAAGATAAAAACACAAAGGTAACAGATCTTAATTCAATCGTAAGATGTCCATGTACCCCCCTACTGTCTTAAAACAAAGCCGTAGTCTCAAAGGTAATCTATTGTTTTCGCCATTGTTTTCTTTCATCAATAGGTAGCATACATAATGAAGCGTGGAATCATGTTGAATTCTCGCCATTCAGTAACACAAGTCTAATGTTTCCTCGATTTTACCCTCAAACTGTCTCCAAAGATTTTCTCGGCGACCGCCATTTTTGTTTCACTATTATCTCAGAAAACCGCAGGCCAGTAAGGACAGGCAGACTCGTGGCGGGAAACCGGCATAGTTTATTATTTAGCTTGTTTGTTATGTGTGTATATATATCCCTACAACAACGAAATAGGCTTATAGGGATGAACTTGTAGTTTATTTGTCTTTTTCCTCCCACAATATATACATCGCTCTACTCCTATGTATTGAGCACTGTTTTACGTAAGTCAAAATTTTACACTTTATATATAGATATATTTATATATATTTATATATTTATATATAAATATATATTATATATATTATATATATTTATATATATATATTTGTATTATATATATATTTATATATATATATATTTATAATAAATTTCGGATATAACGCGCGCTGTCATTGGTTGAAAGAGCGTACTCTATGAGAGTATAGAGCATAGAGCTGAGCTAAAGATGTCACGCCATCTGCCAAATTGTACTATGTTCGACCTTTTCCGGGACTTCTTTTTAGCTTTTTTCCGATAATTGAAAGTGAAATTTCGGAACAAGCGAGCCGGCAAGTAGCAACAGAAGAACCAAACAAAGGTTTGTAAACTTACTAGGCGCCGTAATTTACGTTATTGAAACTTGAGCAGAAACGAAAATCCTCAAAGGAAAAACAAAATAGACATTCCGAGTTTTAAAGATTTTCACGCACAGTTAGATTAAATCAGCTAACACTCGTATAGTATATAAAGTTCAGTGTTCAAATACAAAACTGAACAAAACAGAAATGATGAAAAATATAACCAAACTGGCATAACTGTTAAAATTAATTCTAATCATAACGGTGTCTGCGCGAATACGATCATGCTGAAGTCCATCGCGGCTCGCTTATCATGGCGATCTCCGGTCGTCATAGTTAAGCAAGCCTCAGTAACTACATCGGCCGCCCTACGAGTAAAAAATAAGAGCTTTCTCTGATATCCTTTCCGATGCGTTGAATGGAAAGTCACATGAGTCACTGCAGCCGAGTTTTGCGTGCTGTCATCCCGAGCGATCTTCATGTTCCAGTGAATTCGGCTGTCGTTCATTCAAAATACACTCGCCTTGAACAGTTTGTTTTCTACCTTGTCATGTGAAAAAACTCGCGTGTTTATATGAGCCATAATTCGTATTAGAGACTTAAAAACTTCGGGCAAAAGTGTTAAATTCGACCTGCCGAACTATTTCAGTTTGTAAACTATCGCAAATTGTGAACTTTGGTGGTTTTTGAACTTTGATGGTTTGACACTTTTGACAGCTTTAGTCTTGTACAGCCAATCAGATTATTTGAACCATTCTAACAGGGATTCTGATTGGCTTATTGTAGCGTGCTTTATGAGAGTATAGAGCATGCTGACGACACTGTTGTTCGCTTTGGGATTAAAATCTGTTTTGAAAATTGAAAGTAATGCTCGGGAATTTAATGGATTCTTTATTATAAAACAAATAGAGAAGCCTTGACTGTGCTCTGTTCTGTTATAAAGCACTTAGGAAGCGGCTAGAGCACTCAAGAAATGGGGAGAAACACGAGACGTAGTCGAGTGTTTCTCCCTACACTTCTCTCGTGCTCTAGCCGCTTCCTGCGTGCTTTATAACAGAACAGAGCACAGTCAAGGTTTCTCTATTTGTTAAATATATAGATATATATATTTATATTTGATCAGTTTTTTATTTTTTATTAAGGAGACTAAAGCTCCCTGTCAGAGAAAAATATTACGGAAACTTAGAAATACCTTTGCTGTCTTCACATACACAAGCCAGGTGTCTTATTTGAGTCTGTGTCAATGCAGACGTGTAGATGTACACTTCATCCACAGCTCCAACAATGAATCTATCACCTTTGTGACTTCCTATTCCCGCTCTCTCGCCCCAGTCCTGCGCCAGATAACCCGCACCGTTAGCGCTGGCTGCCGGCTGTGTATTTACATATACCCGTGCAACTCCTGTTAATAATAAAGGAAAAAAATCAAGTGTCTCATAAGTATTGTGATATTTTAGAAAACTCACAGAGGTTCGTTACACAAAATTTATTCTCAGGTACGTCTACAGCGAACAACGTAATTCATTAAAAATTATCCCTTTTTGAGTTACTGAAACGTTAAGTATCTTGTGGTTCCATGTTTGCGATTAAACTTGATTTAAAATCAAGCATAAATAAAGCTAGAGGTACATTTCATGTCATTTTCATCGATCTATTTTCTCAATCTATGTCACTTGTCCCATGTTTACGCGCTTGCGCGTAATGTTCTTGAGTAAAGACAAAATAAAGATTTTAAAAATTGCCCTAGGTTTAATCAAAACTAACACTTACCTTCCTGTTTGTCATAGGTGCCAACGAGATGAGTCCATTGATTTGGAGGAACCACTACTTGTGCAGTATTTACATTAAACACATCTTTTCCATTTATATCACGAGCAAACCACCGCACTTTTCCGTCAACTACTTCAAAGTGGTAGTTTCCTTGTTTGGCTCCAGTTGCAATAGTGTCAAAAAGTGACTGCCTCCCTGCTGTTGAAGTCAACTTCACCCACATTGCAATCGTAACTGCAACACTGGGCTTTGGGAAGAACTTTCTTCCGTTGAAGGACACGTTACCGTGAGAGAATAATCCCACCAGGCCACAACCTTGTGGCAGATTTGTTATGTCCACGTTATTTATTTTACCATTGTTTGCCTTACTGGAGGTGTCAAGAACATCTATCCCCGAATGTCGATCGAAAGGTAAATGAAGAGCTAGTAATGCAGCCACAGGCAGACCAACCTGAGGATTTGGCTTGGTTGGATGAGGTACCACGGGAGGTTTCACCGGCTGAGGTGCAGGGGAAGGCTTTGGAGGAGGTGGCTTGACAACTGGGGGTTTAGGAGAAGGTTGTAGGACTGGTGGCTTTGCCGGAGGGTGCACAGGTTTGGGGCCTGGAAGAGGTTGGTAACCCTTCGGTGGACATTTAGTCTTTGGATGAAAAGGACCTGAAAGAGAGGGGGGAAAAACCGTGATTGACTGTAAACCTATTTTAAACTCAGAAAAAAACTTCAAAAGACAAAGAAGACCACCTTGGGTAGCAATGGCAAGGTCAGATGGCAATTGTCTCAACTGCTTACCTATCAAATGCAATGACTGAGGAATGCACTGATGTTTGTTTAGTACTTTTTTGGAGACAAGATGATCTCTTAGCGTTGCAAGTGGATCCGCAACAGCCTTTTTGAAAGATATTACGAAGAAGAGATTGATGATGTAAGGTCCGTTTTTCATATAAGGATTCTTCGTTTTCCTAAAAAACGAGTGAAAACACAAGCAAACTTTAAACTGTTAGATATACTAAATTCAGAGAAATACGATTGTTGCCTTCCTGAACGTCTTGAAGGTCGCGAATAACATCTAAAACTCCCGCGTGATCATCAGAATAAACTCATACTTCTCTCTATTACTTACTTTCACGGATGGGTAGTCTTGTTGTTAAGTTGGTCATGATTATGAGGTACTGTTAAAATATTTCATACCTTACTGCAGTAAGTCGTGCAGATTTAAAGGCCGGGTGAACTCCTTTGTAAACTCCAACAATCTGAAAATGAGTCGGCATATAAGCAATGCACCATTTCTATTTAATAATCTCTCAGTTATGCATTTATTTTTTTATTTTCAGTTCATCCCCCTGTTTTGCCTCGCAAGTCAGTTCCATCCACAATCAATTCTGTTCGACCGTTACTATAGAATGGTAATTTAATGTTATCAACTGAGTTGATAACGTTAATTGGCCACCGTAAAGAGTTTTAGGGCTGGCGTTTCGAGCGTAATCCCCTCGAATCGTCAGAGGTCCGACGAAGGGCGAACGCTCGAAAAATCAGCCTTTAAACTCTTTAAGGTGGCCAATTTACGTCATCAACTCAGTTGATAGAGATTAATTACCCTGTTATACTCTCCCACCGATGCAGCGCCACAGTTTCTTTAGAAATTTACCCCTTTATTCGTTATAATAGAACTCTGCGGGCAAACGAAGATAAAATGAACTGTATTTTGTTATCAACTGCAGCTACCAGAGAGAGCTAGGTGACTCTATTTTGCGTTTTCAAGATATTAATTACCTGCCCTGTCCAGGTATTCGTTACAGCAATTCTTACGAGCACACAAACATATCATGTGATAATCAACTTTGGCTGTCAAAGCACTAGAAACTAATCAGCTGACCTCACGCCCGGTCAACAACCCAAGATTATTCAATCCATCGTATCACTTACCCCTTGTGAGATCTCTTTGCTAAGTTGGCGTAGGTAAGCCATCGCGTTACTTTTATCTGTTAGTTGTTCATACCAAACTTGACCCAACAGCAAAGATCCACACACGTCTTTGGCAAAACCTAATAGGAGCAACACGAATCAAACTGGTGTATCAACTGAAAACAAATTCAAAGTTTCTTCATCTTCAGATATTATGATCTTCTAATTGGTCCATCGGAAAGATAGGAGATACACTGAACAATGGTGTCACTATACCATGAAAGCCAATTGACGCTGAAAAAACTTAATATGTGGTTTTACCCGGGAACAACGTCATAGAGATGAGCAAAATTGTTACTTTAAAGAAAAATTAACATAAAAATCCGTAGGTGCTTACTTTGCTTTATTCAATTTCTTAATTAGATATACCTGTAGGGTAAGTAGGAGGTGGGGGCGTAGGTTTCGGTTTTTGTTGCGGTTTTGGTTGCGGCTGCGGCTGCGGCTGCGGCTGCGGTTGTGGTTGCGGTTGCGGTTGTGGTTGCGGTTGCGGTTGCGGTTGCGGTTGCGGTTGCGGTTGCGGTTGCGGTTGCGGTTGCGGTTGCGGTTGCGGTTGCGGTTGCGGTTGCGGTTGCGGTTGCGGTTGCGGTTGCGGTTGCGGTTGCGGTTGCGGTTGCGGTTGTGGTTGCGGTTGTGGTTGTGGCGGCGGGCATCCGTGCTGGTTGGGTCCCGCTGCTGCTGTTTGGTTGTCGGGACAACATCCATACAAAGTTACTTGACAGTATACATGATATACAGCTGGAGCTGGAGGCTGAGTGGCTGCCGTAGTGGGAGTAGACGATGCCGTAGAGGGTGGTGTTTGGGTTGTCTGAGGTGGTATGCTTGTACCATTCGCTGTAGGGAGTGACAAATCATAAAAGAGGCTATCAGTATGCATACCTTAGGAAGACAATGTGCCAGACGACATATCTACAGGCTTTTAAAAAAACCTAGATTACTTTCGGGAAATACTTTGCAGATTAGAGATAGAAAAGACAACTACGATCGCTCCCAACGAAACGTGGCCGTTTCCTTTGACTGTTAGGTTCGCGTAACAATAGCATTTGCTTGCCAGTTCCATATTATTCAGTTTTGAATTTTGTTTCTTTATTTTCTTTTTCAACGAACCTGGCTGTTGGCTCTTTATTTGTACACTTATATTATATCCAATAGAGATGCTAAATCAGCCCAAGTCGTTTAAAAAGCAAAAAACCAATAAAACAATGCAAGAAGGATAAACATAGCCAGTAGGTACCTCTGCAGTTTGGCGTTAACCCAGTGACCCTCGTTCCAGTAATCTCACTGCCAGTGTTTTGATTCACACACCAGCAGTCAGTCTTCCCACTGGCAGGATAGCTATAACACTGTACTTCTTTGAATAGACCCGATGGCTCGCATTCAGGGACAAATATATCTGCTGCTCCACTGTTTTTCGCATTTTGTTGATCCTTTTGGCATTGACTTAGCACCGGTGGTGATACAGGAGAGGCTAATGGTGTAAGGTGTTGGTCTTGCTGTGGTGGACAGCCCTCCATATCCGGTCCTTTGGCAAATGTTTCGTTATCATGGCAGCAGCCATAGGGACCTAGGTTACAGCTTGGTACGGTTGTGATGTTTGCATGAACTGTACCTGTAGGAAAGGGAAAGGAATACATTGGTGCTGGCTGAAGAATTACTCTAAGGGTTGCTTGACTCGTGACCATGATTATTTTAGATTCGTATATGATAAGCGTTCTGCATTCCCTAGGCTCAGTAATTTCGTGAGCCTCCTGTGTGAGCTCTGTCGTCCATGGAACAAAGGGACATCTAAAACATTTTTCATGAGCCTGAGGCAGAGAAAAATTGGCTCAGTTCCGCGCAAGGTTTTAGAAAAAGTTGTATGTAGGTCCAATAAAGGGAAGATTGTACTGTTGCTAAAGCCTTGCAAACAACTAATTAAACACTACAGACAAATAAGCAAAACACGAAAATAAAATATGCTATACACTGACCACATTCCAGGGTGGTGCCGTTTTCCGTTCTTGTTCCCTGAATTTCTTGACCTGATAAGTCTACACACCAACACTGTTTACCGTACACGTCGTGTTCGAAACACTGAAGTGGAACAAACTTTCCGTCCTCGTCACATACAGGTACAAAGATGTCCGTAATGAATGGCGAAAGAGATATTTCTCGTTCTTTCTGACACTGCGTTTTTGGTTTTTCTGCGGATGAATTTTAAGAGTAAAAGTAAGAAAAAAGAAAACAACGAGCAGAATGCCGAATAATCATCTATGTTTCATAAATACTAATGATGCCGGGCTTTAATAAGCCCGGCATCGAAAAGACGAAGATTGGCCAACCGGGTTCTAGGAAACTTTCTCTTAATTTCATGAAGAGCGGGTGTTAAGTTTCATCCTAAGGATGTACCTACGCATATTTATCTACCTTTTACCTGTGTCATTTTTAAACATCTGTATTTCAACCTCGTAAGTTTTCCCGCCTTGATCCGGTAGCTTTTCCGTTGTATTCATTTGTGTTTCCTCCTTAGTTGTCACTGGCTCGTCATGATGATTCTCTTTCTCCTTTTCATCCTTCTTCTCTTCTGCTGCGACAATCTTTGCACAGTCCGGTGTTTGTCCATCTGACATGCGGCTTCCTCTGATCTCCTGACCATCGCTGGTGACGCACCAACATTGTTTTGCAAACCCTTCGTGCTCAAAGCATTGCATATCGCCGTAACTGCCATCTTCTTTGCATTCAGGGACAAATGCATCGTCCATCGTTTTAGCCATTTGTCTTTCTAGTTGACACGATGACTCTGCAAAGTTCAAATCGGATAAGTATTCGGACAGATTATTGAAAGACTCTCATTGGAGAACAACGTGCCGATAATGCTCGACGGCTCTCGTGCTCTGGAACCACAGCCAAACAAAATGTAAAAGAAAACAGTTTTTTGTAGATATATGAGCTCGGGTAAGACCAGAGCCGTTGACAAAAAGCGAAGGCGTCCCACCTACAGGAAAGAGGTCAATCTCTACTAAATTGTACTTGGATCACCATCACTCCTGCGCACGGAGATCCCGAGTGCTCTAAGATATAACTAATCCTACGAAACCATTCTTTCCCGACGTCCCGTGCTTGTCAATTCGATTACAATCACATGCACAGTGCATGTTGATTTAATCCTATAAGGCCTGGAGCCTATAGATAAGTGCTACCTTTAGCTATCTCTAAAAGGAAGTTCTGCCCTAATTAAAGGTTACTTACTTGTTTCATTTTTCACCTCTGCAGGGGCTGGAGAAGGTGCTTGAGCAGGGGCTGGGTAAGAGGAGGGATAAGAATATGGTGCGTACGCCGGATAAGGATAAGGAGCGGGAGCAGGATATGGAGCATAAGCCGGTGCCGGATATGGTGATGGATAAGGCGCCGGGTAAGAGTAAGGTGCTGGATAAGGTGCTGGGCTCGGTGCATACGCTGGATACGGAGACTGCGCTGGAGAAGGTGTCTGAGCTGGCGCCAGCGCCTGCTCTGAGTATGTATATCCTGCTGACTGCTGATCTGAATATCGTGTGTCACTTGCCAACGGACTCGACGAATTATCTGTGCCATTGTAAGGAGATACATTATAGTCAGCTGTTGCGGCAGATGAGTTTGTCAGACTCAATGCATCCTGCTTCACAAAAGCATTCTCCTGTGTCGAATTATTAGCATCTGTGTAAGAAGACGCTGTATTTGGTGCCGCATATTCTGTTTGGTTTGAAGTTGAATTAGATGCGGAAACATCGTTGCTATTATACAAGGTTGCTGACGAATTATCTTGTTGCGCTGAGTAGTATGAATTGTAGGCAGGGCTGTTGGAGTTTGTATTGTTGTTAGCACTGTCCTGCGCTGCATTATAATTATTGTAATAGTAATTACTATCGGCGTTTGTTTTATAATAGTCCTCTTGACCATAAGCAGTTGCTAGTTGCTCTTGTCCATTTGATGTCCCGCTGGTGCCCGTAGTGTCGGAATTTGACCCGTAATGATAATCATTGCCGGGGTAATTGTAATAAGAGTTTGTGTCATATGAGGCTGATCTTTGAGTCCTCATGCTTGAATCTTTTTCCGGATGCGGGATGTAGGAATACTCAGATGGATTCACGTCTAAAGTGACTGTTCGATCCTCTACAAGTTCAAAATAAGATAGCTAAATATATTATAAGATATATATAAATATAAATAAATATATTATGAGATTCTTGTGATACATTAACCGGTCTAAAATTTAAATCTGAAAACTTTTCGCGACAAGTATTTGCTGAAATAACCCAGAAGAAAAATTGTTACCTTCCAGTCACTCCATTTAAATTAACGTCAGCCAAACCTCTTTTTTAAACTTAATATCAGTCGATTAACAAGATCTTATTATGAGAAAAAATACCTTAGCTGTTTACCTCTGCGCAGTCGATGACACAATCTAACTTTTACACTAATAAGCTAAATTATACACGCGTTTTGATCAGCTCTTACTTTGTTTTATTAGAGGACAGACGCGCAAATGACGTGACCATAAATAACATAGATGCTGCACATTCTCCCACATTACCATCATACGTACTACGTTTTGACGTCATCTGTGACGTGTTACTGAACATACGAAAACTTGGAATCTATCTGTTGTAAATATTTCCGTCTTACCTGGCTTACGATTGTACTCTTTAACGTTGTCAAACAAAACTACTTCATCTCGTTTGACTTGTTTATGAGATGAACCCTGTCCCTCTCTTGAAACTGGGTTGTGCCCTAGAACATAAAGGAAAATTAACCGAATGGCGTTCTATGTTTCCTTGCTACTTGGCATCTTCATAATTTGCATGAAAGCGGGCTGCAAAGGGGATAATTAGTTTCCCAAACTTCGATTCTTCTGCGCCACCCGCTGCCGTTGTACCAAAGAAAACGCCTGATCATAGGTATACTTTTAACCTGATTGGTAATTATTACACTGATAAATAAAAAGAGAACAAGCCTCGCTTTCAGTGTGGTTTATGCCTACCTGTTTCGTAAACGGAATTAGCCCAGTGGCCACCGCAAAAGGAATCCCTCTTGCTGTTACATTTGCTAGAACAGAGGGCATCTGGAAGCTCTCCATACCTTCCATAACTGTTTCCACAAAAACAAAGATATGAAAATTGTAATCCAGCGTATTTAAATTGTAATTCTTTGCACTTTTCTATGCAAGTGTTAGCGTCTAGTTCTCGTGCGTGAACTCTTTGAGGGAGATCCCGCGGATCGCCATCTTTGTAACATCCTAGGTGGTGTAATTCTGAAAGAAGAGAAAGAAAAGCGTTTTCATCCATCAAATAATTTATTTAGCATTTGATTGGTTTAAAAGCGTCATAGGATTGGATGTATCTTTTGTAGAGCTGCAAGTAAGGGAGTAATCATTATTCATCGCCTGTGTTGAAGTAGTGGAGGATCTTCCTGGGCATCACATGGTTTTCAAGTTGAACAGAGGGAGATCAGTCGTCGCTAACAGAGTCTAAAGAAAGAGCTATGGAAAATCGACCGTTCTAATCAACCGTTCTCTGAAAAAGTTGGACTTGATCAACACTATAGCTTTCACTTGGCGTGTAAATATGCTTTATCGCCAGTGTCTTTTGACAGTACCTGTGCCTCGAGGCTTATAGTTTTCCTCAAGCGCTGCGGGCTCTCTCTGTCTCTAAGTGCGTTAAAATTTTCCACGCCAAACCGAGGTTATTGTTCATGTAATTATTGTTCATGATATTCTCATTGCACCACATACCTTTTGTTACAGCCCTCCACGGAAGCACTGTTAATAAAAACAGCACCAAAACCGGGCTCATTATCCTTCACTTGGTCCTCTTTCCTCCTTCAGTGGCAATTATTTTCTCTGTTGAGAGTAAATGGTCAGATCAGTTTTGCCAGCCAAGCTAGGGTGCAATTTTGAAAAAAACGGAAAAATCTTCGGTGACATATTATTTAAGTTCAATTGCATAACTTTTGGCTGATGTTTAAGACTTTGAAATGGAATAACAAGGCGGCTGAGAGTGATTAATTAAATAAATTCTTTAATTTCAAATTTCAAAATGGAGTTTTAAGATTTTCTTGCTTTACCAAGAGGAGAAGCAGCCTCCCCTACTTTGTTTCGATCAAACACGCGTGGCTCCTTCTTGACTTTTAAAAAGGGTCTAAAATACAAATGAAATTTTAAAATGGAACTTCAAAATTTTTACAGATGGGAGAAGAGGGCTGAATTCCAGACGACGTTCCACATATCGAGACATCGCCACAAGGAGCACATTGATGTTTGAATGGTGTCAAATGAAGCGCTTCAAACAAGCCAGCGAAACGCAGTCGGCCGTGGAATTAACATATCTTAATGTCCAGTCCAACATGCTCTCCGAAAAAATACACCTCGTACAACTGCGACGACACTGTTTTAGTTAAGCTTGATTTCATTCAGCTTAATTTGAATAAAATTATTCACTACATTCTCGTAATTTCAGAATCAGAAGAATGAATTCCAATCCAACTATGTTTTTCATCATGCAACACCTTCTAGATCAATCGATGAAGGTGGTGTAAAACACAGACAAAAAAATTTTCTAGCTCACAGATCAAGTAGCTTATGTCCTTGATTACTGCAATTAAGCTGTCGTTACACACGGGTGGCGATTGAAGCGTCAATCGCTTCTGCCCCAGTGGACTTAACTACGAGGCTGACAAGTCTTTTTACAAAACTTGCAGGTCTCTCCCTAGTTTGAATACCTTTGCAATAGAAATGGTAACTGAGCTGGACTCTCCATTTTTGTAGCCACTGTTGCAAACATATTCTTCAGCTAATTTATCTAAGAGACTTTATAACAAAGACCTTGAGGCGGTTCGTTCCGTCGCATTTTTTGCAACACCACTGTCTACGATTCCTTGTGGTCAAATACAAATCACATACCAACCTTACAAAAATCTCCTCCCCAAGATGACAACCTCAGAATTAGAGTGTCAAAGCTTTTCCTATGACATTCTAGCAATTTCAACAGCTTAGCAGTATCAAGACTTCGATTTGTACGCCGCCATACAATAACTGACTCCCAACTCTTTACGAATTAATGACATGCAAAAGAACACTAGCAAGTGGTTGTGCTATCCTGGTGCTACCTGTTTTAAAATAAAAGCCTTCCGTCTCTTCTAAGGATCGAAAAAAAAAACTGATATTGATTTAAATGTCGCCTATGTCACTGGAGGTGTAAGAATAAAAGAAACGCATAATTTTGGGCAGTACAGTACTTTTCAAGTTCGTAAACGTCGCGAGAGACCTTCAAAGGACTAACATAGTAAATACTGCTACGTACGTGGTTCTGCTCTTAAATTGTCCTTAGTTGCTGATACCACTAAAAAGCTCGATTCCCCACTTGAACGAAGTATTTTCCATATTCCAATAAACGTAATTCAATGAGCATAGTTTTGGGTTAGTAAGAATTCACCAATTGAAATAAAACTTATCACAAATTAGAAATGTCATAATTTTGAAACTCATAACTTAAAATTTCAGCGAGTAATGAGCGTTAGAATCTTCTCAGCTTCAAATCCACGAGAAAAGAGAATGAAGCTGTATTTGAAAAAGGCGTATTTGAGATGATTCAAAAACGAAAATTTGTCTAAATTTATTTAGAAGTTGTTTAGTGGAGGAATCTCAGTACGATCTTATACAAAATGGCGGACCGTACTGCAGGTGGTTTGACAACCAGAAAAGCGGCTCAATCCAACTGATTTGAACTTAGCTGTTGTATTCGAATTCCAAATACTTTGATTTTTCGTTTACCGCAATGATCTATTTCAGCATTTGACAATCATACAAGTTTTATCCCAATGGGCTGAAAACCGTATTTCTTTTAGGGAACTGGTTATTTATAATTTTTCGTAATATTTTTAGTCAGGAAATTGTTGACAAACGTCAGCTTCATTTACAAGTTTAAAGTTTAGATCTTTGAGATCTCTCAGAAACACATATCATGATCAGTTTTGATTGTAGGTAGTTAAATTAAGTTATAAGATTTAAGACTGAACGCGGAGTTACAGACGTTTAAACATTTTTTCGAACTCCGATCAATTTTTGGATCTGACTTATCAAACTAGAGTACACATTCATAAACACTGGAATTTGCCTTACCTCTCAGTTCCTAAAGCACAAGTTTCGACCCAATAAAATCCAAATTTTTAGAACGCTTTTCTTGTTATTTTTGCTCGAATCACGTCATTTGAGAGCAGCTATATATTTCTCCAGATTGTTGGTGGAAGAGAACTTCACGTCCCTCAAAATTATTTTTCTCGTAACAAAAGAAATTCAATATTAATGATCTCTCGGAAGAACGAACTGGCCTTTTTTACGCAGGACTGTGATTAAACATTGATTTGCCTGACCAGGGAGGACTTAACGACCATGTGAAACTACCTGCTGACCAAATTTATAAAGAAGGAAACAAAAACAATTATGAGAGAACAAGTGATCTTTTCTATTCATTGCATGGCATATTATGTTTTTCAGTTGTATACCAAAGTCAGATTGACTGCAGTGATCTTTGTATGCACTCTTGTAACTCTCAGCCCTAACAGATTATATTAATATCATAAAAATGAAAAGGAGCTCCAAATATATTTGGTATTTTTTCAGGTTAATTTTCTTTACAATTTTCCGTTTCAGAAATATTACTCTAAACAAAGTGCTCAACCGTAAAATCTGACAATGGCGGAAAAACATCGACGTTGAATTTCAGAAATAAAATACCATTGCTCTCTTGTCTCCACCAAGATGACATTTTGTATTTAGTTGTCAAAATCCACTCAAATAGGCAAAAATAATCATATCTTACGCGGAAGACATATTTCACTAGATGTAACGGTTGAATAAATATGTTTGAAGGTTGATTTGAGGTTAACACTTTAATTGTTTCTCATGTCAGGAATACATAGGAGTTGGTTTCACTTAGGTTGTAAGGTACACCAACCGTTAAATCATACCCTAAAAAATAAACATTTGAAATGACAGTTTCTTTTTAAATCGTTAACATGTCTCTAACTTGACTCTTGCTAATCGACTGTCTTTTTTTTTTTCGTTTTTATTACACTGGCTGAAATTAATGATTCAGGAATATATTTTAAGTTAATAGTGTAGAATTTGTTAGGTTAGCGTTGTTTCTTCATATAGGCTTGTAGTTTTGAGTTTTTTCTTTCTAGAAATGATTCCTATAATCAGGAGATAATAATTTCTTGGGACAGTCAAACTAAAAATCTTTCCAAGGGTGACGACGAATATCATGTCTGGTAACTATTTTCTTGAAATTGAGGTATTCTCTCAAAACTAGATGAATAGGGACGCGAAAAATATATCAAATTTCAATTGATGTAGTAAATATTTCAGAAGCAAGCTTATTCCTCTTGTGATAATTTAGAGAAGGACAAAATGTTCCCTTACGTTCAAGAGTTAATCACTGACAATGAGATGAATTGACATTACATCTCGTGGATAACACAATAGATTGAAACTGGTAGTTTTACTGTTAAAGAGAAGAGTACTTGTTTGGTGCCCTGAGAATGAACTCAGTTGGAAAATATTATCTAACTTAAACACATACATCCGTTTTCCCCTGAATTATAAAGCTTAATTTCAAACGCTATCATTTATAACACTGCAGAAAAAAGGTCACATTGCCGGTCGAAAGATTTGATAGGAGCACTTTGCCTCTTGAGACAAAGGTACAGGTTAAGGGGCTGGTACAGCTGCCGATGCTCCTTCTGGAAGGTGAGCCTTCTGCTGGCAGCAATCGAAATTTCAGGCAATTACAGTTTTTTTTCTCGACAAAAAAAAGCAATAAAATAATATTAACGGTAATAGTAATAATAATAGTAATAGTAAAAATTTAAATTTGAGGAGAAATACGCTTTTGAATTCATACAGTTGTTATCCTTCTCATTTAAGATTTTTTAACATCCTACAGTATAGCTATAGGCTTGAAAAAGCTTCGCTTTTTTAGCGTGGACAGGTTTATAGGGAGACTTAAAAGACAGTCGTTTGTATCATCTGTTTGGGCGTGACTGTCAACGATAGCTGAAGACATCTTAAAATATGCGTTTTCTGTGGAAGACTGAGACCAAAACAAAAAACTTTGTGTGGACGAAAATAGATTGCTTTGTTTTAAAGGTACTCTGTTGTAGGCTTTCAGTTATTAAACGGGAAAAAGAGAAAAAGGACGATCGGGCGACTTTCTTCATTACACAGTTTTAATGATTTGCAAAGGAAAAAAGCACTACCAGTGTTATTCAACATCTAAAACATTCAAGGAAGTCAAGCCAAGAAAACAAACAGAACAGCGAGATATGTCCTGGGATGCCAGAGTTCCGTTCTCTCTTTCAGTCAGTGGTTGGTACTTTTAGCCTTCTTGTGTTCCTGTAAATTAGGATGAAAACCCATATAATAATCATATATCATCGTTAAGACTGCAGGGAGATCTCCCATTTTTTCATATTTTATTCTTTATATTAAAAGGGCCAGAACTAGTTTCGCCGCTGCTTTCGTTCTTTTGCATGTAGTTCATAAAATTAAGCACAATTTTTCAATTGAGGGTTACATTCAATCAAGACAAAAAAAAGAGACCTTATTTTCTCGGGTTAAAATTTCCTCATTACGGTTCTGAGTTTATCTTGCCCTGCGCAATATTGTTTTCTCGTTTCCTCGAATCAATGATTATTTCCAAAATCAAGCTTGTGTGTAGAACAATTTCAAGAAAGCAAAAGATGAAAAAGGGGAAATGTGAAATGATAGCAAAGCTGCGGAGCTAATCCAAACATTTACTTTCACGTTCTGTTTTTATGAATTGTTTCTTGAACAACCCTACCCGCTTGAAATTCTTCATCGTCATGTTTGTCATGCTCACCTTCGTGTGGTTGGTAGCATTTACATGCGGTTTGAGATCAGCTAAGGCTTTTGTTAGCAGTGGAGTTATCTTGACACCAGCCGGTGGATCATAACCTAAAGTCAAATTAAACAGAAGTTGTAGACGTATTGGAATGAGAATTATTCGACGATGTTCATTGAGTCCGCGATAATTGTCTTGGTATAGTAACTCAGGCAATCATCAGAGCAGTTGCAATTTCGGTGGAGAATGCAAATTCTGATGCTTTAGTGACATAACCCCCTTACGCGGAGTGATTATAGCAAGATGCGACGATTGACTCGAGAGCCAATTTTGTTATAACCTTTCAAAGAAATTATCCGCGAGCTCTGATATCAACTACACCTGTTTTGTAAATGGAGTTACTCCAGTATCCTCCACAATGCTTGTCTTCTTTATTGGTACATTCACTCGAACACTTCCACTCCGGCAGCAGACCGTACCGCCCTCGCTTGTTACCACAGAAGCAGAGATATGAAAACTGAAGGCCAGCGAATCTATAAAACAGGTCCTTGCAGCTCTTGGCGCACGATTTTACTGTCACTTCACGGCCGTGAACTCTTTGTGGGAGATCTCTGGGGTCCGAATCTTTATAGCAACCTACGTATTCATAACCTAAGACAATTGAGTGGAATGCATTCAGTAAGAGACGACAAAATTTTTAAGTCAAGTTTAATGTTTGTTTTTAAGGAGTCCAGGGTATCAATTTATCAGTCTCTTGGTTACTGGAGGTGAGCGAATGAGCAAGCGAGAGAAATTGGCAAGGTTTTTTTTTAAACAACTGTGACAAGGGTCCTTTCTTCGATGTATTTAGTCTCCCTCGTTTTCTATCACACTTTTCTCGCAAGCTACCCCCCTCCGCCCTTCTATTTTGCTGATTTCAGTGTTAAAATGTTCGATGTAGTAACATAATTTTCGGCTTCAGTTCAGTACACACTTAATTAATGCGTTGTACGGACTTAAAGCTGGTATTTTGGGTTCAGTCCGGAGATAAGGAACGAATCTGCAGATCTAATTCTACCCACCTTCAGAGCACTTTCATCGTCACGTTTTTTTACTGAAAAATCAAGCGGAGGCGCGACACACGCACTTCAATATCATTGACATTTGTCAACGCTTTGTTTAAAAGATCTCATATGCAGTCAAGCGTTAATTTCGCCTCACTAGAGAAGATGAATAATATGTTAACATGTCAACTGACTGAGTAGGCAAGGCTGTAACCCTTGCAACAAATCATCGACAAAATGGTGCTAAGACGCAAACAACTTTTTTTTTCTTACATCGGAGTTTGGGGCTTGCTAATTGCTAAGGCAGAGCAACAATAGGCAACAATTTCATTATAACGTACACCAAATACCTCCACAGGTGACATACGACACGGACAACACCAATGAAATAAAGTCAGTGCATCGCATGGCTCCTTCTCGTATCCACTATCTTTCAGTCTTCAATTTTCTAGAGCTGATGGAAAAATGTCAAAATGTCACAATAAATTCACGAATTAATGGGTGTCACTTGAACAAGTGGTTTCATTCATTCGAGCATGTGACCGGATCAAGTTTTGACGTGATCTGGAATTTTACAATCCGTTGCCTGTATTGCTTGAAAGATTTAATTTCACCTCAGTTTATGACTTTATATCTAAGTAAGCCTCCAAGGTTCGTTTCGGTATCAAATAACAAAGTAGCGTTACTTTACCTAGAAAAACCTTTGAACTCTCAGCCATCCGTGACTGAATTATCTTCGATCAATCACCATTATAAACGAACTTTCATCATTTCATGGAAATAACTAAAGAATATGAAGCCACGAGCAACATATCAGATTCTAATGTACAAATTGAATAGATGACTGTTCTTCGATTACAAAAAAAATCATGAGATATCGTTTATGAGATTATTTGATTCTTACCTTTCATTGACTTACACCGTCTACGCCTGTTATAACTGTGCTATCTATTGCTACTTCTTACTGCCTTGAAAATAGGACTGGTGGAATCCTCGTGGTACCCAGTTGAAGAAAAAAAAAGGAGTTTTTTCGCTGGAGTTTAGATGACAAAGAGAGAGAGAAGCCTATAAAATATTGAATAGCACGATGAAACTAGAAATGGAAGACAACCTGTCTACATCAACATACTGGTGCTATTTCCAGGGGAGGGGTGGGTAGTGCGAGTGACTTAAGCATTATGAAACAGTGATCCATGTTTGATGTGATCAAGAGAATAACATGAATGCATACACAAAAATGCCTCTGTATTTCTCTTTATTACAGGTGTTTTTGTTTATTAATAATTCGATAAATATCCGATAGTATTTGTAAACTACATGTTTATACATATCTTCAGTACATTCCGACGGCAACTATTTCTCACTCCTTGGGAAACAAAAAGCAAATATTTCACAATTATTTTTTCTTTTATAAAAGTTACTACTGTTTGCAAATTTCACTTTTTAGACATCTCTACACTTGATTGATAGTCATGATTCATTTAAGCTATTTTTGGAAATATTTCAAGGTAAGCCCTTGTACCCCACATTGTACTTAACTTGATTGTAAGAGTGGTACTTTCTGGAATTATTTCAAACATAGCTAATACGCATGCTAAATAATGGTGCCTGCTGGATTACAGTTTATCAATCACTGTTCGGTGAATAATTTAAGTCTTAATAATGAAATAGAATAGCGAATTGCTTTTGGACACATAGACTGTCAGCCCTTAGCATCATGCCGGCAGCTCGGTAGATATCTTGCTTTGCATGTAGACAGCAAAAGACTTCTGCAAATGCTGATATTTCTTCTTGAACGCCTCTTTCTCTTTCCAGACATTTCTTAGCTGGCTTCTCTCACTCTCCAGTTGCTCTTTCAATGAGAAGTTCTCGTTTAGCAGATCTTCGTATTTTTGCTGTTTACGAATGCGACAATTCAAAGCATAGTTTCGATTCTTCAAGTTGCGTCTTCGCTTCTTTATTTTTGCTGCCTCGTCCCGCGGGAGGTCCCGAAGAAGCTTGTTGAGATCTTGCACGCGGAGATTTTGAATTTGTTCGTCGCTTATCGTCGAAGGATCCAAGCTCTCAGTTTCAGATTCAGAAGATGAGTAATTTTCTTCATTTCTTGTTTCACCGTCGAAAAGATCTTGGATGTCGCGATCTGTGTTGGAGGTAGAATTGTTTTCCTCAAATAGAAGACTCTCTTCCGTCCACAGGTTTTCAAAAACGTGTTTCATGGCATCGGTGGAGTACACACCGAACAGGGCATCAAAATCTTCCTCCATCATATAACAAATGCAGCGTCGATGAACAATTTCTCCCTTTTCAGAAGCGAATCACAATGACTAAGTGAAAGTCTCTGAGGGTTTTCCCCCCAATGTCGCAGCTGAATAGCTTATTAAGTTTCTGAAACAGGAAAACTTTCGTTTTCATTTCGGGGGGAATTCCCTCGCGCGGTCCTGTTCTAAGAATTTTCTTGAAGCTTTCTGAGTATATACACAGCAACGAGGTGATGGAAAAATTACATCTGTCTCGCAAACTATCTACAAGTCGTGTCTTCCATGAGGGTTAACGAGACTCTTGTAACCAACCAAGTTTCTTTTCTTTTCTTTTTCATTTGGGAAATTAATCAGATTTAATGGCTATCCTTCCTTTTTCTTCTTCTTCTTCTGCTGCTCTCTCGAAATGAACCTATTCATGGATAATGAAATTCTATTTGTTGACGCAAAGAGCCGCATAAACGTATGCAGAGGCGGAGATGAACTGAACTTAGTAGGCATGGAAATCGCAAAACAAAACAAAACATTGCGAGCAATCAAACAAATAATCACACAAAAGGAGTATATTTCGTTTTACACAATTTGCTACATGAATGTGACACTGTTGTGCGGTTTATTCATACTCTTGGTTCCTCGAGGTCTTCATGTGGTACTGAGAGATGTTCACAACGTATCCATTTTTGTTGTAAAGTCGAACCAGCACTCATGTGTTTGTGGATATGTTATGAAAGCCTATTTTAAGAAGTCTTGTGATCTTTGGTTTTTTCCCCTCTCGTTGATTTTTTATAGCTGGGTCTACTTAAAATTTTCTTTGCCAGCATTAAAACTTTCTCCTAAAGGATTTGATATCTTGACGTCCATTTCGACCACTGTCGGAAAAACATTTCAATTTAAGCGACTATCGACCGAAGAAGTCAAATTTTCTTTTTATTCAATGAATCGAAATTCATGTGCGTCTCAAGTTCTCATGTTTAACACTTTCTAGTCTCTTAAACCCAAACGAAATTGAATATCTCTTGTAGAGGGGACGTCCCTGTTATCGTTAAGAGTTAACGAGCTTTAGAGAATCGTAATTATGCTTGAAAAGTTTCCCTATGAACGAATAGTTCTAAATTGATAAAAACGATTTGAGAGACACGATGGTTCCATGATCAACTCGCTGGGTTCTAGTTGTGAGTTGTTTCAATTTTATTGTTGTGTTCTTGGCGAAGACACTTTACTCTCACAATGCTTCTCTTCATGTACTAAATGGGTGCTGAAGACCTATCAGCCGCGACAAAACCGGATGAAAATCTGCGGTGTAACTTACAATTGATTAGCAGTTCATCTCGGTAAAGTCACAATATTTCTAGGTTGCACTTGGTTTGATTGAAGAAAAGTCACTAGCCTAGGCGTATAAAGAGTAGCAGTATCATATTGTTACCAAAGAAAACGTTTGCTTAAGTCAGTAACTTTTGTTGAGACATCACAAACTGTTCATGCTGCTGGCTTGCCTGAAATTAGTCAGTTCAAAGACATTTCCCTTTGATAAATCATGCATATTGAAGTTGTGCAGTATCAATAAACGTAAACTCAAGGAAAACTTTAAAAATCTTTTGTCTAATGCTTTGACCCAAAGTAAGCAGGGTGAGTTAAGCTGAAATCAAAGCCGTTGTGTTGAAGACATCAATTGTATACAAAATTTACTTGAAAAACTGTTTTTATTAAAGCTATTAACACCGGGTTTGTACATAATTTGTTAACAACATGCAACATCAAATTGAAGTAGAGTATAGTTTCTTCAAATTACATGAATACCTCTAAATTCATTTGGTTCAAAAATTTATTCCTTCCTGTTTACTTAAAAATATCGCCTACGGACACAATCATATAATACACAAAATGACTTTTTTTCAGTCAGCAACAGTATTAAATGATCTTTCAGTGAGACATTTTCTCTAACTGACGAATCAATCTTTACCGACTTTATAACGAAATTTCCACAGCAATTTTCGGATTTTATAACAGATATCATTGTTAGTAGTAGGTAGGTAGAACTTTTCCCCTTCTGAACAACAAACAATATGTATACGCAATTGTTCGAATTACATTAGACTTTTCGCGTTATAAAGAGGTCTAAAAATAAATATTCAAATGGAATAAGCTTGTTATCAAGTGAATTGAAGTAAAGTTAATTTTATCACTGACTGAAATACAAAGCCATTCAAAAAGCAACTATAATGTCTAAACACGAGAGTTGTGTCTGAGTCTCTAAAGCTATAGTTTACGGAATTTCCAATTGAAATAACCAGGCGTTATAAGCCTCAGTATTCTAACAATACGCTAGGATATGAGAAATATGACTGATGATGAAATTCTTTCGGAATATTACTCAAAATAGCTCGTGTAATTGGTATACATTTGGAGCACACTAACCTTAATTCGACTTCACATGATAAAATTTTGAAGGAAAGTTCCAGTAACACGTATTATTATTGTTTCTGTGGCTGTGAGACCGGTGATCGAATCTACTCAAATTAATATGTCGGTCCAATACTGAATGCCATTGCATGAAAGTTACCATTTTCTTGCAACATTAGGTCTATTAAAGGTGACATACGCCTTATGCAGTTCTGAAAATTTTCTTTTGTAAGAGTCTCTTTCTTTTACCGCTCTGGAAAGGACTTCATTTGCCGCCCGTAGCTGATCTTGCAATCGCTGATTTTCTGTCAGCAAGCTCTCTTTAACCGCTGCACGCCTTCGCCGGCAGTTGGTCGCGTAATCGCGGTTTCTCAAGCTTCTCCTGCGTTTTCTGATTTGCAATACCTCAGCTTGGGGAAGGTTCTTCATGCGTTTGTTAAGTTCGCGTATAGGGAGTGTTGCGATTTCCAAGTCGGTGATCTGCTCACTAGGCGTAGAGCTGGTTGTGTTACAATCTGGGCGCTCAGAATATAGGTGCATCTGCGTTAGAGAGCTTTCTTCCTCGGCGACGAGCGGCTCAAAGCTGAACCAATAAGAACTGGGTTCATCTTCAGCCAACCCGGCATCAAAAATGTCCTCCATTTTGGGAAAATCGGCATAAAGTTCTTCATCGGTCATGTTTTGTCCGCTGTCAGTCTATTACCGAACGTACCGAGAGCACATGGCCGTGGATACGAAAGTTGCAATGCTGCGATATTGCCTCACGTGACTTTCTCCGGCTGTCAGTCAAGTTTTGAAATAATGACAGAAATGATTTGAAGCTCTGCCCAATAAAGATGACGTAGGGGGAATCCCGTAATATCTTTCGCTTTTGAAAACATGAAAAATTAAAGAGTCTCGGAGCGAGAGCGTTCCAAGGACAACAGAAATTGACAACAAAAATCAAATGATATATAATAGAAGAGCGATGAAAATTATTATTTGGCAAGTTTTAACTTCCTTTTTCAGTCAAGGCTCCGTCACAATTCTGCCATAGTCCACCATAGAGAACTCTCTTGATGTGTTCAAAGTAGAAACAGCACCTATCAATCGTTCGTATTTCTGTCGATATTTGTCCCTTTCCTGGGTAACTTTTCTCAATTCCATATTTGCTTGGAGAATTTCTCGCTCAAGGGCTGCATTTTCATGTGCGATGTAGCTCTGTCGCTCTATTCCTTTCTGTCGGCACTTTAGAGCATATTTACGATTCTTGAGAATTCGTCTCCTTTTTCTGAATTTCCGAATCAGCCCTTCAGGCAGCCGACGAAGTTTCTTGTTCAACTCTTGAATCGACGTCCTTTCGAGGTATTCGTCGTCGAAAAGCTTCTTATTTACTTTGAGCAAAAGAGAGCGATTGTGATTTAATTGTTGGTGAAGATTACCCGGCGATTCTGTAAGGCGTCCTTGACTCACGATAGTTTCTGGCGTGATCTGCAGGAGTCCTTCAACCATACGTGTATAACAAACACCATCAGAAAGCGCTCGTCGACCCTGCGTGTTATTCGAAGTAAATTCGCGCTCTCCAAATGAATCAAGGTAAGACTCCTTCTTCTCCATGACAAATTTGCGATCGACAGACTATATGCTATTCAGTATAAAAGCAATGCAACAGAGGGCAAAGGTTTGGTTTCATTAAAGACGCCCAGAGCGGGAAAGTACCTCTCAAACACAAACGATATTAGGGAAATCCCATGCTTTCATCCAAGTTAATCAGTTTGGCCAATGATAGCGTCTGTTTTCGGTTTTGTTTCAGTCGGTAGATGTATTTATTTTTTACAAAGAGAGATCGAAATGAATGCAGCACGAACGCATCTGAGAGCCTTTTTTCCTAATATATTTTATGATTCTTTGGTGATGCAATACACTTCATGCTACCTAATAATAAAGCTCGATAGAGTTTATCATCTATGATCGTATTTGGCGCTGATGAAGGGCTAAACCCTCACGAAAGAGAAGCTTCGATTGACTTGTGTTCACCCGGCTTGCACTAGTAACTAAATGTTGCGTTTTTCAATATATTATTTTTCTTTTCCCATCTCCGTTTTAATAACTCTCTGCTTGTCCCAGAATCGAAACTAATTTCGATCTATTAATGACCTCTACTTGTGGAAACAACAGCAGGGAGTTTCCCTTGCTGAATGTTTTCGTTCTTTGCGCATGTATATTAGATTAGCTGAGCATTAAACATGCTTCCAATATTCGCTTAACGAGCCGATTTTGATCCCCAGAAGTCAACTTTTAATACAGTGATTTATCTTGTTTCTTCCTGGCCGATCTGATACCAATATACTGACCAAAGACGTCACGTCGTAATGTAAAATACTCATAGCTGTAATAGCGATTGTAAACTTATATATCATTCAAGAGTTTTATGTCTATTTTTTGCTGCCTGAGTAACGGAGATTTGTATTTTTCAGCTAAGATCCTGTTCTTTCCTTCATAACGAGACAGTATGCAACTTCTGCATTATTTTTGGATTATAGTAAGATGAAAACACAAGACAGCAGATAAATATTTACCCCTAAATAAATCGATCTTTTCTTCGCCCGACATGTTTTTAATATAAAGTGATGAACATTGAAAGGAGAAAGTAGTAATTACTTTCTCTCCTTCCCCGGTCCCTCTCTCCATGTTTTAAAATATATTTAAATAAAATTGAAAAATAAGAATTCACAGCAGTGACGTTCGAATTGTTATAGCAACATCAGTGCGTGTCGCAATTCAGATCATGTTGACCCCCAAAGGTTAAGGGAAATTTCCCTACTCAAGGCAATTGAAATGAAATTCTCGATAGAGCGAAAATGGCGGCTAAGATTTGGCAATATAATATGGTTTTGAACTAAATGACCAAAAGCACAATGTTTATAGGCCAAATCGCCAAAATAGAAATAAATATTACGGGCAATGGAATCAGGGAAATTTACTTTCAGTTTCGAAAGTGAAAATTTGCATCTGACATTAAGTCGGCGGCTTTGTTTCATTTCCGAAGGGGTTTTTCCCTTTTTGGAATGCGTGACACTTAAAAGTCTCTGATGAACCGCCCTCTGGGATCTTTGATGTGAAAATTAATTTTCTCCTTTTCCTAAAAGATTTTCCACGCGAAGAAATCAACTTCTTTATACTTCACATGTTACAGTTTACCGATTTCACAATTTCGATAGGATGAATTCGCTGCATATTTTTCATACCTGCTTATCATTGTTTTGACCTTCGGAGGGCAAGGGACTTTCCCTTCGCTTTTAAGGTGGAACCTGTACAATAAACAAATAGCTGTGGCCAAAGAAATACGAAACACGCATTCGACGTTTTCTGAAACATTAGAAATGTTCTTCGAGAAAGAAATGCTTAATTGCCCACGAAAATTTTATTCAGGTTGAAAACCGAACGAAAACCAAAGAATTGTAAAAATATTACATATGACGTAATGATATGTTTTTTTAGATCTGAAAAAAAATCGCAAAAGTTTTGTTTTTTTCGGTAAGGGGAATGTTTTTCGGACGTTCTCAGGGGACAAGAAACAATTTTTTAAGGTTCCAAGATCTATTTTACCTTGCAAAAGCTGATACGTGCTTGGACATTTCAGCTGAGAAGCTAAGAAACTGTTAGGGGATTCCCCGTTTTCATGATTGACAGGCAGGTGACATGTAGCCAAATCATGCAATATGATTGGACGAAAATCAAGCAACCCCGTATGGAGCTGAGTTTTGATGAGAAATCGTACCATCTTGTGTCTCATTCTTGGTTAGATTCCCATTTTGTTAACATGGACTACAGCGAGTATTTCCCAGAAATGTCCCCGATGGATGAAATTTTGGAGAGGGATTTCTCGAGCGATGTTTGCGGTCCAGATTGGTCACACAACCATAGACTGGGAGATCTGGTTGGCGAAGATAACTTCGAGAATATTTTGTTGCAAACAAGACTTGATTTGGACAACTTCGAGACCGAGTCAATCGCCAGTAGCGAGCCTCAGAGCCCACTGAATTTGCAAGTTGGCAAAAACCAACTCTTCACCGACGACGAATTGATTAGTATCTCTATAAGACTTCTAAACCAACAGTTGAAGACTTTGCCAAAAGCGGAGGCGAAGCAAATTAGAAAACGGAGGAGAAGCCTGAAGAATCGTGGCTATGCTACAATCTGTCGACAAAGGCGCACGGCACTGAAAGAAAGCCTCGAACAGCAAAACAAGCGATTGAAATTGGAGTTGAAAGAAGCGAAGGAAAACCTTTACAATACTTTGAGAGACAGAGATATGTTTAAGAAGAAATATGAACAACTCCACGCATTGCTTTCGAGCCGTAAGCGGCACTTGTCTTCGTGATTATCGGTAATAATGGCTTTGAGGCCACATTCATGAACACATTTCCATTCCATGTACTTATATTGTGGATGACATGATCACGAAAGTAACTTAGCTGACTGTAATTAGAATTTCGCAAAGTCCAAGAACCCACGCTCAAGGATTTACGCAGCGAACGTTATTTATGTTAGTGAAATTGAACTTTACTAGACCCTTCGTCGCGCAACGAGTCTCGCTTAAAGTATATCGAGACAAAGGTAGAGCTGTTTCTCAGAAGTGTTTAATATAATTGAATGATCTTCATCTTTTACGAAACCTTGCTTTCCATTTATTCTCTCGGTCATAAACCGCTGAATATAATATATTTTGAATATTTGTCAGTTTAGAGTTGTTGTGGCGTTCACAAAGCTCAGTAGCATATTGAGTAATGTATTATGGTAAAGAAATTGTAAAGTCTTTGGATACTGTTGATGAATAAGTAGCCAGTCAGATTGATTTAGATGTATGAATTGTGTACATTGACCATATTTTGGAACCCTGACATGCTACAGTTGTCCAGTTGTTGATAAATTCAATTCAGTTAAATGTTATCAAATTCCACGGAAATTTTGTCGTGTTGCTACCAATAATAGCTATTTAAATCTGTGGTGGTCTATTTTAACTTTACGAAAGAAATTGTAATTAATGATTCCGCCAAAAGATGAGAAATACATGTACTTGATAAGTGTTATCTGCGGAATAAATTATAACATGTTAAGTTCAGATTGTATGGGTGTTTATTTTTTTACACTTAGCAGTTGAAGAAGCGGTATTAATTCATATTTCTCTCATTGCTTATGTGTACATTGCCTTTTGATAGCAAAAAATACATAATTATCCGTAATTGCACCCTATTTCATCATAGGGTCTGGTGGAATTGAAACGGAGAGAGTCGAGAGTCGTTGAAACGAAAATATAGATACGAACTGATACATTTTATTCGCACCAAGTACGCTGACAGTACTTCAAATATTTCAAACTAAATGTGTTTTGAAAGTCCGTAAGTATTCCTTTACAGCAGAAAAGGGATGAATGGAAAACCTCGCTTAAAAAGACTGCGTGTTAGCCACTCCTTAAACCTCATCGCACGCGGCTTTCGAGGAACTCGAACTAGGTTCGTGGAATCTTTGCATGCGATCATCGCGGTGTATTTCGTCCATAATTGTGTGAATTTCCCGTACAGAACGTCAACTCGTTTCGTACCTTTAGTCATCACAATCAACAGGATTTTTTTTATTCGAATCTATTTTGCTCCCTACGGTGGAGGTCGAAATAAAATGCCTTTGTTAAACAAACATGTGACCATTTTGTTATTGAGATAAGCAGGAGACATGCGTGACATTAGGGAACATAGACCATCGAGGCGTGACAGTCACGAGTGACAGCTGAAAGGAATATGGGGTCACAAGACGAGTTCAGCTTTAGATTTTATACAAATGTTAAAAGCTCGTTTCCTCATCTAAAATGAATCTTATGGATATATATAAATATGGACACCGTTACCCATTGATAACATAGCGACATTCAAACTGTGTCACGCAAACTCGCCAGTTTATTCTGAAAAACACATTTTACCACTTTTCTCGAAGTTAAACCCTTTGCTTGATTATTCCCAGCCTCAAAAGCAAAAAAGAAGTTAAAAATAAAAAGCTATAGAGATATAATTAATTACCAGAGTGATGCGAAAGAAGAAAAGAAATTATTATTTTAGTAAATTCAATTTCTTCCAAGGACAATTGTTTATTTCCATCTATCGCGATAATCAGTCCGAACATCTAAGTTTTGAACTGTTTTTCAAAAGTAAAAACCTATTATTTCACTTTAGTATATCTTGACGAATAGCTACTTTAAGGAAATATTTTTCCCTTTCTAACGTTATCTGGAAAGAGTTCATCACCCCTAGAATTCAAGGAATGTTGTTATTCAAAAGTAATTTTAACGCAGCCTTGTCAAGCGCACCGGAAACTTGTAATGCGTCATTAATCACGAGCCAGAAATTAATGTGCGTTGAAAAAATTTGCATATCATTATCAACCTTATTTCTACTTAAGTTGTAATTGTCTAGTCATTAAACATATAGACCTCGCTTTCTATTGGCGTAATAACTCACGCTACATGCTGACAAAACACGAGAAGAGTTTGTTAATCACGAGCCGGAGACGGGTGATGTTCAAACTTTGTAAGCGTTTTCCCAACTTCCCACGTTGCCTAGTACGCCTATTGCTTTCACAATATAAACTTAAATTTTCTATGGGCTAACCGGTGCAATAAAAGATAGGACTTTGACCAATTAGGGCACTAGTGGTATCTCAATAATTTTGTAAAATCAGACAACTAAGCAGAACTGCTAAACTCCATGAAACTTGCGGAAAATAGCCATGACATTATATTATTAGCTGACACTTCTTCCCTACAGTACGTTCCTGTTCATTTACCGTTGTTGATAAAATGCTAAATCAGACACGTAACGGTCTGATTACTAATCATATCTCATCGACAACTTGATTAAATTCACACTTCCTGATCACGGGATTATACATGAACCTTACCACTTGACTTAAGAGATAATGAGAGTAAACGATACTGATACCAGCTGAAACGAAAACACCATAATTCGTCTCGATCTGCGCTGAGGATTTTGTTTCAGACATTGAATTATAAAATTTTTCATCTGGCATTACTTCATGATATTTGGTACAATGCTCGATCGAATTTTTATTATCAAGTTTTACACTAAACATTATTACGAGTTTATTTCTTTTCGACTGTTGCCGGCGATATGAAACAGCGTCTTTTTTTATCTTTTCAAATTTTATTTGCAATCCTTGACTCGGCTTACAATTTTCTAACACTTCCTTGGTGTTCTCCGGTTTACAGAGTTTAAGGTCAAAACAGTCACTTGGAGTGAAAGGAAAGATCCCTCAACTGTGATCATAACCTACACATCAAGGTCACTGTGATTCTGATCACTCAGTCTTTTATAAAAACAAATCAATTTTGATACATTGATAACCTGACTTTTGAAGATAATATGGCACCTTTACGTGATGGCGAAAGCTTAATGACCCCCCCCCCCTTCCTCCTCCCCCCACCCCTCCCCACGAAAAAGGGAAAAACAAAAAGTAACTGACGACATTAGTACTTAGTAAAGTATTTGTAGCCTATTGCATCGTGATCACGTTGCTTCTTGAAGAGTCCTCTTGAATTTTGTCCCCTTTGGCCAAAAACTTGCTGTTTCGAAATAAAATTTTCAAAAAGGTTCGTGGTACCATCTATTTTTGTTTTATTGTTTTGTTCATTGTGATTGATTATCTTTGATACCCATGGCTGGTACTTTTTACTTTTTGGCTGTAGTCGATCTCGTCTCACTGAGCTCCTCCTACTACTCATGGCAAATATAGAGACAAACATGGCTCATGTTTTCCGGTCCGCTCAGCTTGAACCGAAATAGAGATATTTAATCCCAAGCAACAGCCGTTGAAAACCGGAAACCAACTTGGTTAAGTAAACTTGACCGCGGCGGCGCATGCACCACAAATCCTAAGAAGTAACTTACCATCCAACTGCCAAAAAGTAAGTGAGTCTATCTCAATTGCGTTTTTTAACCATTTTCTACACCTCGTATATTTTTTATTAAATTTTTCCTGTTTTATTTTTACATAACTGACATGTTAATGATGAATGATGAAACAAAATGTCTCAATGTCGTCGGGCTGCTGCGCAATTATCTGCCTCACTCTCGAGTCGATACATGATTTGAAATTGAATGCCCCCTCCCCGTTTCTTGAACCAATCACTTCGCTTGATTAGAGGTTATTCCTTGGATTGTATGCTAAAACCATGACAACCATTTCCTTTAAAAAGATGATTTCGTGCGGTAACAATCGCAGGCAGGAGCCATTAATGGGCTCCTGTCGCAGGCAATAAACTATAGTGAGAAATTCGTTTCTTTCATCCTTATGTCAAGTAGAAAGAAACATACACTTAGGGAAAATCAGTATGCTAATTAATTTGATTTATTCTCGGAATACATGGAAAGCCATTCGAGAATTTCCTGGAATAGCGTTAGGGGATTCCCCTTTATCAAAATGTAATATCGTAGGTATCTGATTGGCTTAAGTAGTTCACTCGTATGTATTACATTACGGCTTTTTGCCGGAACATCGCCATCTTTCTTTTGATTATGTAAACTGTTGAGATATTACAGCTTCAGCCAAACTTAATACCTACAGATTTACGTTTAACCATGGAGGAAGATTCTATGGATTTTCCAGATTTGTTTCTCGCCAGTGAAGAAACAGATCTTCCTTTCAGCTGTTCGTGGGTTGTTGGAAACGTTTCATCTGCGAAGAAGAGCAGCGAAATGGCCGACAGAGATGACAATCGCGATATTCAAGATCTTTTCGACGGAGAGACAAGCCAAGAAGTACACCAGGACGATGACAACGCGACCTCAGAGTCATCAGACGATGAATCGATTCCTAAAAATGTTAAAATATTGAACGACGAAGAAATTGCGAACATGCGAGTGCAAGAATTGAACAGGTTTCTGCGAAATGTTCCTTGGGACGAGGCCAAGAAGATAAGAAAACGAAGACGCAACTTAAAAAACCGGGGTTACGCCCTGACTTGCCGTCTTCGAAAACAGCAAGAACAGGAAGATCTTATCAACGAGAACACTTCGCTGAGAAAACAAGTGGAAGATGGAAGATGGTCATTACTGAGAGCTTTGAAAGAGAAAGAGACTTACAAGAAAAAGTATATGGAGTTGCAACAATCCTTTACGCTGTTTAAACAGAGCATGGTAACCCCGAGAAAAGATGCCTGATTCGGGTGATAAAATTTAGCTTTTGCGAAGATGTATTGTTTGTAACATGCATATGGCACCTTTTTTTGTCAAAATTAAATGTATTTAATGACTAATCGTTCGCAGAACACATGCATAGCCTCAGAGACATCTTAACTATTCTACGAAGGAGGAATTCGAGAAAGCTGGAAAATTTGCATCTGCTAAAGAAGTAAAAGATATAATTGCTCAGAAGATTAAATAAAGTCATTTCTGTAAAGATGTAAGATGCGTACATATTGAGAGTCAAGCGGTTGAAATAAAGCTTATGGTCCATTAAACAGTCAACTTTATAGATATAGAGAACGGAAAGAAATTATAAAAAGTTTAAAAAAAAGAAATAAACTTGAAGAAACTTTTCCTCCGCAACTCACGTTCTCTCCTTCTTAAAAACCTTTCTTTATAATGCAATTGTCTGTGTATTTTCAGTATTTCACAGTATTTTCCCACTGTGTTGATTCACTCCCGTCAAATAAGAGTTAAACACAGTAGTTATATATGCCACTTCAAACGCGCGAGTGTCTGATTTTCACGCGCCATCGATTTCACAACATAATCAATAGCTTTCTTTTGTTTCTAGCGTTTTTGAAGCAACCAGTCTACACTACTGTTTGAGCGAAGGAGCCCCGCTCCATACTTCCGGCCAATAACATGTTTACACGGATACAGAAACTGAAAATGACTACATCATCTATCGAAACTGAAAGAGACTCTCCTGGAGAGCCGATATTAAAATAGGCATTTGGTTGTCAGATTCTAATCCGTCAAAATCTCGGATTCTGTAAAATTACTCCCGGCAATGTGTAAGGCGCAGGTGAGGGGAGGGAAGGGAAGTTTTGAATAGAAATGCCTATCCACCCATCCCCCATTCCGTCCAAACTCTTCTACTTCTTGATACCGTATGTATAAGAAAGAGAGTCCTGAATTTAATGTATGTTCATGCATGTTATCAGTAACTGACGTCTTTGATATGTTGTCGTAAATCTACTTAGGTTGTAATATTAGAATCACAAGAGAGCTTGAAGTGGAATGAGGAAACGGAGAGACCTTTGAATCTTTAATGACTGAGTAATAGAAAAAAACATCCCGAATAACGAATATTTCAGAATCCGGAGAATTTTTCGACTCAATATTTTAACTTACGTTCCATTTTCCTCATTAGGTTTCTAAGTGATGATAAAACATCGAAAGTAAGGATTTGGAGCCAGAGCTACCGCTTAAGTTCGATAGCATCTCGCTTAAGCTGTAATAAACCGTAGGTATGATCATAATGTTCATTTGCCGAAATTGCTAGGAAAAAATCCTTTAAATCTGTACATGAAGAGTTTGGCATTTAACTAGATTAAGAGGGCGAGTTTAAAGGCTTAACCAGTATAACTCCCATGAGTGACAAAGAAAAAATGTCTCCTTACAATATCGATACAATATCAACCAGACAAGTGATGAGAATAAAGAAAACTATCAATTTGGGGATAATAAGTTGATCCAATGCCAAATTATTTGAACCAACATTATAAGAATTGTATGGTTGACAGTAAGGAGAATAATAAATTTGGTCTGAGAGTTAAAGGGTTAACCGTATTTAACGCATGGCTAAGCTGTGAATTTTGTCTGAGCAACGGCTTCGACGCAGCTTTGATTTACTCGCCAAAATCGTCGTGTGTTGATGTTAAGGCATACGTCAGGATAACAGCTTCATCCTGAAACCACTCGAAGTCCTGAAACTGAGTCAGAAACGACTCTGGAACGGATAACCGAGGTCAACATTTGATACGTTAGCGGCTGGCAAGACAGTTATTTGCGTCGGTCTATAAAGTTCAGCTCTTGAAAAGTTCGGCGACTGAAACTGTTCTTAAGACTCTGGGTAATCATTCTATTGATACCTAACTATTCGTTTCATTGTCGATGGAATAAAACTACCTTCAGTCGGTTAACGAGGGATACGAACGAAAATTGTTTACTATGACGATATGTTTCCACTTTACTAAAATAAACCGAACGGGGAATCCCCTTACCCTTAATCATTAACTTGCAATCTGATTGGACAGGTATTCTTTCTTGTTTTGATTCTTCCTGCGACATAAACATAGAGGCAAACTAACGACGGCCATTGAAGGGTTCCACTTTTCCCGATTTACTCCTTAAACGAAGGTAGGTCAACCAAAGAGCGGGGTGGTTTTGAGAAGGAAATTTTAACCGGCGAAGAGAGTGGATTGAATGCGATAGATCTCTTTAAAGCTTACTCGGGTATAAAGATTATGGTTCGTGGAGAAACGTCTGAGCAGAATAAAGCCAAGAAATTCAAGCATGGAAGTTCCAGTTATCTTTCTCTAATCGCAAAATTGAGCGACGAGAAACTTGAAACGATGTCTATTCAAGCTTTAAACAGGCGACTTCGCAAACTTCCTCAAGGTCTGGTCCAAAAGGTTCGAAAGCGAAGGCGAATCTTAAAGAATCGCAAGTACGCTCTGAAGTGTCGAAAGAAAAACTCATCAAAAGAAAAGGATATCATCCAGGAAAATAAAGATCTTCAGCTGGAGATATCTAAAGTAAAAGAAGAATTGAAAAAGGTTATCAGCGAGAAAAAAGATTATGAACAGAAATGCGCGACACTGACTTCAAAGTTGCGTTGGATTCAAAGCAGCGACTTCGTTTAAATATTTCCTAGAATATTCTCTGGCTACATCTGGATTTATTTCTCTCTCTATAGACGCTCTAAAGAATGTTACTTATTTAAGACAGAGATTCAATAGATTTAGACATAGGTAATGAAGGATTCTCTCTTTAGTAAATGGTAAATACAATTGCTGTTGTGATATTGTTAGACTGTGAGTCACTGTTACCTTATGCAATCTTCGAAATCGAAATTCTCCGAAAATAGAATTAACTCCCCGTGTCGATCATAAGACGCAGCTAAGCTATGAAGCATCTATATCAATATACATTTTTAACTTTGTGTCTATACCAAAGTGGATGATGTTGTACCGACTTTCTTCCTTAAATTAATATAAGGTTCGACTTCGAAGATCGCGTCGCGTGTAAATTGAAGGTAAACCAGAATCCTTGACTCACAGTTTTAAAAGCAGCAATCGTTTTTAGTTCTAACAAGGTAATTCACGATGGAAGGAAACTGTTTGAAATACACGAGACTTAATAAGGGGAGACAGGAAGTTTTTAGGGTGACGTGTATTCTCAGCTGTTGATTTCCGTCATAATGCATAATGGCGTCTACTGCCCGTTTCAGATAGGGTTAGATAAGTTAAGCATTGTTGGTACAATGTTATAGTCAGAACATCTAACATAATGCCGGCATAATGGCCAAAGTTCTTTAAAATTCACCTGATGTTACAGTTCAACAGGAGACAAATTCTGTAGCCTTAGCACTGTCGACAGTGAGCCCACCCAATGAACAAAAACAGAGGGAAGTAAGGTACCCCTTCATTAAAATCCGGGTGAATACTTCTTAACCGTGTTCAGCTGACCGGAAGTGTGACACATGCTTGCAGGGTGTCTGAATCAAAGCCCACCTCGAAATGTATTTGATTAACTTATAGGGTTCAGATCATGAAAAAGTCTGAAGCAGGCTTGCAAAAAACTATACGTAAACTGGACACCAGGAATATATATTTTTTAATGATTGTTGTTTCATCAGGTTTTTGTTTACCTTCATTGAACCATTTTTAGTGGTTTGCTAAAGAGTTTTAATTGTTGTTATCAACTTTTCTTATACTCCTTGTAGGAGAGAGAGACAGATTTTCCTTAATCCGGTTTATTTGTCTGTTTCTGTGAGTCTCACGCAATCTCTTCGAATTAGTTTGACGTTGTACAAGACGTTAATTACGTCTTCTTTATGTTTTTGACACACCTATTTTCCCAAGGGCATTGATAAGATTATTCCGTTGGTCTCTGGGTATATTGCGTTCGACCCCGAACTTTGATAATTTGGGTAACTCTTAGAAGATAGCAATATTAACTAGCTTGAGAGTTTCTGTGTAAATAATTTCAATAACTTGTTTCTTGATTATCATTATAATCTTTACTGTTTGTTGTGATTAGTTTTGATCGAAGCGCTCTTTCTCCTGAGGAGAATAAATGCTATGTTGCTGTTACAGTTTGCTTTTCTATGTTGGCGACTTATCACCTCAAAATATCAGTTATCTGTTGCCACTCCGAGGATGCATTTACTCTCCGCTGCTTCGGTTGATTCCAGGGCAGGATTTTCCTTTTTTCTGATCTCTTGCACTGTTTATGCCAAATTCACTAAAGAAGTTTTTAAAGTTTAATACTACTAAAATTTAACACCGCTTTTCGTTATGAAACTGCAAAGTAGTTTCAGGTTGTCACTGCGCGAAGCAACAGATTTGGAAGAAATTCAAGATCTTTTGGAAAATACTGAAAATTATGAAATGAGAATCGAAAATTATTTTTCCTGCGCTATGTAGAGGAGTAATTCTGGCTACCATTTGTCATAGAAAGGGTATCATTTTCAACCACGTGTGAGTTTGGATGTCATTATTAAATGAATCATTTTCATGAACTGCTGGTGTTTCTCTCTCTTATCATTATGATCAGCCATGGAGCACTTTTGATAATAATGCAAGCGGACGAAATTAAGTGCGCCTTTGTTTATCCTAATGGGGCTTGGTGACATGAAGAATGCTAAGCATCAAACCTAAATGGTTGTTATTATCACAAACAGCACTATTCCAAGGCCTGCATGGAAAGAATTTGAATCTCTGAAGAGGACGGACATGAAATTAAGACCAGTTAATTTTACCCCTAGACATAAGTTAACAGCATACTAAACAACATAAACTGATGGTTTCTGACATTATACCGATTGCTTGACGGCAAATAAAAAAAAAAATTAATAAATAAATAAAAAAACGATCGAACCTTGAATCGAAGGCATTTGGGGCTTTCCAGAACAAACAGTTTAAGATCGATCTTAAAAATCATTCTTAGAACGTTCTCTTTTTTTTTCAGTTTGCAAAAGTTTTTTTTTTTGCTTTTTGGTCTGTTTGTTGATAGCTTGATACTATCCTTTATGATTGAAATAGGTAAATTGTTTGATTGCAATAAATTTGCTATTAAATGACATGTAATAAAAAGGAAGTTTACATGCAATACAACAAGTATCACATGGCATCTGTTACGTATAGTACAGTTTCTTTGCCAATGATAAAATATATCTGAAGTATCATAATTTTCTCTAAGTATCATGGAATTTTCGGTGATACTTAAATTACGGTCAAACCTGAAAGCGGAGCTCAAAATGAATAATCCGTTACACTTACCTTTACTT